TTTTTCTCCATATTTATGATTCGCTCCAATAAACGCCCAAAATTCGGTAACTGTTTACATCGTATCATGATCACCATATAGAATGGGATGATAAGGTTCTTCCCTTCCATCTTCCTTGCAGCATTATTGTTAGTTTCCATGCACTATATGAGTACCTAATTCCTCGGTGAAAAATAATTTGAAAAAATCTATTGGTTCTTTTATGTGTGCAAATACGTGCAGTCCTATTTGTCTTTCACCGGATACAAACATTGGTATTCTTCTGGGGATTTCTTCCAGATTCTGTGCACACTGTCCAATTCTGAAGGTTCAGTCTCTTCTATAAAATCACTTTGGCTTCCAGATTCACTATCGATTATTCGATTTTTCATCTCTTGCTCCTCTAACGTCATCACTATCTTTATCACTTCTGTCTTCATTCTCATGGGCAAGCTGTCTATGTAGTGATGTAATTTCGTTCGTTATTGCCGAAAAATTAAACTCATCTTTGCTAGAAGTAACTTCTTCGTCGTGTTCCATACTTATTGGGCTCAGTAACTTTGAAAGAAATACTGCGATCGGCAAGAAGGTTGAGTTCAAACTGATGTCGAAGACAGAGTCCTACCAGTGGTCGCAAGTATTTTTGAGATTAGACATTTAGTCGCATAAACATTTCAAAAACAACCTTTATTTGAGATAAGACATCCTTATAGCTATTCAGACACCTCGTAATATAATCTGCAAAAGGCCAAGTAGATCTCTCAAGCGATATTCTTTAGGTCAAATACAAATAAACACATCGATTCGAATGGTGCCTCTCAGGCACCGCTCGAGTTATCGCATCACATGCAGTGGTGCCTGAGAGGCACCGCTCGAGTGCAAAGGGTTAAATGCCAATGATGACACTACATGTTTACCCACCACTCAAGGGATCATGGTTAAACATACATCTGCATCATCATAATATCTCCAGCAACAACATTAATAAGTATATGGATGTCTCATGCATGAAAGAAGAAGTTCGGAGCACACTACTTCTTCAGATTGCAGAAGAAACTGTATATCTCTAGAAGCAGTGATTAAGTAATAACATCATGTTTTTTCAGGCAGAAGCAGCAGCTATTTCCAGAGCTATGCAGTACGTCACTCAGCAAAACCTACAGGACATCACCATCCACAAAGACAGCATGTTGGTACTTCTGCCATACTAAACCATCAGTACAGAAACTCAGAAAGACTTACAGAGGCATCAACATCCTAACATAATGCTCTACTGGGTGAAAATGCTTGCTAGGGTGAATGGCAAAGAAATAGCTGACAGATTAGCTAAGGAAGCAACATCACAAAGTATTTATATCCACAAGGCAGCACTTTGACCATGCTCATATTTTAAGAAACAACTAAGCGCAAATACGCAAGGTACAAATCAAATGGCAACAAAATGGGATGAATGTTAATGAGGCTGCTGTACATAGTAACTGCATCACAGAAGTAGATGACAAATGCATCATTATCCCCATAATTAACAAGATTTTTACAAGACATGGTCTTTTTCCTGAGTATTTTAAGACATGGTCTTTTTCCTGAGTATTTTAATAGACATAGCATCAGCAATACCAACCTCTGTTTCTTTATGGAAAGAAGTACCCCAGACCATTAAAGATAATGGGCACGAGTACCACTTTCTGGACAGACACAGAGGTTGCTATTGCTGACCATCTGCCCATTTACCAGAGAACACCATCTTAAAATCCCCAGTAACAATACAAAAGCCTACTTCAAGTTGTAAAACAATGTCATTTGGTGGCAAGGGATCGCCTACATTATTGATAAACTTGCAAAACTTGGAGCTGACCTGTGCCTTTGATACATAACTTTTTTTTCTTCTTTCTTTCTCTCTCTCTCTTTTTGTCTTTTTTTTTTTAAAGATAAAAACAGTACCTAGAATCAAAATTTAATATTCATTCAGTTTGTTTAAATTTTTGCAACACTACTGTAATGCATGTTTCACAATGTGCATTTGTAAAATTCTGTAAAGTTTGTAAAGTGTTGCCTTTGTAAAGAATATTTGTAATAAGTATTATTGTAAAGTATATTTTCTGCTGTAAAGTAATTTGAGTATCTGAAGTTATGTAATAATTATATCCTGAGTCACAATGGCAACAATATCTTACAATGTTGTATCTTGATGTGTCTCATAATGTTAGGTATGCGGGGACGCAAGGCAATACCACCTAACTTCTTGATAGAATGATGGTATTTCTACCTCCAGTCAAATGTGTTTGATATACTTTCACCACTGCAGCACATAAAATTTCAAAAAATTTTTTTTTGAAATACTAACACTGCTATCCTTATAGCTAATAACTCTGATAGATTGCATGCTTTCTTTGCACTTGATAATGGCTGTTATCACATTTGTGAATGAGGAAGTCCCACCTGACATATTCACTCTAAGATTAGCCAGGTGTGTGTTACTAGTTGGTGGACATAGTAGCTATCTATATATGTATATGTGTCTATTACAGCCCTGATTTACCAGAAAATGAAGCAACATTTGCTATTACAGCAGGTGGAATTGCAGATTCTAAAGAATAATTGAAAGGAGTTTCATAACTGAACTGAGGTGATTTTACATGTTTTGTTTAAATGTTTTATGTTTTATTAAATGTTAAATTATTTGTTAAATGTTTTGTTAATGTTAAATGTTTTTTTAAATCTTTGCAAAATAAAAAGAATCAGTGAAATGAATTATTTGCATGAAATAATTTCCCTTCTGAAAGTAGCTTTTGGCACTAATTTGAATTTTTACTTCCTTGTCTAAAGTGCAGGAAGTACTGTAATCACGAATAATTTTAGGTGTTATATTTCAATGAAAATATCCATTTTGCCTGCTCTTGAATACATTTGAACGATTTTTTTTTAGTCCAAAGGGGCTGTGTCCCTGACGGACAATCGTTTTCGTTTTTTGATTTTGCGTTCTTTCACTATAAGTGTCTGTTTCACTTTTTAAACTGTTGCCACCAAATTTTTGAAAAGAATCCTGCATTGTATTTGAAGAAATTAAATAATGAAAAATCTGCATAAATGTATGTATATTTCTTGCATTGTGATAAAACAATGGTACATAGAGCCATCAAATTTTGAATGACATAATCCTACTGCGAATATGGACATGTGGAATCCCAAATTTGAAATTTGTTTTATTATTGATTTCATATTTTGTAAAACTTTAACGAATTTTTGCTTAACAAACTCAAGGATTTCAAAGCGAGCCATGGCAGCGCTGTACAGAAAAAAACATTTATCTCCAGTGCGCAAGAATTTGTATCAGAAATTCTAAAGATATGCTCAATTTAAACTTATTTTGCTATATTGTTCTTGAACTGAATTTTATGATTTAAGTGCGAAGAACGTGATATTTAATAAATAAAGGTAGCAGACAAAATGTTAAAAAAATGCACCTTTGGATGTAATTTAAAATCTGAAACCTTTCAGATATTCTTTCAGAATTTTCTTTCTTTTCTTTTTGCTTGAAATCTATACCTACAGACAGAATAAAGGATACATTTTTCCAAAATGGATTCAAAAGAGACTTTTTCATGACATCTGTACATATGTATGTATGCATCTCATATAACTCAAAAACGAGTAGTGGTAGAATATTGAAATTTTGTACATAGGATTGCTATAATGTGCTATTTGCACCTCCTATTTTTATTGCATTCAGCAGGACCAAGTGTGTGTGTGTGTGTATATAACATATATATACCCACTCCCTTACTGGCTTGGTTAACTCTGTTTATTATTATTATTATTATTATTATTATACATTAGTAAACTGTGCATTTCTTTAAAAGTGATTGAATTATGTTATTCTTATGTTCTAGTTAAGGTTTTATGCCTTTAGTTGATCTGCATGAAATGTAGAATTATCAGCAATTTCAAAGTTGAGCTAAGCCTAATGAGGTGGAATATGATCACATATAAAAAAACTATTGAATTAAGTTAGGTGGGGTACCAATTTCAGTGTCATTTTGCCCAGTGGGGCCAAGAGTTAACTTAAAATGATTATGCACTGAAAATTTTGTCTTTTTTCCTATTGGCTAAATTGCTTGCTTTTGCATAGAAACTGTAAATTTGCAAAAATTGTTTTTAACTGTATTTTCAGTTTAGGTGTTTTTGTATTTTACAGTTTTTAATGAAGATATTTTGAGTTTTTGTCTATTTTTGCTTTGCAATGATGTGAGAACTGAATTGATTGAATGAAAAATAGATCTCTAATCAAATTTGAGGAAATAAATTTAAATTAAATGCAGCAAAAATTTGTGCAATTTAATAGGCCGTACAAGGAAATCATATAGTGTCCACATCAAATATTTTTTAAAAGTGTAGCAGTCAGTAATCAGCATTATATTTTATTCAGAAAAAGTAAACAGAAAATGTATCATACTGTCACTGAGAGTATAGTTTCTATATTTCTCAAAATTTTGTTTTTAAATTAATGAAATATTTCACATATTGAATTTTAATCATTCAAAACTGTCTGAATCACAAAGTAAAATGTTTTTTTCATTTATGAAAAAGGGTGCTTTTAAGTTAAAGATTAATTTTCTGTTTCGTGAACTTATCAATATTTACTTTTTAAAAATACTTTTGAAATCTATTAAAATTACATTTTTATTTCATTTTCTATGTATAGTGAAAAAAGTGCTTAAAATACAAGTTTATATATATGTTTTTTTTTAAATTGAAAACATATTTAAACTGTATTTTATGCAATTTCAGTTGAAATGACACATTTTCAGCTATATTAACATTTTTTTCAGAGGAATATTCCATTCAATATTTTAAGTTTGTAAGAACGATAATTTACAGGGTCTTCACTTTATTAATCATTGGATAAATAATTTGAGGAAGAAACTTGTGAAAAAAAGTTTTTCAAAGGGACTTCATGCATGCATTAATTTTATAAACAACATATGTGTATGACTATATATAATAAATTAAGAATAAATAAATACATGTTTCTAATGTCTTTATTTACATGATACTATATACAGGAAATGTAGAAAGTTTTCTGTGCTACAAGTGCGACATATTTAAGTCCTGATGTCTTATGAGCAGCTCTTAATATACACAGAAATTTTACATTCTTGCCTAATCACTCAAGTTTATAAAGTATGAGTCTTAAGCAGTAGTTTCATTTTGACCAATAAAACTTGGGCAAAATGCTTCTTTCAGTTGATTATCAAAACTCATAAATGTTGTACCTATAAGAAAAGGCAAATTATGATCACAATAATAATAAAATAAAAATGCTACTTTAATAGTTACAAAGCAATAAAAGTAATTTATCTTTTTTTATCTATTATTAAATAATGAAGAATCTGTATATATGTATGTCTCTCCCATCCTAGAACCACCAAATTTTGAACACACATATTCCTCCACCTGAACATGTACACCTCAAAGCCCCAAAATTTTACTTTTAGATTTATTTATTTATTTAATTTATATTTGGTGCATAATTAATGAATTTTTAATAAACAAACTCAGTGACTTAAGCAATGTGTTTGCACTGTTTGAATTTTTTTTTTTTTTTTTTTTTTTTTTAAATCTTCTGTGCACCACTGTATTTCTATTTGGATACATATTGTTTAAGATATTTATCTTTTCTTTTTAATCAACAAACTCGGCTGTTTAAAAGCAAGGTGTTGCAATTTGCCAAACTACAAAATATTTAACTTTCAAATTTAATCTCTAATTGATTAACAAACTAAATGATTGAAAAGTATTAAATATAGTTCTTAATAATATTATTTTACATTTTAAATCATATTTCTGGTTGAGTTAAATAAAATTCATGTAATTTACATCTAATTAATCTAACTAATTATGGCACACTGAAATGGAATGATACTTTCCAATCATAAATATGCATTAAATTACAAAAATAATACTATCTGGAGATTTAAAAAATGGTTTACAAACATATTAAAAATAAATTTTGCTTAAATAAAAATATTAATTCTCACTATTTTGTAAAATTCTGGGAAATTATGTATCAGTTTACATAATGGTACATTATTTCAAAAAGTACTAAAAAGAACTATTATAAAATACAGGATTATGTAACATTCATCTAGTACTAAAACAAGGCTTCACCAAGTTCAGTACAAAGTCTGGGATTCGGGTTTGTTGGGGCTTCAATGATTCAAGATATGGGAATTTCCTGGATTTTTATATAATCAATTTAAAACTAATAAGATGACATGTAGAGATTACAAAATTAAACATGTGAAACAGTTGTTTATGAAATAATGAAGCATTTATGATCTTAAGAAAATCAAAATTAAAAAAAAAAGGGGTGGGGCTCAATATTTGTTTTCTGTATTAAAAATTTCTTTTACTGTAAGTTGTTTAAATTGCTTTTTTTTTTTTTTTTTTTTTTTTTTTTTTGTATGAATACTTTCTCTTTACTTTTATAAATAGGCATAATTTCTTGTTCTGTTACAAAACCCTATAATTACCAGATCAGGAATTTCCACTAAATTGTCAATCAAAATCTTTCATTTTCAGCAACCTGTCTGTCACATTCTTCACTATTGGTACTAATGTTTTCTGGGTTTGAGACCATACTACTGATTTTAGAATCCATTAATTGATAGATTGTTCGGGCATTGTTATTAAAATACAATATTTCTGTTATATCATTTTTATTTATGATCACTTTTTTACGTTTCTTCGCAAATTACATTAATTGGAAAATTTAAATTTTTGTATGTGATATCCAAAAATTTTCAAATTGCAACTATCATCATAAAACTTAATCAGCATCCACTATACACTATGTAAGTATGATGATGTATCATAAGATTGGCAACTAAAGACATATTGTTCCACTAAAATTTGTCTCCTATTATGTGCTGTGGAAGTTAAACCTGAATTATATTAGTTTTGTTATTTATTATACTTATGCTTATTTCCTGCATCTATTTATCTGAGTCCTGATGAAGTAAGTTCCCACATATACTCAAGGGAATGCTTTTCCTTGCTGCACTTGCCACACATTTTGGTGAGTTTATTAATTGCAGATAATTTCTAGTTATAAGAATAGTTTACAGATTGCAAACACACACTGTGTGGCAGGTGAGGGCCTATCACCTGCCACATGGCAAAAAGCGTGTCAAGTGCATAATGGAAAGTACCCTTAAGATTTATTGGAACAAAAAATCAGTTATTCTTAGCTCAAATAGTGCTAAATGGCTGATGAATATCATTTACAAAATCTTTTTAAAAAAATTTCCTTAAATTTCTTCTCATCAACACACTTTGCAGCATAGTTGGCTAGTCTATAATCATTGTCAAGCATAATGCTTGTCATGCTAATCATTGTCAAGCATAATCATTGTTAATCAATTCTCTATTTACACAGTTTAGATATGACAACAACATGGTGTCCCCCACTCCCGAATGGCTGGCAACTGCCTGTAATGCCATTGGCCACAAGTGGTGGGCATTTTATTGTGGAGGCACCTAATAGGTGGCCACTGTTACCTCCTATGAAACGACAGACAATTTTACATTCATGCTGTCTCCAGGATTCGAACCGGGCCCTTTGGTAGGGCAGTCAGGTTCCCCTAACCACTATACAGGCTGGGTGGCTGATAACAACATTTTTGTGAGATACTTATGTTAAATTTGTTTAGAATAATAAAGCCTGAAACATAAGTAATATGCTTTTTAATTTATGAAAATGCTCATTTATCATTTTGATAGTTGTTTTAAATAAGATGATATTTTGGAGAGCATTATTCTTATTTTACATTTTATTTACTTATTAATTTTATTTCAATTCTTATTATTTTACATTAGCTTTCAATATATTTTTTTTCTTTAAATTCACATACAACCATTGGCATTTAAAACATACTTTCTATAGATACTGTTAGAGAGTGAGATCCGTCGAAAGAATGATGGATTGTAATCAATTATAATTTTTCATGAATGGAAAAGCAGCCACTGTGATACTTAGTTTCTTTGCTTATTCAGCAGTTTTTGTCTGTCACACATGCATACACATACATATTTAAGGTACATTGGAATCTTAGAAGCTGAGTATGTTGCCATTAGCCTGATTGTATTACCCCTGTTCAGGAATTAAATGTTCTTAATTCTTGTATAACAATGTTTTAATAAAAGAATGGAAAAGAAAACTATTACATTTTCAAATGTAAACTGATCTATATGTAAGCTAAAAGGTAAGATTTTGTTGGGAAAATTCAGCTGAAATTTATAACCCACGTATTAACTGAATTTAAAATTTAGTACAAATCTAGCTATATTTTGCTAAAAGTTGGAATAATTAATGAATGCCAAGTCCTTATCTTTTTTAAAAAATTTTATTTAAAAAAAAAAGTTCCTACGCTGTGAATGAGATTGAAAGTAATATTATCTGTGAGGCAGATAATAACAATATTAATTGTGAAATGGAGGACAGTGCCATTAACTTGCATTTGATGGTAGCAGACAGAAACTCCAAGAACTACTAGAAAATTTTGAATTATGTACAACAAAATTTGATTAATGCAGATTAGGATTAAATAAAATGAAGTACTTTTTAAATTAATTTTTGTTATAAATATTTTTCATTTATTTTCATACCCCCTTTTGCAAGGGGACTAGTAAGGGAAAAGTCATCTGAAGAATACAAAACTCTGTCAATACAATTTAAGTACAATAATATGTTTTTTAAACCTTTGAGTGGGAAAGAGAGGCCTCACTGACATTAAGGTTTTATAATTTTAAGAGCTATTATTTGTACAATACGGTCGTCAACCCTTAGAACTTAATGGAACACTATATATATAATTTTATATTTGGCGGACGACTAATATGAGAAAAAATCCCCCCTTAAATCATACCTTAAAAACAACATATGAATATGAAAAAACAATATTCAACTTTCCACTAAATGTAATTCTAATTTTTATTTGTTAATATAATTTTCGAAACATTTGGTGTTCAGCAGCATGCCTTTATGGAAATTCAGGCTACACCCCTGATTATGAGTAACAATTAAAGCACTATTAACATCTCACTGATACACATATTTCGTTCACATTGAAAAATTATATGAAAAGTACAAAAATCTTACCTTCTTGTACAGAAAGCTTCACATTTCCATATCACTGTAAAGGAACTTCACGAAAAGCAAGAACAAACTGGTAAACGCGAAGCAATATCAATAAACTGAAAGTGTTATGCTGCCAACTTTTAATTATTGTAAACAGGGTAATCATCGCTTACTCGGCAATGGCGCCATCCATCAACAGTTAAGACAAAATAAAAACAGAAACTTCCAGTGATGCAATTATAAACAAGAATGCAGATGGTTCTCATAAAAATCCATCAAGTTGCCTATTGACACGGAAAAAAACTGTGTTATTAACAACTACAATAACATACGTTTGTAATTCAAAAGAAAAGAGAATTCCAGTTTGCGCTATTATGGATAACAGCAGCATATCCATGGATGCCAACTCTCACTTTCAAACGTCGCTAGATACACCTGCAAAAGTAGCTAAAAAGTCGCTAAACTCAGAAGAGATTTCGCTAATAATAGTAACTAAAATTAAAAAAAGTATAATCCATATTCCTTAATAGGGTTTGTTACTTGTCATTTTTTAAACTGAATCTTCATAAAAATATAAATAATGTCTCAAATTTTCTGCGGACCACCAAAACGTTTTCACGGACCACTGGTTGGCCTGCTGATATAAAGTGTTTGAACGCCATACAATGCATCTACAAAGTTTTAGGACTGAATTTGTTTCATCAGTTCTAGTTAAGTTGCACAACAGTACTTTGAGAAAATATTAACACATACAGATCTATTCCCATTAAAATATTGTCTATTTATGGGAATGTATGTAATTATTTGTTTGATTTTATGCACCTGATACCTGCCAATACAGATTTAGCAATGGAATTGAAAGAAGTTGGGAATTTCCTACAGCATAATGCAGCCAATGGCAAGTTCCCACCTTGCCTTGAAAATCACTAAAAACATTAAAAAAGCTGAGACCAAAGAGAGTTCCAAAAGTTGATTACAGCAAGCAATCCTGAAGTTCTGTGAGCAAGGTGAGTTATAGAAAGCTTGAAAATGGATGCACATAGAATGTTAAACAGTGTATAAGCTGTTTCTTTCATATTTTGATTGTATATGAATTTGATCTTAAAACTTTCTGATGCACTTTAGAACAGTGATTGCTAATTCACATTAATAAAATTAATTCTGCAGGTATTTTGTTTATCAATGATTATATATTTTGTGCTTTTAGAAAGACACATGTGTTAATAAAGAAAGTTGTTAATGGAGGGTTAATCTGTCTGAAAATTGATGGTTATTTAATAAAATATATAAAAATGAGAGCTTAGACTGTTTAAATAAGAAATTTTAAATATCATACCTTTATAGCTTTGTGCAACACATATCAAGATGTGGCTCATTTTCATGTGCAGATATCTGAGATATAGAGTGAAAATTTCTTTCTGATGCATCTGACTGTTGTCTTACAAAAGTTACAAACACCTAAAAAGTAATAAACATATTTTTAGATTTCTTAACCTGTCATTTTTAGATAATAGTTGGGTGATAAGATTTTATCTGCAGATTTTAAAATTAACTTATTCAGATAAATAAAATACACCACTGACAGCATTTAGAGTATACAAGAAAAGAAAATAATGAATATATAAATTTGACCCCTTTTAATAAGCAAGCGAATAGATTTCATTTCAGAAGCTTATTTTGAAATCAAAACATTTTCTATGAATTATAAATTTTTTTCAGTATTGAGAATTAAATTGGTAATTTATGATATTATTTTTCTGTATGAAATTGACATTAAATTATTATTGAGTTTAATTTATTATCACGAAGTTGTAGAACTTCTATTAGTTTACTTACTTTATCACATTGCATTATTTTATTAATTATAATTGTTCTTATTAAGTTAGTTAAAACATTTCAAACAATTTTAATCACATTAATTTTGATGTGATGTTTACTCTTTTAAGTAAATTAAAAAGTTTCAAACAATTTTAGTCACAATAATTTTTATCTGCAGTTTATATTCATATATTAATATCGTATATTACATTAAACAGTACTACTAAAAATGCTGTAAAGCTCTGTTGTAAATTAAGTGGATTGCTATGCTGAATGTAAAAATTAAACATTGACAAAACAAATTTTATAAATAAATGTACAAAGGAAATGGAGAAATTATATAAAGTTCAGACATCATTAATAATTGATAGATATTAACTTAAAAGTGTTGAAATATGCTGCAAATGTTACCTGATCAAGAGTTGTGGGATCAATTGCTAGATCTTCAATTCCAAAAAGTTTTGCACATTCTTCTAAATGGCAGAATAAGTTGGATAAATGGCAGAATAAGTTTTCATCAGGTAAAGTTATTTCTACTCTGCGTTTGCTTCGTACCTAATGTGAAGGATATTATTATATTAATATCTGGAATTAAAAAATTCAGATTTTTAGAAATGCATGTACAAGATTCTCTTAAATTTGTTATTATCCATAGGAACATAATTAAAACTGCATAAAAATAGAAATAATTTATTAAAATTTCAAAGTTGAAGTTGTTTGATAAGGAAACAATTAATAAGCCTCTGCAGTATCTTAACTTATAGGAAATACTACGGTGAATATTGATTCAACAACATATTTTCTACAGCAGTACTACTACTTTTGAATTGAGGAAGCTTTTAGAATTGTAGATAAAATCTATGTATTTCATTATTATTATTATTCATTATTTTTCTTCACTGAAAAATTTTGATAGACAACCCTAAAAATCAAGCGAATGCATTAAAGCATAGCTCTTTTACATGCTTCAATGTTAAGTTATAGGATAACTGTGTATTTTAATAATGTGTAAACAAAAAATTAAAAGTGGATGGATTGCTGGATTCATCAGTTGAAAAAAGCCTTTTTATGAAAGCTGTGGAGGAATAAGACAAGTCAAATTTCTGTTTAATTTGTAAATTTAATTTCTTAAGGATACCTTCCTAAATTAAAGCAGAGGAAAAACTGTTTGTTATATTTGCTGGTAACAAATCTTGCAAATTTACCTGAATGTGTGTAGTTGGCATTTCTTTATGTATGAAGTTAAGAAGGGAGGATAAATCTTCGCTGTCTTCTGGAATTCTAAAGGAAATTATGTAGCCAGTGCCCAACCTAAGGAGGAGTGATAATGATTTTAACAAATTTTTGATTATGTGTTTTACTTTTGCAGCAAAAAATGTACAAAAAATAAGTATTTTTTTTTTTTTTTTTTAAAGCTATAAATTGAGTATTACCTTGCTTTCAGTTTTGCTGGACTGTCTAAACAGGCTATTTTTCCATTAACCATAATGCCTAGTCTTGAACACAGGACATCACAGTCTTCAATGCTGTAAAAGTTAATAATAATATAAGTTAATAATAGATCTTATTAATTCAGATTAAGGAGTGATATTTATAAAGTATGTGAAATTTTAAAATAAAGCAAAAAAAAGCAATCTTAGATCGGTGTGGATTTTGAATAGACTGCAACAACAGAAAATTCTTGTTAAATATTTTTTTTTATGATTTTATAAATAATTTTCATAGATTTAAATTTATATATTTTTTAATAGAAAGAATTTATTAGAATTATTCAAATAAAACATTGGATAATATCATTATCTAATATTTTTGTAACTTACTTTTGTAATTGCATCTTGAGTTACTGCAATATGTTGAGCAATGATTCAGAGTTGCGATTTGAATGTAAAGGGGTGAGAACGTGTTGCCAGATCTCCCAGTTTTTCATCACGTCTCTCGGTAGATCACCAAATTTCACCAACCCCAGATTTTTTATTTTTAACCTTTATCAAAACTGTATTCCAGCAATAAATAAAATCTCTTGAATATGTAAAACTTAAAACAAATTCTATTTCTTACCTCTTATGATTTCCAGAATAATTTTTTGTATTCAATTTTATTTCAACCGAATTTTATTTTTTATTACATTTCATTGTCTTATTAAATTTCATTTGATTTGAATCGTCTTAATCTGAATGTTTCAAATCTATCTGTGATTTCTTTATGAAGATTCAAGCAGAGATTAACCTGTTAATATTTGTATTTTTGTTTATGTTAGTATATGGTGCATTATTAAGTTTAACCATATAAATATTATGTATATTAATTATTAATTTTATATTCATCACATTTAAAAGTACTTTGATAAATAAAAGCTTTCCTTCACATCTCAGGATTTTCTCAGTATAAAAGCGTAAAAACATTTTTTAAATGAATTTAGCTGAAGAACATAAAATTTTGAATTTACAATAAAATGCTAATACATTTTACATCAGAATTGAATTACAAATAGATTATTAATCATACATTATAAAGTGAATTAAAGTCAGTTTGTAATTCCTTTGAAATGGCGTTGCCGCGCAATGTGAAAATCTCCTAGATTTTAAGGTTGGCATCAATGGTGTTGAATGTTCATAAAAAGTGTCAATTATTTGAAGTGAGAAATTATATTAATTAGATTTATTATGAATTACATCAGCTTCATTAAAAATACAATAAAGACATAACAAATACATACATTGCTTTGGAGAATTGTTCTGTTATATATAATTAAAATTTGGAAGTTAAAAATCTTTTGTAGATTAAATGGAAAATACTGCTGAGAACTGGCAATTTGACAAGCTGCTCATTTCATAAATTTAAAATTTTATATCTCATGGAATGACACTGTTTACCAGGCAAAGTACCATTTGATGGTTGTATTAGGCAGCCGTGAAAGGTAATTTTTCTCTGGCTTTTCCTATATTTAAGCCCGGTGGTGCAGTGGCTAATACGTCGCACAGCAGCAGCATAGGTCCTGGGCTCAATCCCCGGGGTGGGCAAGGTTGTTCTTTGACTCAGCCTTTCATATTTTGAGTGCGTCAATATAATGAGTTCCAAGTTCACTTGGGGAATAAACACCTGGGGTCCTGCGACGAGCTGACCTCTTGGGGTATTTATTGCTCAGGCACTCCACAGTCAAGAAAGCAGATATCAGGGCACTGTATGCCATGGCTCACTAAAGGCTGTTGCACCACTAAATTAATTTTTAGTTTATTTCTATATTAAAAGTTCAAGCCTTAAATTATTAAACAATATGATGTTTTTATGCAATCTAATTCTCTTAAAACCCATAAAATTACCTTTCTGACATTACAACTTTTATAATCTTCTATTACAAAGATAAAGTGTGCATAGCATTTATACTATACAAATTCTCTTTAAAATGATATATACAAGTTTGCATTTTGCGAAACGTAACATTTTCTATGAGCATACAAAGTTCAAAAACATAAAAATTTCCAAAAGTGTCCACAATTTTGGCCACCACTGTACACATCACACTTGATTTATACCATAGTTCCACAACATAAGAACCACAGTATCAAATTTTCATCAAAATATGAATTGATATTCTAATCAGCATTAAATCATGAATAATTTTCAAATTAAGTATTAATTTCCAAATTATCATTATAATTTTCAAAAGAAGATATTCAGCAATATCAGCTATCTACCTGTGTGATGTGAGGATAACAGATCGCCCAGCTTCTGTAGCTTGTGAAATACTCCTCCAAACTAACCTTCTAGTTCCAGGATCCATCCCAGACGTAGGTTCATCCTAGATGTAAAAGCAGTTACATAAGATGCCATGTTAGATATGAAATAAGGATAATAAAAGTAGTTATGAAAATTAGCTGTTTTTTTGTGGGGGAGAAGATGTTAAATGATACCAAAATGCATAATATTTATAGCATCCAAAATGTCTTAATAATTACTATAATATTATAGATTTTTGTGAAAATTATACATTTGGTATTTTATGAATTAAATATATTTTAAAGTATATCAGTTCAATATATTACGAGGGTTGGTATTTATATTTCTGGCCTAATAAACAAATATTTATGATCAAAGTTGGTTTCATTGTTTTTCAAAATATTCTTCATGAAGATCAATACATTTTTGCATGTGTTTAAACCAATTTCCGAAGCATTTTGTCCACTCCCATTGAGATAACTACAAAACATGCGTTTTGAATGCATCAACCGCTTCTTCGGGTGTCGCAAATGGCTGACCATGTAATTTATTTTTGACGTGCGGGAATAGAAAAAACGTCATTGGATGCCAAATCAGGGCTGCACGGCAGATGACCTTCAATTCGATGTTTTGGCTCGTCAAAAATTCCTTTGTTTGAGCCGATGTGTGAAAGCTCGCATTGTCATGACGAAGAATGATTTGCTTCTTCTGCATTTTTCGAATTTCCCCGATGTCTTCTGGCAAACAAATGGTCGTGTATCATTCGGAATTGACCATCCTGCTTTGCTCTCACGCCGTTGTCACCACGTGACCGGTAATTCCGAAGAAACAGGCAACCATTTGCTTTGCTTCAATGTGCTTCTTCCGCGAACAACTTTTGCTGGATTTGCCTCGTCTCGGAAGACCCATATAGTCGACCGCTGTTTAGTTATGTTTTATTTCATAGTCACAGCTGGCCATAGCATTCTTCATCATGAACATTTGTCCCTCCACTCTTAAACTTTCAACTCTATTGATTCTATACTCTTCCAACATTGTTATGTATCATTGCCCATTACTCAGCACCATAAATTTTTATGATCTGAGGATGAATTTCGCATGCCTACGTTTTTGTAGCATATCAAAGCTCTCACTTTATTTCCAGTTCATTTTCATCTCTTCACATATAAAATCACTCGCACAGCTACTAGTATAATCTCTACTATGACAAAAATTTACAAAACAGTTCTCACCCATTGATTTATACTGGATGAATTTGATTGCCTCCTACTGCTTTTGCAGATACAGTATCCTGCTGATGGACTAGTGGTAGAAGTGTATGATGAATGTATAAAAGCTTGTCTCGAAGTAAGATAAATGCTTCACTGTCAGAGTACTTGTATGGGATGATAGTTCTAAAGTGGTATATGTATTCAAACTGGAAAGATGTTCTTCTTCAACTTCTTTCATTTTTTTAATTACCAAACAATACTACTTTTTTGATGTGACTTACGTATTATATTTTATCTATATATAATAAATTTTTGCTCAACTGTACCGAAAGAATTCCCTGCATAATTAATCTAAAAAACTCTTCTTACCAAAAGAACTAGCTCAGGATCTCCCATGGTGGCAATGGCAGTGCAGAGTTTTCTCTTGGTACCTCCACTGAGTGTTCGTACTGGGCAGTCAGCATGGATGCTTAGTTCTAGGCTTTGTAGGCTATGGTCAACCAACTGAAAACAAAGTTTTAAATTTTATTGTAAGTACTAGTATAAGAGAAATTGCAAAATAAGAAGTATTCATATATTAGAGAACAAGTTAAAAACAGAAAAATGATTAAAAAATGATTCAAATAAATAAACCTACTCCTTTTAGAGTTAAATCGTCACTCAGCGTTCAGGCCATTAAGATGTTCACAGTAACTTAACAGTTCATGTAAGGACTGTTAATTGCAATTATTAGCTGATTATTGTTTTTTTTTTTTTTTTTTTTTTTTTTTGATAAAAGTATTTTACATTGTTTGATAAGGATATATAAAAATCTATGTTTTAATAAGAAAATTTTATATTGTTTTTGTTATTAAAAGCAAATAATAATTATAATAAATCAGACCTTTTGTGTTTGAGATGGATGTATGCCTCTTAGACCAGCATAAACTTCTAAATGCTGTCTAGCAGTGAGGAGGGGATCAAGAGCATCCTTCTGAGGACAGTAACCAAGGAAGCGGTGCTTCTCATATGCTTTTGATCTGGAAAGCATTATTTTATTAACTTAATATATTTCCAATACGTAATGAAATAATGAGTTGTCCAGAAACTACTTTCGTTTTTCTCAAAAGAGAGTTGTAGTATGACAGAAATTTTAATGTTATTTGAAATAAATCTTTGAGAATACATTATGGCAAGCAATACACAGGTATTAGCGGATAGTTTGAATAAAAATTATTGAAATCATAGAATATTTGCATCAGCATTTTATTCTTATGTATTGAGAATGAAAATTCACATTTTACTTTTTTATTTCTATAAAGAGCTGTAGATGTATACAAGTTTTTTTTTGGTGTGTATGGTGGTGATGCACTAACATAACGTATATGCCAGTAATTAGTTTACAGAATTTCATTCTAGTGATTTTTCAGTTCCAAATGGATTGCGTTCTAATAAACCAACTAATACTGATGATGACAAATTAAGAGCTGTGATTTATGCTGTCATATAATTGTATGTAAGCCTGCTGAGAGTCAAAAGTACATTCAAAACAACCATTTGAATACGTTTAGTTATATAAAAATGCTGGATGTTTGGATTCCGTATGAACTCAAAAGAAATTCATTTGCTACAACATAATGGCTATGTGATTTGCTTTTAAAATATTAAGAAATTGATCAATTTTTGAAACGATTAATAACTGGTAACGAAAAATGTTAACTGGTAATTTTTTACAGTAACACTGAATGCAAAAGATCATGGTCCTAACATTTATCAGAAGAAAATTATGTTTATATTCCGGAGGATTATAAAAGAATTATGTATTACCAAAGCTTGACCAAAATCATGAGCTTTTACCAAATACTGTCAATATACTGTCAACAACTAATAAAACTGAAACGTTCTTTTAAACAGAATTGTGACACATACAAATAATTCTGATACTGTGTTTCATAATTATAATGCCAAATTACATTATTACATTTGTATCTTTAGTCACTCATGAGAAATTATTGAAGCTTATTGGGAATGTATTATGACATCCACATAGCTACAACATTTCATCAATAGACTTATTCATTTTATGCTCTGCAAAACTTTGTTGAGTTAAAAAAAACCTTCATTTCAGTTAATAATATCAGCTATCAACAACTGGAAGTTTTTTTTTTTTTTCTTAAAAAATATATATATATATATTATTTATTTATTTATTTTTTTTTTTTGAAAGTGCAATCATTAAGTTTCTGAAAGATGGCAAATAGTTATTGACCAAAATATCAATACATTGCTATATGAAGTTATTTCTTTGTATAAAAACTTGTTTTTTTATTGTAATGTTTAAAGAAAAGGTCCCAGCAAAAGTAGTTTATGGACTCAATAGGTAATGAAATAACTTAAAAACAGAGAGCAATATAAATAAGTAATAAGAAACATTTTTATTATCATACTTAAATTTCGAAAGATTCTAGTACTATATTTATTACAATAAATATAATACTAGCCGACAGTTATCAGAAATATAAAACCAAAAGTTTCTTTTATTTATATCTTAAAACAAGAAAACTTGACAATTGAGTAGCAGAGCAGTATTTCTAAATGTGGACAATACTGGTTGCTTAAGGGTATTTGAATTATTTTGGTTAACTTTAGATATCAAGTGGTGACAGAGGTCTTGATATTATTATAATAAAATTCTTAAAAATTGAAATAAATTACGCGTAGGATACATATTATGTACTCTTTTCCATAAACAATATTGTTGTGTGCGTAATAGATTGAATGCACACAGTGACAACAATAACCTGATATATATATATCGAAAAACATAATTATATACATATATTATATATATAATCTATTTATTCCGGACAAAAGCTGGTACATCACATATATATATATTTTAACCAAAACGAACACTTTACATTCTCTGACCTTCCACAAAAACACTCATACAGCTCTTCTTAGTATCAGAGACCACAATCAGTACTACACTAAAAACGTTAAACAAAATGCAATGCAATGGACATCTAAAGAGCGAAATTCACATGAAGATATCTCAATACTCGACTCTGAACTGAGAAAGTGAGAGCTAGTGCTTTCTTCGGTCTTATATAGTTTTACCCCGGCCACTGAGAGATCTTTAGTACTTTCCATTTATTGAAATTACTGAAGAGCATATACGGTTAAAATTACATATAAGGGTCGGATACAATTACAATTACACATTGGGATCAATTACAGGACAAATTACAGTTACGAAGGAACGGGACCAAAATGGTCGCCAAAACTAATGCTAGCTTGGCGATATCTCGGCAATTCAGCGAGATAGCAATTTACCTCAATGTTAAACAGATTTCTCCCTGTAATCATGTTTTTCTGGCAGACATTCGACTCTTCAGATTTTCTTGGCACATTATACAAAATATACTATAATTTCAAAAATAACTTCATTCAGATTATTTACATATATACAAAAATTCGTAACATTAATTAGAGCTTTGTGCCATCTTTTGAAAGCGAGAAATTAGCTACAAGTGTCAAAAGTTGTGATTTATACCTTTTACTAACAAAGCATAATTTTAATAATTGATAACTATTAGATCTCTATCAACTTTATCCATTCTATTGATTTAATAATTAATGTTACTATTGCATTATAGTAAAAAATCGGGAAACGCCGTATACGTGAAAATTCCGGATATGGTTATGATTAACAGAATGGCAAAACTTATGGGGCTATCTGCCTAAAGGGTGGAGAACTTTCTAAGGGAAACTGGCTCGTATTCGCGTTACGTATGGCAAAAATCACGAACATTAACCATGCAGCCAGCCTGTTTGCGAGGGATCGAACCACCAGCATTCAGAGGTCTTAACCATTGGACTACTGGTGGTGCAAAATTGCCATACAGTTGAGCATATAAAAATGCAATTCACTGTAGAAAAGCTAAATGAATGTAAGAACTTTCTACTCCAAAATTACAAAAACAGCTTACTTGCTGTTAACTTAAACATTAAAAAGCTTTCATTCAAAATTATGCAAGATAATTGCATAATTATGCAAGATAATTGAATAATTATGCAAGATAATTGAATAATTCCCGGAGGGAGGGAGCATTTCAGATATAATAGCCGACAGATTTCATAGACCTTAAATATACGAAAATAAAACATCTTATATGATTATGAAATCCCGTCGACCATGAAAGAGATGTAGCCGAAATTGCGTCAATAATTTTTTCAGAAATTTAAAGAAATATATTGTTATTTCTTTAATAAGATGATGAACAGATACAAGATCAACAGATACAGATATAGCGTATACAAAACTTTATCGCATTATTTCGTGTTGCATAATCATTATTTACACTCATGTCCATAAATTAAGGATAATTCGGAGTCACGCGGAAATCGAACTCTAAAATAAATATATCACCTGTAAAATCACTACACACATCTTCAAGAATCATATGCAAATTTCAGGAAGTAACCAGATGACACCGATGGTACGTCACAATGACGAGAGTGATATATAAGGAATGCAGGCAAAGAAGTAAAATTGTTCGCAGGCGCTTTATAAGCATTTCAGTGCAATAACCGAATAGTTATGACACAAAGGACGCATTTGGATGATATTTTACGTAGTAGAATTATCGGCCGTCTGGAATGTGAGCGTACCCAACTGGAAGTATCAGACGAACTTGGAATTGCCCAGAGTGTTATCTCCAGGCTTTGGTAACGATTCCAAGATGATGGTAATGTGAGTAGACGTTACAGCACAGGCCGCCCCAGAGTTACAGCGCCGAATGAGGACCAGCATTTGGCAGTTACTGCCAAAAGAAACAGGCGGAGCACAACTTCAGACCTGTCTCGTCAGCTCTCTTCAGCCACTGGTACGACAATTTCAAGCCAGACCGTGTACAGACGCTTAGGGAAGATTGGTCTATATGCTCGTAAACCTGTCAGATGCGTTCCACTTACTGCAACTCACTGTCGCCTGCTGTTAGCCTGGAGTAGAGAGCATGCATTATGGACACCACAACAGTGGGCTTGTGTGATGTTTTCCGACGAGTCCAGGTTTAGCTTGCAGTCTGATTCTCGCCGGACTTTCATATGGAGAGCTCCAGGTACCCGTTACCACCAAGAAAACATCATTGAACGACACCGTTACGGTGGTGCCGGAGTGCTCGTTAGTGGTGGAATTATTCTGGGTTCCAGAACCTACATGTTCAAATTGGAACCATGACAAGCCAAATCTATCGGGACGTCATTCTGGAACAACATGTACGTTTGTTTCGGGGCGCCATGGGCGCACAATTTGTGTTTATGGATGACAACGTCCGTCCTCATCGTGCAAACATCGTAAGCGAATGCCTTCAATCGGAGGATGTCACCCGTATGGACTCGCCAGCATTCTCACCGGACTTGAAGCCAGTAGTATTGTGTATTTATTTTCAAATGAAGTCGCCTGTTGTATCTATCAATGTACACTTTTCTACATGCCAGGATCCCGTAACTTTGAAAATACTGCACAGTATGCTATTTTGTTGAAGGTAGGTCCAAAAATTTAATCTTTTATTTTCGCCTAAAATGCAGGAGAGAAAAATAACAATTACGAGATATTACCTTCTTTACGAAAACTGGTGTTTTTCTGTTAACAGGCGCCACTCGCCAAATGTTTACATTCCTTCCTAATTCCCTTAATGAAGATTACATACTTCAATAATAAGAATTAGTATATAATTTTATAAACATAAAGAGAGTAAAATTTGCTTTTTTAACTTGTATACTTAGTAAAACTATTGTGATGCACGAATTAATCGGTTTTGTGTTATACTCTGCAGGTCTTTAAAATTGCTACCCCACGAAGTAAGAGGACAACAAACCTGAAGTTTGAAGGGAAAGGTCAAGGGTGGATGGTGCTATTGGAAATTCGAGAACTTCACGAGGTGCCGGAGCCCGTGGAGTCCCCTTGTTACGTGAAACTGATGATTTAAAAAATATGAAATATTAATCATAGCTGTTGAATTCCTGCAGTAAAAAACGATAAACTTATAGGATGTGGTTTGGTTTGATGTGATTACGACAAAGCCTCGAGAGCTATCTGCCTAAGGAAAGAGATGCCTCTGTGGAGGACTTTTTAAGAGAAACTGGCTCGTATACACGTTGCACATAGGGGTAACCATGAAAACGCCCATGCAGCCAGCCCGTTCGCGGGATGCGAACCTCGGACCGAACTACCACTGTTCAGTGACTTTACCGCTCGGCCACTGGTGAGCCACTATAAAATTATAGGAAGAAAATATAATGACACTCTTAAAAATCAAAAGATACATTAATGGTACCATAGTAAACTTGACCGGATAATGTTACTTAATCTGGTCTGGTTCACTTGATCTGGTAATATTAATTAATCTAACAACTCTAACAGGTGTGAAGGGAATTATCGCTATGTCTGAAGCATCTACAAAATCGTGAGTGGATTTAAATAACCTTTTCATTCAAACATAATTTAGAACATAAACTCACTCTCTTGTGCAATATCAGCCTCAGGTTGTGGTGATGCAACTAAATACAACAGTCAAATCAAACGTGGAACAGTAGTCAAAGACTACACAACTATCATTACATTACTATAAGCTGGTTCAGTAACCCTACCGGAGCGTCACTATTATTATATTACTATAAGCTGGTTCAGTAACTCTACCGGAACGTCAAAACATAAAAAAATAAAAATAAAAATAAAAATAAATAAATAAAAAAAATGTCGACAGCAATAGAATGCGAAGTTGAATAACTACGACTATCAGAGCATAGAAAAAAAAAACAAGAAAACAAGAAACTAACACATAGAGTGCACGCGAAGCGAGAAACACGTTCGGTCTCAGAAACCCAAAACCTCAGTTTAAATACTGGCTACCTCATTCTGGTGAGGAATGCGGAAAGGAGGTGTTATAGTAGAGACCGAAACCGTAATAATGGGTTAATTTAAAATAATGACTTTACAAACTCATCGTTTTAATTCTATCATCGTTAGCTCATCTCGAGATCCAGTGGATGTTATGAGAATTTGCAGTCTCTGAGTCCAAGAGGGCTACTCCGAGCAGTGTATGGTATTTCAACGGCCTCCACTCAACCAGCGCTTGAGACGACAGGCACCTTGTCTGTATCACTTTAGAGATTGTAGAACTCCATCACGTATCCTAGGCGATGAACCTGGGTATGTTATATTGCACCAAGTAAATCTGCATGTATGGTACGACGACATCCGCAGTGTTACGAACTATCAACAAGGTAACGATTACTTTGCTTCCGTTGATGTTACATCACCGGTATCAGCTGATGAATCCCGCTTTTACAGCATTATGAAAGCCTATAGGAACCGAGATTACATTATGATTGCCGAAAGGGAATCGTAATGTAATCTAATCGGGTGGAAAAAATGCGGGACGGGTACGAAGGCTGAATTGTTCATCATCATACCGGTCTAGCATCATGAGTATGGGATGCCATTGAGTACTCCTTCCTTATCCACATATCCAGTACTTTGACCAACTACTGCTATATAAGTGATGCTTCAATGTTCATGGCTGTGTCATATCTTCGGAGCTTTCGTTGCCTCACCTTTCAGCGGTGTAAGACGGCACTTTTAAGCATGCTGGTCTTTTTCCTCAATACACGGGATATTCGATATATTCGACCTGGGGCATTCTCTAGATCTCTGATCAAGTATTTTAACCTCAAATAAGCTTTTTAACTATAATGAAAACTCTAAATTTCGTCGAAAACGGTCTTATATACTTACTGATAACATTCATGAAAGGTTCTGAATTCAACTCACTTATATTAGAAAATATTGTTCTATATTTCTTGTATTCTGAATGACTTTTTAAGTTGACAATAATAGATAAATAAAGAAGAACTTTCATTGCATTTAAATATTGGAATAAATATAATTACTGATAATACTGACTGGGAACCAATGCGAAGTATTCTGCCAGATGTGGGACGAATTTCTCCGATCAGAAGACGAAATAATGTAGTTTTCCCGGCACCGTTTGCTCCAACCAGGCCAAAACACTAAAAAATAGCATAAAATGGATACGAAATTATTACGATCCGTAATATAATTTGAGCTTAAGTAATCGTACAAAAACTGTCCATTAGTAATATAATATTAAACTGATACTGATTTTATATGAGTAGTGATAAATTTGTGCTCATAAGTGAAAAGCTGGACTATTTAATTATTAGGTAGGTAATAACAGGAATATTATATTACTAATGAAAAAAAATTCGTGCTGAAAGACATAATATAAGTCAACAGAAACATCTGTTATTAATGAGAATAATGCTATAAATATTTGTAATATTTATAAGCTGAATATAATTAAAAATGAAATGTATTCTGAATCAGTAAATCATATTATTAAAAAGTATAATTTAAATTATTAAGAAGTATATTTATTACTTTCTCAGTTTGTTAAGCTTTATGATTATAGTTTGAAAGACAAATTGAAAGATCTGTCACATTGTACAGCATCACTATGCAAATTGGCTATGTATCAGGCAGCGCAGAGGATAAAAGTCTTACATCTCATCCATTTCCAATACTGGTTGCATGGATGGTAGCATGAAGTAACGAAACAGAAACATTTGTACGGATTTTTCTAAAGATGTTTCTAATGCTAAAATATACTTTTCACACTCTTTTTCATACAAATCCATACCATACGTACACATGAAGATACCTCAGAAATTTGAGAAAAATTTTGGTATGTTTCAAGTTAAAAGAAATTTACTTGATTGGTACGCCAAAAAATATTAACTGAAAAACCGAACATTAACTGAACATCGATACTGAACATTAACTGAAAACCGATATTGAGCATCTGTAAATATTTGTTCAGACAATGGAGGAAAAATTGCATTTTAACTTTCAGAACTTTGTGAAAAATATGAAAATATACAGAAAAATACAGGTCATATTTTTCAAATCCCTTCTATTAATAACGTACACATTTTAACTATGACGGATTAATACTTACTTCACCCACTGGTATGTTTAGACTTAAGTTATCAACAGCATATTTGTTTCCAGCTTTACTGGGGTATACCTGCAAAATTAGAAATTACGCTTATTATCTTCTGTAATTCAGAAAAAGAAAGGCACTATTATAATAAAAATTAATGACTAGTTTCAGATTTTCTTTTTTGAAAATAAATTTTCATACATTTCTAAAAAGTATATGAATTTTCATTTTAGCTTACTTTAAAATTTATATAATTGTTGGTAATGATTTCAAAAAAACTTTGTATAAAAGTTATACGAAAGATTAAATTTTAAAGTGAATTTAAGAAGGAATTGATAGAAGAGAGCACACTTTTACCTTTTTTTCTAACTTCAGATATACAGTGAAGCCTCAGTTTACGAAAACAATTCGTCCATAAAGGCCGTTCGTGAACTAAAGGGTTTGCAAACTGAAAATTGTTTTCCTTAGAAAATTTTTCTTTAGTTAATGTAAAATGGATTGATTAATCCATTCCTAGAGCACTGTTGAGTGCATATTTGAACGTTTACGACAGAAGCTTTGGCATAAATTTATAAAACAAAACCAACTGAGAATCATTAAATCTAAGACGGCAAAAAGGTAAACGCAATACAGAACATATAAAAATAGAAGAAAACTTAATTTAGTTTTAAAAAAGGAAGAAATATATTTGGAGAAGAATCTCTTTGGTAACACAGAGAGTCCCTCTGCCTTCGAGAGTCCCTCTCTCTTTTTTTTATCATTTAGGGCCAGCCAACTCTGTTTGGGACCTACTGGATCGTTGTCTGAAAACATATTTCCAGTATATTTTCTTAATGGTCTATATTTCAAAATGCTCCTAAAGTTAGATACGGCAGGATCTCTGCAAATGCTTATTCTGTGCTTTGCTACTACTTTATCAGAATGACATCGTTCCATGAAGCTTTGCATCTTACTCCATTTTGCAAAAATTTTGGGTACAAAAAACTAAGATCATCATCCCTTCCTTCCTCTTTCTTCAGAAAACATTTTCTTCACAGTTGGCTTTGTTGCTGCTTTTGAAACTGTCGCAATTTTTCCGCGCTGAGCTAATTTTTTTTTTTTTGTTCCATAGTCACTGATTTTATATAGAGAAACAATATTATGTCTAACAAATAAGTCCTCTGTATTAAAATCTTCAAAGTCAGTGTCTGCAGCACAGTTTGGCCATAATTTCCTCCAGGTTGAAGTCATGGTCACTTGTTGCTAGGCTTTGTTAATGAGAATTAAGTTATGGAGAATATCAAACTACACTGCATTTTGAAAAACTCGCTTATTACCAGACCAGACAAGTATCTCTTAATGCTGAGAATTAGGCAGCTGATTTTTAATGCTAAATTTTACATTATTCAATCATAAACCATTATTCCAACTGCGCTGTAGTATAAAACAAAGCGCTTTCACACTAGCCTATACACAAACAATGTTTAACTCCCAAACAAGTGTATTCAAGCCCTCTCCATTATTCTCAAGAATCGCACTTCATGTAGTTATTTACTTGTCCTAAAAGGTGCTTCTCAAAGGAAAATGTTTTTCTTACATTGAAGAAATGCACGAAATGATAAGAACGGCTTTTACAGCCATAATACAAAAGTGTTGTTTCTTTTATTATTCCATTATGCTGTTACTACTTGCATCGACATTAAAGGATCGTGGTGTCTACGACTATACTATTTTTTTAAATTGTTTATATTAACACATATTTTTAAAGTTATTATATATTTATTATTTGATTGCCACACTGAAACTGTTTATTTGCTAAAGTGTTCCCCAAGTATTAAAATAATGCTATCAAATGATGAATCTGATAAGGAAAGAGACTTCGTATTCAAAATTTATAATAACCGATCTTGTTGTATCCCTCCAAATCTGGGGTCCCCAACCTTTTTATTCCTAAGAACACATTCTAGAATATCTGCTGGACGGCGGGCACCATTTACTTTATCACACTAGTTAGAATTTATAGTTGGACAGAGTTAATAATACATGCACATGAAAAGAGAGAGAGAGATCGATTTCGCTTGAATAACTACAGGAAGTGCTGGTATCTGTGTTGGATGCAATTTCTATTTCATTAAGAATGAAAAAACGTTCGTATAGAATTTTATTGAAAACTAAAACATTTTTATCGTCATCGCACAGCGGTGGGCACACGTTAAACGATCGGCGGGACCTGGTGCCCACGGGCATAGGATTGGAAACCCCTCCTCTAAATTAATTTGGATAAAAATCTTTTTTTAACAAACAGAGTTGTTTTCCTCTCTGCGGGTGTCACAGCACATAAATATTTATACTAGGAAGATTAATTTTTATCTAAGCGAATAAATAGTAAATTAAATTATTTAAGTACATACATAAGCATACACACACACACACATATATATATATATAGTATATATATACATTTCTCTTAAAAATACATACTTGAGAAATATTTTGAATCTGTAGTAAAAACTTTGAATCATCTTCCGTAACAGTAGACATTACTGGCCTTTTGCTACCAAATATTAACCTGAAAAAATGTAATTTTATGTTCTCACATTCTCTTAAGAATTAAGAATAACACAGAAAATTAATGAATGAATTTGAACTGATATAAAAGGAAAAGAAAGAATTCTTATAATTAGTTAATATACTGGATTATGGCAAAGCATACTAAATATATCTATCTGTCTAATGGGAGGGATGTCTTCGTAAAGGACATTCTACAAGAAAGTGGTTTGTATCAAAATCTATCGAAGTGCTGATAGAGCGATCGCCAGCTGTCCAAATGGCATATAATAGTAGTATACTCAAACAATTTTACTATCCTTTATAGTCTATTTATATATTTATGATAACAGATTGATGACTTATGCATATCTCTTATAACTTCCATAGGAAAATCTTAAGACATGTATATCAGAAAATATATTTTTGTCTTTTAGAGAGTGCAAAATATTAAAAAACAGCCTAGATAATGCGTGTAAATGAAAAAGACGGCAAATTCGTGAGTTTAGTGTGGTGCTCATGGTACGTATTAAATATTTAAATAGATGTGCAATCCCTCTGAAATGTTTCTGTTTTTTCATTAAAGTCGTAAAGTTTGCAATACATTTTATGAAAAGGTGGGCTGTTTAAAACATATTCGATTAAAAATTTGAAATCTGCCACTTATACATTAACGTACTGTATCGTCATTTGTTAGAGAAATTGTTAAATTAGCTCAGAACCTATTATAAAACCTACACATTTTTGAGTTTATTAAATCTATAGAGGTGAGTTATAAAATTTCATAAATTAAGGCATTTACAAACAGCGCAATGACCAAAGTGGCCTCATTTACAAGGCAACCCAGCATTTTTTTAATATATGTCCCAAGGAAAAGAAAAAAAAAAAAAAAAAAAAAAAGAGGATTTGGCTATAACATAGCCTTATGAATTTGAGTTTGTTATATTGTTCTTCAAGAATTTTCATTGAAAATTGATAAATTCCGTACAGGTTAAGCAAATACATTTTTAATGCGAAATTTAAGGGATTAAAGTTCTTATTATATTTTTTAAATGTGGAATAAACATATGAAATAAATATCATATCAAAACGATTATTTTATGCTAGGTATGTAACATGCGTAACATGAACTTTTATTATATAATTATAGTATTTTCGGATATTAATTATTAAGAAGTAAGTTAACAGCATTTGAATATCCCAGTTTCTTATACAACTACAGTTATAATTTCAGTTATAATTTAATTATGCAATGTCAAATGGAAGCATTCTTGGATTTGGCTATTTGTGGGACGACGTGGAAAGTTTAAGTTAAAGATCTTATGTCTATTGGAATGACAACGCTTGCCAGGTCACAAGTGTCATAAATGCTTTTATAACTATAAAGTTATAATGTATTTTCTTCTGCCTTCGCGAAGTAATTGGATGCATACTTTGATGCGTATTCGAGAGGTCCAGGTTCGAGTTCCGGAGAGGCATTTCTCATTTTTCACGTTTCCTGCTTATATTATAAAAAAAAAAAAAAAAAAAAAAAAAAAAAATTAAAAATGGCGGTAACAAGTAAGAAGGAGAGGCCCTAACTGGTTTTCCCCATACGCTGAAGCACTGGCGATCCTTTCGTGGTGAACAAAGCATTAAGTGACTTACCATTAAGATCGATGGGTTTGAACACGATCGGATGTAAACATTTTGTAATTACGTCGTAAATATACATATAGATGTATATATTTTCTTTTTATATAATATTTCAGAGCCCTAAGTATGTAAAAAAAAAATTAAACAACATTTCATTCTGAACGGAATTAAATGCTATACTTTTCACAGAACAGTTTGCTCAGAACGGTTTAATTTGAATGAAATATTTTAACAAGTTTTCGTTAATTACATTAGAAAAAAAAATTAAGGTAATTCGATTTTATTCGGTAAAGGATTACAAAAATTAAGATTAAAGTAATAAAGTAGTAAAGTAATTTCAAAGTAATAAAGTAATTTTAATATTGCATTATTTCTTTTCTATTTATAGATCTTCTTCAAAAATACTCTCTCAAATATGACATGATTTTTTAGCTTCTGAGGCATCTTTTAAATCGAAAAATCGAAGTCAATTTATAATTATGCTCTATTCAGTTCATTTCAAATTAGAGCACCTTTTAGTTTTAATTAGTGAAATACGTTAAACTATTGGTGCTCATTTCTATGTACTTAACTTTCTCTGAATATTTTTCTAAACGGGAAGAAAAGAAAAGGACATTTTTGTAAATATTATTTAGAACTTGTAACTGAGTTATTATAAAATGTAAGGGGAATAATTCTTTTAATTATACTTATCAAATTTGTTTTTATCCTTAATTTCAACAATACATATTTTAAAACTCTTCTTTATTACTTCCTTAAGTACGCATCTTATAGAATTTGCTTTACAATACTTTCTAGCAGATTGCTTTCCAGTACGAACAATTCCTGCTTAAATAGTTTTATAAACGTATTTGTCAACAGGATTTCAATTTATGTTCACGATTCATTATTAAGGTTATTATATATTTATAATCATTATAATTTACATTAATTTAATAATTATATTTATTTTATTTAAAACATTTTTGCGTTTGGAACATAAAATAAAAGTAGCGAATACTCTATCAAGTGTTTTCGAAAGACGTATGCAATTTTAAAGTACAGTAAGGTATTTTTCATTAAGCATAACATTTTTGCTAAAATCTATATTTTTTTAGTTCAACAGCTTATAATTTTATAAAACAAATTCATAATCAAAATCGCTGTTGTTAGTTATCGAAAAATAAACAAGATGCGATTTTTTGCGCAAATGTCACTAAACTATACAAATTGCTATTATTCGTCACACAATGAATGTTTCTTTTATACGAAAGGGCCCACCAGCGGCCGAGCGGTAAAGTCGCTGAACACTGGTAGTTCGGTCCGAGGTTCGAATCCCGCGAACGGGCTGGCTGCATGGGTGTTTTCGTGGTTTTCCCCATGTATAACGTGTATACGAGCCAGTTTCCCTTAAAAAGTCCTCCACGAAGACATCCCTTTCCTTAGGCAGATAGTCCTAGTGTGCTTTGCCATAATTAAATACACACACACTTTTAGGCGAAAGTGTCCCGTTTTTTTTTTTATTTGTATGGCCGAAGCAATGCGGAGTTGGCCCCTCCTTTCTTTCTTACCTCCATGGGGAAAAAAAAAAAAAAAAAAAAAAAAAAAAAAAAAAAAACTAATGGCTTTACAAGTGGCGCCCGAATTAAAATAAAAGGCGGTGAACGATAATTAGTCACCAGCAGGATTTGGCGGTTGGATCCGCTCATCTCTAGTCGCCCTTTAAAAGGGAGGGTATAAAAGGTGATACTCTATATCAAATTGTGGAGTGCGAAATGTGCCCATGATCGTGTGTGATGAAGAATATATTTTTGATAATTAGTTCGTATCCACCAATAAAAGTGATATTCAATTCGGCCACGTCTGTCTACAAGTCTTCCCTTCGAGTGGCATCTTTCTGACTACGCGGTAAATTCTCACCAAGATTCAACGAAGAGAACCATAGTTAATCTGTTTCAGCAAGTTATCGTATTACATAGATATATATATAAACCCCGGTTCGTTGAGCGCAGTCTTTTACTCTTACATGTTGGCAAATTGTGCATTTTGCGCTTTAAAAGTGATTGAACAGCGTTTTCCCCATGTTCCGGTTAAGGCTTTTATGCGCCTAGTCAATCCGCATGCAAAAGTTGTAGAACCATCAACAATTTAAAAGTTTTTTTTGGCTTATTACGTGTTCCGCCCTTAGGCACTACACGGAAAGAGAGGGATGCCCCGTGGAGGTCTTTTTAGGGAAACTGGCTCGTATCCATGTTACACATGGGGAAAACCACGAAAACGCCCATGCAGCCAGCCCGTTCGCCGGGACTCGAACCCCGGACCGAACTACCAGTGTTCAGCGGCTTTTACCGCTCCGCCGCTGCTGGGCCTAATTTAAAAGTTTAAGCCGCCGTTTTTTTACATTTGAAACTCTAAGTAGAATCGTGAATTGAGTCCGTTTATGCATAAACTTTAGTATCTTTCCCCCGGGTTTCTGAGATACGACTACTATTTGATTTCTCTGTTTCAGTTCAATGTGGCAGAAAAAGGAGTCGTGGATGATTAAATATAAGTCAAACAATTAATCTAATGGTGATCAAAATTTTATACTGCAGCAACTTTCTCATATCAAACTGAAAAAATGACATAATTTCGCACTTGGAGACAAATGTAACCCTGAGTTTCTTAGCACATCTATGCAAATATAGTACTGTAAAGAGCGAAATTTACCATAGACTGCATTCCGAACTTTCCTCTCTATTAATTTTAAAGTTTCTCAGTTTTTATCTGGTCACGGTTTCGTTTCAGTCTATGATAAAATAATTTATGTGAATGTTAAAAAAATGCACCTCAAGATGTGAAACATTTAAGCTTTTCACGCTACCTTTAATGACCCTAAATTATGCTTGCAAAACAGTCTGAAAATGTTCGGCGGGACTTGGCCAGTGAACTTATCTGTTTTCGTGAAGTCCAGAGTGCTGTTTGTTCTCTGTTTTTGTTCGTTTTATTTATGCATGTAATATTTTATGTTTTATTTAACTTACTTTTGTAAGCCCGTGTTGTAAATCTGTGGTTCACGGGGAGATTGTAAGTGTTCAAAAAAGAAATGTGCTCTCGAAAATTGTATGTAAAGGGGAAAAAAACGCCCTATAGGCCGTTATATAAAACCTGAAAGCTTTCAGGATTTTAAAACAAATTTTTTCCCCTTTGTTTGCATTAACCATATTTCATTTTATGCTGCAATTTCAAAATTCGATGCAAGCTGAATTACGACTATATAGTTAAGTGTATGTATGATAATTTAATTTTAAATAAAAGTTTATTTTTAATTTCAGACTCCTTAATTTTATTTTTAATTAGAAAATTTCACTCATTCAAGTTACATTTCTTTTTAATATATAACGTGATCTTTTACAGCGAAAATTTAAAGCGTTATTATTAACAGGCGGCTTCTTTCCAAAAAGCTTAATTAGCTTGTAGAGTCATTAGGTTAATTTGAAGCAGTAGACAGGAAAACTGAGCAAAGCCCTCGCCAAGACTCGAACCTGGACCTCTAGAATATGCGCCGTGTGTGTTACACCACAAAGGCATGCTTCAGGAAGGGAGAAAATATCTTATATAGTCCTCCTTTTAAACGGCGACTGGAGATTAGAGGACCCACTTACCAAATCCTGATGGTGACGAATTATCGTGCACTACTTTTTAGTTCGAGCGCCATTGTAGAGTCTTTAGGTTATTTTGAAGCAGGAGGCATGAAGAATGAGCAGTGCCCTCGCCAGTGTGCGAACCTGGACCTCTCGAATACGCGTCGAGTGTGCTACGAAGGCATGCGGAAAGGAGAGAGAAAATACCTTAGCTTAAAGCACTTCCTAAATGCATCATACCCCTCCTTCAGCCACCGACTTTTATATGTGAGAAATAATTTTAAAAAAATCATGTATGGGTTTAAAAGACAGTCTTACATCCATCCTCTAATGAGAAAATTAAGACCCTTAATCACTTGCTAACTTTCAAATTGAAAACTTAACTCTCGTGTTATCTCTTATTGTAAAAATATGAAACTTACGCTCCAAAATCAAAACTAATATGTACTTCCTTGTTGGTGCTGGATTTATTTCGTTTAGTTTTGTATCTATCACGTCAGTTACGCTGGAGGTAAAGTGACATGTTGCCTGTTTATTGTTGGAAAAAATCTCCAACATATCAACAAACTAATATATTTCATGTTGGGAAAAAATTTCGTTTGGAAAAAGCAACGTATCAACACATTAATGCAGGATTATTCATAATTCTGCGAAACATTTTAAAAATTTATCCTAACTAAACTATACAACCAATAACAATTGTTTTTATATTGAAATGGAAAAAAATTCAGCAAGCACTTTAACATATTTCACAAACACTGAATATGTTCACATTTGCTGTGGTCTATGTGATAAACCGTTTCGTCTTACATGCGTGCCAGAATGGAAGGATCGAACGCAGTCATAGCGTCAGTGATACGAAATTTTCTTTTGCCAAGATGCAGGACATTACTGTAAACGGAGATAAAAAGGTCCTTGACAAACCTCCCTGACTCATGAAGTCTCATGGAAATTAAATTCGAAAACTAGGATGTCTATCAAATTAACGCATCATCTCCTCGTCTTGTGTGTCTTGTCTATCCTAGTGGAAAATTTTGATTGAGATACTTTCGCAAATCCAGCTTTCAGATGTGTCCAAATAAATCCTCCCAGTACTATACAGGTGTTGCCGAAACAGTAGAGGTGGGCACACTAAAAGTTTGAGAAATATGTTTTAAAAAAAAGTAATTTTTTCCCATTTTAGTGCAATAAAGTTTGGTTTCGGTTGTATAAATTATTTGATATGAATTTTAATTTTCTTTATGGATTTACGAACCCTGTATATTACATGTATTTTTATGTATAATACATAGAAAAATTAATAACATAATGGATGGAAGGCATTTTTTAGCACTTGTATTAAACGGTCATGTATTAAATCAGATTTCTTAATTTCTGACTGTATCCATATTAATAAAATCAGCTGTCCTTCTAAAGGCAGAATAGAAACCTGCTACTTTAGTTCCGTTACTTTCACATCAGCATTCCATTTACAAGACATATTTATGATTACGATTTTCTTACTCACCTTTGACACCAATGCTTTAAAGGTAGGATTTCCAAAAGGAGCGTAAGAAGGAAAAATAACAAGCCTTGGATAAACAATGAAACATAATTAGGTCCTAGAGAGTTCCAGCCGAAAGGCGACAAGTATACATCCTGGCCGAACTGGGCAAAAATTTCAGTCCGGATCTGATTCTCGTTGAGGTCAGTCAGGCCTCCTACCAAACTGTACTGAGGAAAAGCCAGGGATACTTTCTGCACGAGCTCCAAAGTGACGGCGATGTCCTAAAGAAAAGAAATTTCTAATAATTATGTTAGAAATGAATACCTGTTATAAGATTTCTTCAGAGTCTGGAGAACTTAACTTCAAAAGTTAGCTTGTTTATAATAATTTCTAGCCAATATATTTCTTGTATTTATCATTCATTACGTTGTGAAGTTTATTTGCCATTGCAACATTTTTTTGAGTGTCGTCTTTTGTTCTCTAAAAATTGCCGGACTCCAGCGCATGTTGGATGCAATACATATTCCCCTCTAATCTCTTTTCTGCGGTTATTATTAAGTCATTCTAAGCTCTCCTTTGAATATGGAAAGTTATTGTTTTTTTAAATATTATGATAATAATTCATTTTTGAAGTGAATTTCTGTGTTTCTTTTTAATTGCTGTTTCTAGATTGTAATGCTAGTGTGGGACAGATCTACGTCTCCCGTTCTACTGGGCCGATTGATGAAATTTAATATTTAACTTTTTCATATCTCGAAAGCTTGACTTGGAATATGTATTAGATTTTTATATAGCATTGCTCTAACATAGGTATTCTGACACAAAATCGGACTTTTTCTGAAAATGACATATCGATTTTTTTCCATGCTTCGATTCTACTACTCAAATTATGCCAAGTGTAAATATTGGACGAATAGATTTTAAAAAATTAGCTCTAAAAATTTGGCTCCTCAAAGTTTTTTTATAGAAAAGAAGAATTTGGTAGAAAAGAAAGAATTTCATACAAAAAAGATATATATATCTATATATCTTTTTTTTAATTAAACTTATTTCTTTTTTCACAGTTCGAAATCTAGGTTCAATTAAAATAAAATTCGTGGATATTTTCTTATTTATTTTTTAAATTTGTATTTTTTAGTAATTTTTATAAATTTTTCGAAACAAATATGAGTATACTTAACCAAAATTCGATGTGCTCACAATGCTTGGTGCTCCTGTATGATGCTCAAAGCTCTTGCCGACAGACGCAATCTGCCACGATGAAGTTCGTGGGCTTGTTCTGATGTTACTATCAGACAAGTGAGATAAGTCACAACAACAACGGACTTGGAATGTTTCATTTATAATAATCTGGTTCATTTTTGAATCTTTCTAGGAGTTGTATTCTGCTCTCTTTAAAAGCTGTATACTTCTTTGGAAAGAAACAATTCAGTAGATATGTAATAAAGTCTTACCTTCGATATGCTGATCATACGCAAGCTAACGAGCGCCATCATTATAACGAGTCCCACGAAGAGGTGACTTGTGAAAATAACCATGAAAGCTAGACTGCCCTCGTGGAAAAAACGGCTGCAGAGGTAAGTCAGAGGCGTTGTGGCCCATCTATGAGAAAAAACAGATAAAAGTCTGATCAGTAGCCAGTTTTGATTTTCAGAGATTTGAATGATATTTTAACTTCCTGGAAACACTAATACATTAAAAAACAGCATTATTTTCCTCTTTGTTTGGCTTTCCGCTCAATTCTCAGTAGAATATTCTTTTGCTCCAAACGAAACAGACATTTAAGACTGGAATTTAAGTCTGAAAGCAGAGGGATTTATATACTCGCAAAGTAAAGTTATTCTGCGTTCTCAAAAGCACGATAAATTTTATTTTCTGAATGGAATTATTGTGGTAATAAATATAAATTTTAAAAATTAGTACAGCAGAACTCCGTTCATCCGGATTCTAGTTATCTAGAATTTAAGTTATCTGGATATCTTATTGTTCTTTCTAGCCAAATAAAATTAACATAAAATTAACTTTGTTGATATTTTACGTGCCTGCTATTACTTTTTCCTTAACTTGTTCTTTCTAGCCAAATAAAATTAACTTTGTTGATATTTTACGTGCGTGCTATTACTTTTTCATTAACTTAAACATAATACAAAAGGATATCGTAGCATTATTTTACATCGGTTTAACATTATTTCTCACATATTATTATTTTATATTTATAAAAAAATAACTACTTATTTTAATTTCAATGAAGAGAAATAGGCTAGCGTTTTGTTTTACTCAAACAGGAAATAACGTTTTCCTTTCTTAAAAAAAATAAGTACAGAAAAAATAAGCTCAAAATTATTTATTTAGTCTTAAGATTCTACAAAAATAAAAAATCAATTTCACTATTTTATTTTGATTGAGCATATTTTATTTAGTGCCTCCCCCAAAAAGTGCGTTTTATATCATGTTTTATGGATATAACAATATTTAATTTTTTTTCCAAGAAAATCTTCATTTAAATAAAATATGATAAACGAAACCAACAAAATTTCTTTATTTGCATTACAATTAATCTCACAGATAAAAAGACAATCCAGTTTTTCGGATTTTTCTGTTATTTGGGTAGACTGTGATTTCAAATGATTCTATTCTGTAATTTATTCGTACAAATTTTTGCAAACACTTTACTAATTACCTGACATCATACGGGAGGATGGCTGATTTAGGTACATATTCACGTGATTTGCCCGATGACTAAAATAGAATTCATAGTGTTGTTCATAGGTGAATCCAATATGTTGGATACGAGGCATTATTCAATATGAAAAGAATTTGAAACGAACCGGCAGATTAAGATTCTTTAAAGAAACTGCTATGATTGTTATATTGGGGTAATTATAAGATTATAGAGTCATTAGCCTATTTTGAAGCAGAAGACGTGAAAAATGTGCAATACCCTCGCTGGGATTGGAACCTGGACCTCTCGAATATCCTTCGAGTATGCTTCCAGTTACATCACAATGCATTTCGAGAGGAGGGAGGAAATTCCTTATATACTTCCCCTTTTAAAGGGCGACTGTTGATTATGGGACGCAATCGCCAAATCCTGGTGGTGACGAATTATTATCCACCACCTTTTAATTCGGGCACCACTTGTAGAGTCATTTAGAATTTTTCGATGTCAGGAAAACTGAGGATATCCGCAGTGCGATCGCCGGACTCGAACCCTGTACTTATCAAATACGCGTCGAGTACGCCTCCAATTACACCACGAAGGCATGCGGAAAGGAGAGAGAAAATACCTTGGAAGGTAATCTAAGAGAGTTTGATATAATATTACCGAACTCTTTTAGATTCACAAAAACACATCTGCGTACGTGTTCTTCGTCATAAAAATAATGGCATTATTATGCGAGACATTCAGCGTTCAAAGCAGAAACGTACAAGAAGGCATCTTCCACATAAATATACCAGAACTTTTGTGAAGATCGATTTTAACTTAAAGAAAAGCAAGCTTCATAAAGGCACAAAACTATTTTGTTTCATTTTATGAATCAGCGAAGCAAATTAAAATTTTACATATCACAAGCATAACAGTTCCAGTACATCTATCATGGGGTGCTGCGTAACACCTCTACTTATGTGAGCTTACAAATGAAAACAAGTGTTAAAAAATTAGAGGTCATGGTGTAATGTTATTTTGAAGTAGAAAACATGAAAAATCAAAGATTCCTTCGCTGGGATTCAATTCCAGATCTTCCGACTTCTAACCGGACACCACGCAGGCACGCGGTTAGGAAGGAGAAAAGTCTTCACAATGGGACCTATAGGTAAGTATGTAGTTATGCAGCTTGAAGAGAAGAAATATCCATATTAACGAAATGATGCCTCTCACCTGCACTTAGTTGGAGTAATGAAGTAATACCTTTAAGAGAAGACTACATCTGGACATGGCTTGATTATCTCGATTTCTAGATTTAAATCTGTATGGATATGTCTTGTACATTTTGGAAAAATGATACTAACGTTAACCGCCAGCTGATAAGAACAAAGAACACATAACCTACCTAAGAAGGGGAAAACCGGTGTTAGGCTCTATGTTCTGGATCAAAATTCACTGCAGTATTTGAGTTCAGATGCTAGTTTAATTAAGCTGGACAACTTAAAGAAGTATAGACAATGATTTAAGTATACCATGTGCAGACTTTTTGCAAGTTTTTAGGAGTTCGGTATAATTGGAAGCCTTTCCTCTATACCAAATGCCGCTAGTAAATGAGTGACTGACAAATTATCAACTATTGGTATGCTCTGGTATTGCTTATGAAGTTTCGGTTTGTTTTGCAATGTTGATCGGAGTTATTATTTGATAAGAGTTTTGACTTCTATAGTGTCAGGACATGTCGTTTCACGATATGGTTCGATTATTTGACGTTAACCTTTAAGAATTTGGATACTCAAAGTTGGGTTTTTGAAAGAAAATGTTCAATAAAAGTTATTTATCTTAAAAGATATTATAAATCCATCTTTAAAGCTACTCAATTATTTCATATTCCTTCAAACCTTTGTAACCTTTTGTTCAAAAGGTTACAAAGGTTCGTTGTTATTTTTTGTTTCTTCAAACCTTTTGTTTATTATGATATTTCTGATTTTTTCTTAATTTAAGGAAACTGCTATTATTAATTGTCTACGGCAAAAACTTTATATTATTATCTTGTAGGAGGTTGTTAAAGTTAAATTAGACTTGAGAAAATAGTAAGTGTAAAGAAGCTTTTCGTAGCGAGCATTTTTTATAGGCGGCCACCTCTGAGAAAGTTACCATTATTTCTGAGACTATCAATAAATTTTGGTTCTGAACATGATGGCTCATAATGTTTTCTGATGTTTTCCATCTATGCAAAAGCCTTTAAAACTGTTAGTGATTATTATAGAGAAGTTTTTCACATAGTATGTGATCTACCACTTTTAGTTTTAATTTATTTTTTAGATGGCTCAACTGAAATGCTATTTTTAAATTCGAAGGTGCGATGAAATGGCGGGGGAAAAACGATTAAAATAGCAATCAGTTTTAATGCCACGATCTGAAAAACTGAATAATATCTTAAAGTAGTAGATCGCATAATACATAACCACAGAAATTTTATTCAAAGTGGCAAGAATAGCTTAATTTTAATTAAAAGAACACTGGCTTACAATTTCCTTGTTTTTGATTTGTTTAAAATTAGAAGTATACCAGTCATCTGAAAAATGTACTAATAGTTTTCTAAATTCGTTCCTTGTATAACGGATTCTTATGCAATGCATCTATAAAATTTTAAGACAGATTTTTTTCTATTAATGTATATAGGTTCAAAAACAAAGCAATAGTAAATTTTCTTCACATATTCAGCTATCTTTTATCAGTTGATTCCTGAGAAATGTTTCAACTCTTCTTAATCATTCCCTAACTCCCTATCTTGGACCATTTCTTATCTTATTTTCGTTTCCTAAAATGAAAAATCGTTTTGAAGGATAGATTTTAAGAGATTTCAGAAATTCTAGAAGCACAACGAAAGAATGAAAGCCTGATTTTACCAGTGACTTGAGTCATCTAAAAGGACTGTAAACTTAATAAGATACACATATAATATATATATAATATTAGAAAGTTGGCTTGTTTGGTTTAGTTGATTTTGGCAAAGAACATTAAGGCTATCTGCCGAAGGGAATGGATGCCTTCGTGGAGGAATTTCTAAGGGAAATTGGTACATACATGTTACACATGGGGAAAACTACGAAAATACTCATGCACCTAGCCCATTTGCTTGGAATCGAGTATTAGAAAGAAAGCGTATAGAAGGCTCAATAGTGATAAAATTGTTTCCTTCAACAGTTATAAACTGTGTTCTAGAGCTTTGTAGATGCACTGTGTATATATCATAGCTTTCTTGGGGTAAGAAATTAAAATTTCAAAGATTCTTACCCATAAAGGAAGATCAGGGCATACACAGCTCTGAAGTTTTCTCGCTGGTAAAACGCCGGCAAGGCAAAAGCTCCCACAATGGCAGCCGATATAAGGCTGGTGACTAAAACAATAGTGAGATCCCACAGCAGAGCTGAGCCCCAGTACATCAAAGGGCCCAGGGCCCCAGTCACCATTTGTAGACGCTTTTGCTCCGATTCTCGCTCTCCGACGACGTAGACTGCAAACGTGGATGGGACCAGCGATAATCCAATGAGGAACACGAAGGCAATTCCAACTTCTCCAAGCCTTTGAAGCCTATTAAGCGAATGAGAGCATTTGATGATTCGAAATTGAGTTCAGAATTAGGTTGGTTTTTGTACAGACATAAAGACCGAAGTCGAATACTCACAAAGTTTCTCTGCCGAGTTGTTCCACGCTCAGTCGAAGTGGATGGCTCCATGTTCGAATATCTAGAAATATATTTTATTTCTCAAATCATTTATATTTCACAATGTATTGCATTATTTTGCATAATAAACGACACAACATTTAATTTTCATTAGCAATTTTAATGGGTATTTCAAGTCAACAAATATAATGTAGCGTTGTAGAATTCAGAGCGGGGAATAAAGTGAGGAAAATGAGACATTTGTCTCAGGAAAACATCTAGAACAGGCTCTAAATCAGCTATAAAAAGTTAGAAATTCACTATAAAATTTTGGTTGTTAATATTACACTTGAAACACAGCAACCAGAATGCATATTAAACCAGAATTTATTAACCAGAATTAAACCAGAATTAAACCAGAATGCATATTAAATTACAAATATAAGAACAAAGTTTTCGAAATAGTTACGAAAGAACTTTTGGCAGTAACTTCTGACTATCTGCAAACTGTTTCCCTCCAGCTGCTAAATTTACCCGAACTTATTCTGTAATTACATGAACCGTGTGAGCTATCAAGTTTACATAAGTTAATCGTGCTCTCTGAGATGTTCTTGAATGTTTGATGTCAAAGAAATAAAAAATTGCAGGTATAAAATTTTGAATTTTATTGTGGAAGAATTAAAACTCTGACGAATTCTAAGGTAACTGATAGCAGAGATAGCGAAAATACTGATTTTAGCCTATATCGAGTTTTCTTATATAAAGTAAAGAATTTATTGTAATCAGGAAAAAATCTGGGTATCGTATTTCAAAAGAAACATAAATTTTGACCGTCTCCGAATCCATATCGACGATTTTTTTTGAGTGACATCTTACGTACGCACAGAATAAAGGACTATTTTTTCCGAAACGAATTGTAAAAGGGATTTAAAATGAATCCAGAAGGGATTTTTTTTGTGACGTCTGTACATACGTATGTAGGCATGTATGCAACTTGCATAACTCAAAAACGATTAGCCAGAGTACGTTGAAGTTTTGTACAGTAAGACCCCGCTTAACGCTGTTTCGTTTAGCGCTGTTTCGGTTCAACGCTCTTTTATTTCAACCTCGGGATTCCCCGAAATTGCTCGCAACGTGAACTACGGGGATTCCTCGAAATTGTGCGTAGCGGTAGGTTTCCAAATAACATATCCGAAACTTTGTAGTTATGTTTCTTGTTTGGTGCGGTGAGGTGCTGTACGGAAGCATTTTTATCATTTGAAACATTTGTTGACATTATTGTAAGTATAAATTTACATAATACTATAACGATTAATACAGTGATAAATATTATGATCTTTAGTTTTTATCACGGGTGATAATAAAAACAAGAAAAGAAAGCAACCAGAAAAAGCATTTCACTGGAAACTAAAATGCAAGTGATTAAAGATTAGATTCTGGTGAGAGTCAATCTCAAATTAGTGCTGTATTGAATTTGGCAACTTCAACAATAAGGACAATTCTTAAGAATAAAGAAAAAATACTGTCATCGGCAACTGCAACTACGTCAAGTTCTGCAACTAGAATTACCCGTTCTAGAAATAACATTATAGAGGAAGTGGAAAAACGACTGTCTATATGGATTGACGACGAAATTGAACGCAATATGCCATTAAGCCAATCTATCATAATGCCTTCTTGAAAAAAAAAAAGGCAGAAAATTGGAAACACAGAATAGACTGAATGATTTGACTGGCTTAGAATTTTATTTGTTTTTATAAATATATTCCTTTATATTGTTTTTATTTTTGTAAGAAATAAATGTTTGGTTTTATTTTTATTAAAAAAAACATTATTAAATTTAATACCTAACCAATTTTCTATCCATCTTCCCCTAACTACATTATTTACATGTTAAGATAGCCTCGTTTAGCGCTGTTTCGCATTACGCTCTACTTTGATGGAACGGATCCCCCGCGTTAAGCGGGGTCTTACTGCATATGGAATTGTTATACATCTAGTTGCATGCCTCCTTTTTAATTGCAATCGGCAGGTATTAAACGTATATATATATCTCAAAATACTTCATTATTGGTATTTTCCTTTATAACTTTAATTTTAATTGCTAATTACTCAAGTTACCACTTAGTTGGTATTTCTTTTTGGACATTCTTCACTACTTTTGGTTTTGACTTTTACCCTTGCTGCATGAATGACGAAACACGAATTGAATGATTGAAGAGTTAGGTTAGGAGGCAACTTCCCCTTGATAAGTCTGTCTCCTGCCTGCTCAACAGTCATTCACTTATGCATTTAAAAAAAAAATTTAGATTAATTTTAATTTGCTAAATTGGTGAATTTATTTTCATATTTTGGTTTTGCACTTGATTTACTTACGCAATCTGAATTTAAATGATATTGTAAATTAGTTCGAAAATTAATTCTTTTATATGTTTGCACATTTTAACTTTAAATTTGCTTTTTTACGTATATATATATACACACACACACATATATATAAAACGTAATCAATTATAGACAAAAAAGTAATTTAGAACCAAATCCACATGAAAGAAATGAAATTAATAACAATAAAATCCAAATTTCTCCGTAACTATGTAAAATTCAACCAATAATCATAACTCAGAATATAACTCAGAATGCACAAAAATTATATCACCTGAAAACTTGTCTAATCGGTGCAACATATTCTATTCAAATACTATAATAAATATAAACGTTGTATAAAAGAAATTAAACAAATATAAAAGAAACAGTTTTTCAAAGACTATTCAGCGCCGCTTGCCTAATGCGCATGCGCTACTCGTAAACATTCTCTTCTGTCCGAGACAGACTGGCGACAATATTTGCTGCTAATATGAAACACTTTTATTTCCTTGAATTTCATTATAGATATACTTCTCGTTCAATTAATTCAGTTCTCGCTTCGCGGCAAGGCAAAAATATATAAAAACACAAACTATTTTCATTAAAAATTGAAAAATATAGAAAAACATAAAACACCACGTGCAGTTAAAACAATTAAAAAAATCATTTTTACAAAAATCAAAATTATAGAGTTTCTGCGTGAAAACAAGCAATTCAGGCAGCAGACAAGAAGATTTTTCGGTGCACAAAAATAAAAGTTTCCTCTTAGTCCCACTCGGCAAAAAGACACTGAAGGTGCAGAAAGAATTCATTCACTATTTACTATTCTGCTAAGTTTCAAATGTAAACAAATATGGCTGCTATGGTAAAAAAATTAGGCTCAGCCGCACTTAAACAATTTTTAAATTGTTCGTAATTCTACAAATATTGCATGCAAATTAACTAAAGGCATAAAATCTTACCCGAAAGATAAGAACAACATAATTCAATCATTTTTAAAGCAAAAAATGCGCAATTTACCAACATATAAGAATAAAAAAAACTGATCCAAGTAACAGAGTGGGTATATATATATATGTATGTGTGTGTGTGTGTGTGTGTGTGCAATGATTCCTAATGAGTAGAAAAAATTGGAATTTTTAACATCTTTCGATATTGCGTAGATGGCTGTGAAGACCATAGTGGCTTGAAGGTAGGACAGAGTGTAAAAGCATGATGACGCATTTAGCACAACTGAGCTCGAAGAATTACAATCTTTATTTTTTTACGTATATGCAACCATCTTTCTGCAGACAAGATATTTCTTAATTATAGTAGAATACAACAAAATTCATTTTAAAGTACGACATCATCTTTGGCAAATAAGCAGCAGCATCGAAAAGTAGCGTGTTGCTAGCAGGAAAGCGTAAACGAAAAAGGGAAGAGTGTCGCAGTTCTTCAGGGGTAGAAGGGAGGGAATCGGAAAAGTTTCAGTTCCGAGTTAGAGAAAGTTTTGGTTTACAATTATTTGATTGGGCAGAAGGTATCTGCATTGATACATTATGTAACATGGAAAGATCTCGAATTTGGGAGAACAGATGAATTTAGCAGAGGAGGCCCAATTTTTAATGTTAATTTTGAGGTTGTCACATATATACTTTTGGTGAGGCTGATTGCATCCAAAAAGGGAGGTGCACAACTACATGTTATAGCAGTCCTATATACACAATTTCAACGTTCTGAGACTACTCGTTTTTGAGTTGTGTGAGATACATTCGTACGTACATACGCGTACGTACAGACGCCACGGGAAACAAATCTCTTCTGAATCCATTTTAAATCATTTTTATAATTTGATTGGGGAAAAAGAGTCATTATTATGTCTTTACGTACAGATGTCAAGCAAAAACATTGTTAAATTGCATTCGATAGCGGTCAAAATGGATATTTTCGTTGAATTAGGATACCCGGAATTACAATACTTCCTTTACTTCATACAAGGAAATAAAAAGAGAAAAGGGTTCATTTCTGCATGTAGAATATTCGATAAAAATTATGCTATTTGAATGCCTTTAGTGTAAACTGTAATAAACTTCCTTTTAAGAATTATGAAAGTTCATAAAATATACCCAGAAAATGCCACTAATTAAATAAAAAAATTGAAACTCGAAAAGTGTTCCTTTTAGAATCCCTAATACGGTTTTTCAAGACATTATTTGTCAACAAAATAAAGTTCTGAATAATATAATAATAAGGAAATAATGTGAAAACTTTATATCTTAAGCAATGAGAACAAATGTAAAGATCATAAACAATGAATTAAATGAATTTTCAGTTTCTTTCTTTAAGTTTAAAAGCTGAAAAAGAAACATTTTGGAGAAAAATATTTTTATAGTAACCTGGTAAAAATTTTACTTAAATCTTTAAATTGAACTGTAAAACTGGACACTGAGCAAATAATTATTACTGCAGTTCAATGGAGCATATTTATTTTTAAATTTATTAAACTAAAATTTTTTTATTTACAAATAAAAATTCAAGTCACGGAAAGTAAAAAAAAAAATATTTTGAAACGCAGTCTATTGTTCCAGAATTGCAACATAAACTTGCAATGCAATGAAAACTAAAAAAGTAAGAAACCTATGTCAGGTTCTAACGAAAAACAGTAAGGTTCAATTCTAGTGGAATAATTGAATTGAAACTAAATCAAGATAATTAAATTATAGTAGCAAAGAATTAAGCATATAATATTTAAATTGTTATCATTGTTTAAAAAAATATTTAAAATGGGAACTATAAAATCTTAGCCTAAAAAAAATCTTAAATGCAGAATGCAAATTTCATTTCCCTTTTCAACATATAAGCGCTTTCCTAGAGTTTTTAAACTTCCCTCCCTTAAGTAATAAGTATTCCAAATAAAAACTCACTGAAGTCTTTTCCAGTGCTGTTCTTTAGTATGGCATTATTAAGAGTATTCAAATACGAAGGAGCTGAATGGTAGCCACTGTTTTCGAACCATACTTTCGTTATCACTTCATCACTTTCCTTTTTCATACTCCAGCCGCCATATCTGAAACATGAAACAAATGTTAATATGAGTTATCCTGAAATATATACCTGAAAATGTTAACACGAGTGTATCAACAAGATTACAAAACATCGATCACTTTTTATGTGCTACAGAGTTTTCAAAATCTGAAATAACCAAGCTAAATGAAGATAAAAAACTTAAAAATTCCTTCTTTCCGCTTGAGGGGTAATAGTTTTTAGATATGCCATGTGGAGAGGCTGAAAACGTTTTAGGGAAACTAAAAAAATAAGCCAAGGTTATCTCTAACCCATGTCGAATATGGCAAATTAAAAAATCGCTGTCAGGACAAATGACAAATCATGAATGTAATGAACTCAAACAACATACAGGCCTAAAACGAGGTTTAAAATTTATCAGCTGATTTGGCTCCTTTGTAGTCTCTTATTTATGCCATTTCTAAAAGGTGCACTTCCAGAATCTTCTACTAAGGTCTTGAAAATCTGTCGTGGAGGCTTCCAGATTTGCGTCGAGGCCCACTATGTATCTGTAGCTGATATTTCTGCTCTAAATTATTATTACAATTACAGTGCCATTTACAAACTAATAAAGTAAGTAAACGTTACAAATGCAGTTAAAAGCCAGAAATGAAATATTACATAAAACAAACAATACATGTACTTAAAATTACCATAATATATATTAAGTAAATGCATAAATCAATACAAACGAGTACAGAGGCATAGTAGATTAATATATAAATAAATAAGTGCAAATATTTGCATTAAAATGTATAACAATAGTTTTAGAATTAGGAGAAATTAAACAATAAATAATAAGATTAGCTGGCTTCCGAGGACATGGCTGTAATTAACGTAACTATCTGCGTTTATTTTATGCATATTTTATTGCATATTGAATTTGATATATTTTTAATTATTCTGAATTTAATTTTGTTTATGTTATTTTTCTTAGAATATTTTAATTGTGATCCTATGTTAATTCGTTGCTTATTTTGCTGTAATATTTAATAAATTGTTTTCATTGATTGCATTTGTTTTCTTATCTTTAGTACTTATGATTCTGCAAAAACAGACATCAATATTGTAAAAATAGCTTAAAGAGAAGCGCAAATAAAGATTTAACTTCTACTGATTCCTGGTGGCAAATTTTTGTCCCCAAGTTTGCGACACATGGCCATTTTTTACAAATTTCATAGCATTTTCGAAGCTTCCAGAAAACACGTATAGGACAGTATTTTCTAGAAAGCAATAATAGTACTGAAATGGTATAAAGAGTTGAAGAGTAGAAGAAAATTCGAGGCGTAGAATCGCTTTAGACATACAAATCGGAATAAAAATATATTTTCATCAATATTACAATATGGAATACCTTCTTTCATTGAACTGAAGGTAGCTATTAAGAAGATATCTGGGAACATCAAGCCCAGATACATTGTAGAGGGTTTGATCAGGAGCTAAGAGCGAGCTGCTGGGTTCTTGTCGATCCGTTGGACATTCAGCTTCACACAAGCATCTACTTCCTGGTGTAGCCATTGTAGATCTATCATATATATCACTATGCAGTCGGCATCTGCGAGAAAAATAAATGCATTTTTTAGCAACGTGCAGTACATACGTTCCTTAACTTAAGTATTTAAATACGGAAGAATTCTGTTATAAAATCATTCTCAAGGGCCAGAATGATAAATGAACTTGGCGGAAAGATTTATTTTCACAAGTTATGCTTTTCTCTTAGAATTCAGTCAGGAAATTTTCACAGGATTTATTGCAATTCCTAATAGATTTCGCGTCCACAAAATTAAAATTGCGTTTAAATATTTTACGTGTATGAAATTAAAGTGTTTTAGAAAGATTTTTATTTTGAACGAAATTATATTTTTCATTTAAACTGAAGTTAGTTTTGAAATAGACCATCTGCACAGAAAAGCCTGCATTAGACTGAGAGAAGACGGGAAATGTTTAAAACTTACATATCTACATATTTTTCTTCAAAGTCTAGTTCTTATGCGAAATAATTTAAAGAAAATTGAAATACATAGTCGCACAATTAACTTCTGGCAATAATATCTTTTTCCTATGCTGATGTTTTTTCCATTCACCTCTCGATGTTGTCCTAGAATTTTATTTTTGAAATTCTTTTGAACAGAAGTTTCGATTTTATTTAGCGGCTGTCTTGAGTACAAAATGATAATACCAAGCTAAGTGGCTTCGCGCATATCTAAATTGTTCTTAATTTATCTTCCTTGCAAATAGTCAGTTACCAGAGTCTTGTTATTCAGCGGAATGTAATATCATTAACTATTTTTCAAGTTTACTCACTTTGTAATTATTTAATAAGTTGAGAGATTTAAGAGATAAAGACGCTTATTTAGAAGTGTTTATTTATTTTTTATTAATTTATCCTTGATACATTGATTGATATAAAACGAATTATTAATAAATTTTTTATAAAACCAGTATTCTGTGGCACCCACGTCAGTCTTCAAATAACTGGCAATTAATAAATAAATAAAAAGTTGGAAGACATGAAGGATCTTACCTTAATTCCGTAAAAGTTTCTTGCTTTTCTAAGATCATATAAATTAATTTCGTCACTCGAATTTAGACAATTTTCGAAGCTGTTGGAATTATTTACAGAAGTTTTAGATTGGGTTTCCTACTCCAAATCGAAATAATAAGGCATAATTAGCAAATAAATGACATAATTAGCACATTATTAGTAAACTGCACATATTTGGTATTATATATTGGGTAATCGTTTTTCTATCAATAATGTAATACAGTTTTAAGTTTACTTTCTAAAACAATAGCTCAAATGAACGAAAACCAGTATAACTTAAAAGCATGCTGTCTAGGCAATGTCAAAGAGAGGCACTGAACGCGCACTTTCGAAAGCAATTAAAAATAATTGAAAAACCAGAAAACGTTTTTCGCAATCCATAATTTATTAGACTGCTTGTGTAGAAGTCGGCTATAATCACTGTCAACTACACAAAATGTAAAATGTGGGAAAACAAAGAAAGGAATGAAGAAAGTAAATGAAAACAAATAAGACCCCAAACCTTGTTCGAACAATGCATTGAAAAAAATATTTAACTAGTTAAGAGAGAAAGCTTATTAAAAGTAACCGGGAAGCTGGTGTTAAAAGTTACTATTAGCATTGTAGAAGAAACCTTTTTAACACTTCACCTATGATTTACCCATGAGTCTTCTCTGGGGTGAGATTCAGCAGTCGCAGATATGAATAGCTACTGTAAATAATTTATTAGATTTTAAAACACTGTATTTTTTAAAGTTTTAACATAATTGTTGTACACACACACATACACACATTTATATATATAGGATTGTTTTGGATATATTTGAATTGATCTTTCCAATAAAGTCATATATATGTATATAAACAAAAATCAACCGAATATTCATCAGGTTTTCTTTGCAAATGTTCTATGTCTTATTATGCAAATGTTCTATGTTTGTCCCACTAGTCACGTGATCCACATCCAAACGGTAGTCAAGTTCAATCCATACCTTTTGTAGCACAGAGCCCTCCTGATCTGTTGACGTCTTTCTTTGATAGTACGTTTTCCTTAGTTTTCGTTCACACTGCGATTGGCAACAACACTCGTTAGAGCTCAAACACATTAATGCTACTGTAATGACTACTTGGAGGAAAATGCTGTAGTCAGTTATTTTAAAATAGGCAATTTAAGGGTAATTTTTTTTTATCACCCAGCTTGCCTCGTAACCAGGTAACGTCGCTGCTATCGTTAACTGGTTTCAGTGGAAAAAAAAAATGTTTTCTTTTTTCACATCATTTTCGATCTAGCGTATTTCACTTCGCGAAAAGCGCACGAATAAAGACTGACTTGAACTACAGTCTCAAACGAGGTAGAGAAAATAACTGCCATGCAGTGATAATGATACGTGCTTCTCTAGCAAATGGGAGAGGGTTAGCAAAATCTTAAATTAAGCCAAAGGCCAACGATAGGCGCAATCTTGCTTTCTTGTCACGATGAATTTCGTGGGCTTGTTCTGGTATCAGGCAAGCGAGATTAGTCACAATAACAACATCAATCGAAAACCTCACGAAATATTCAAAAAATTTCATATTCTGGTTACATGAGTAAACACAGTTCCTATCGCTTGACAGTTAAATAAATAATCGACCAATCAATGGAAAATTTAATATTTCCTATTCGGAGAAAATGTGATCTTTAAAACATGATTTTATATACATATTTTCAATATTTAGTAAACGAGATTAATTTCATAAAATTATGTAGTTTTGGTATCGTGCAATTACATTCCATAGAAGAAGCAACTTAATGGGAAACTTCATATGGGGAAAAATGATTTGAGTTTTTCTGCTAAAATTTTGAAAACCAAATCTCTTAAAGGAGTAAACTTATGCGGGAACATATTATTCTGATCCAGCTTAATAAAAGTTAACTTCGAAAAACCAGTTGCAATAAAGATTTTTCTTAAATATTATATCTTTTAAGTTCGGTAAGAAGGCGTCATTATTCAATAATTACGGTCTTATGATATACATGCATATAAATAATTTGTTAAAATAAGCACAACTTACTCTGCGTGTTTTTGATTACAAATTTGCTTAGCGCTCATATTAACTTTCAACGCATCCAGAAGAACTGTCCCAAGGCGAGGTTGTTGTTCTTCGAACCTGCAAAAGTTAAAAGGAATTTATATTATTGAACGCATTAATCTTATGTAATATTGCCCGTATATATTTAATTAGACATTCAATTAAAGCAATAAGAATATTTCTAAGTTATATAATATTGAGTGTATATATTTCTGCACATATTAAACGAAGAAAAGACAAAATCGTTCGAGACTTATTATTTGTCCATCATTTGCATTAATGCCCATTATTTGCCCATTTTGTCCATCATTTGCATTGCTGAAAGCCAGTATATCTCGCAAGAGAAGTGGCAACATTCTCTATCTGGCAGGTATCAAATTCGTGCAATTAAAGCAATAAAAGCTGAGTTATTAAAAAATAAATCCGATGATCTGACAAATAGAATATATTAAATTTGAAAGTTATGTCCCTCCCGCAAACTATGCTAGTGATTCACAGCTTCCTGTTATCCGATCATTTAAAATGAGATATCAGAAGAATACTGAACGATTTATTGTAGAAACCGTATTACAGTATTAATATTCAATATTTTTGTTGCGTTTCTGGGATGTAATTTCAGAGTGGATGAGCTGTGACTTTTATCTAAAATCAGTGTTTATATAACTATATTCTGTTTATATACTGAAATTTCATCTTCGAGGAGCTTCATAAAACTGTCAAATATGATAACCTTAGATAAATTTTCATACATTTTTCAATATTACAGTGTTTATGTTAGTACAAAGTTTTATCATGATCTTGGTGCTTCGTTTTTTGATATAGATGAAAGCGTACGGGAAGGAGAATTATAGCAAAAGTCTCCTGAAAAAATATCCTTGCGTATCAAATCAATAATCATTCAGCTGATTTTTTACAAAAGGTGTGGACAACTACAAAAGTAATGGACATATTTTAATAAAATTTGATAAGGACATTAACTTAATGTCATACAAGAAGAAAAGAAAATGTACATTTAGAACATAAACACACTGCCTCAATAATGTCATAGTGTGCTGTTTACTATGCAAGTGCCTCCCAGAGCATTCATATCTCAGACTAAGAACGTTCGCCACATGCTCCATAAATGTGAAATTCATGGATATTGGTTAATGCGAGCGGCATGAAGTTTATATACCACACATTCAATATATCGTACATACAGCTAGTATGTTTTAATGCATAACTAATGCATTGCATTGAATGACTTATGTAGTTTATTGTATGGTTAGTGTATTGTATTATATATGATTAATATATTGCACTGCATGGGTAATGTATTGAATAGTAATATTTTTAATTACAAGATGAACAACAAACAGCATATTGTTTTATATACAAGGTTTGCTGTGTAAATTTAAGTATATCGGATTAGTAAACATGCTTTACATGGAGGTATATTGGCAAATTATTGTATATGAATTAGAAAATTAGTATTGGTTGTTAATTCGGTATACATGAAGCAGTAAATGAAATAGTACATTGTTACCTGTGCCAAGGTTCAGTGCAAAATAATGCATATATGCTAAAGGCGTAGAGAAAGCAGTCTATGTTCATTATTTGATGCTAAATGTAAGCATTGCATATCATAAAAAACCGCATACATCGTACACGTGGTTACTAGAAATTATTTCTCTGTTTCGCAACTATATCACATACCACCGCTGCACACACAGAAACAAAAGATAGTTCACACAGCATACAGTTCCATTTACCGCAATCAGATAACTCCATCGACTGGACCGTTCAGGTTGATATGCACCTATATTGTACCAGCTGTTCAACGAATCAAACGTAAAAATTATTTTTCCTTTATTGTAAAAGCTACTCTCTTCTCAATCTGAAATAAAGTTTTCAGTTATCTTCTTCATCTGATCTGTTTTTTTAAAGGAATCTTAACGAATCGTAGGACATAACAATAAAAACAACGCGGACGTATTGTGTACACATTTCGTTAATAATTTTAATACAGCAAAAGGCTGAAACATAATTAAAGCCAAGAAATCTAAACGTTTAATCATATATTTATTTACATTAGTAAACCACTACGCACATTATCTTGAAATCCTAATGCTGTGAAAATAAAAGCACATACTGCGTTTCGAAATGAATAAAAATTTTCTGTTAAAACGTATTTCAAATCTTTCAACAACAAGAGCTCGCTTGCTTGCGGAGAAGACCGAATGATTTAGAAAATCAGGGAGGACTTCGGATTCGGGTTTCTACAAAAGAGATTTTGATTTTGTGATGGTTTTGGAATTATAACCGGAGTATGGTTTATCGAGAAAGAAAAGAAAAGGGGAAAAAATAAATAATTTCGGGATAAAAAAATTTGGAAATAGATAACTAAAGACTTTTTAAAGTTATAAACAAGGAAAAAAATCAGTGTAGTTTTTTCTGTATGAAGTACTTGCCTTCGGTATGATTAAAAAACAAGCAATCGCTGTATTAAAAAAGAGCCTGTCATACTTACGCAAAAAATGAAACAGCTTTTTGTCCATGCGATGAATACAAGGAAGGCTTTAATTCAATGGAGGGATCAGGCTTCTTCTGAGGTTTCCCAACGGCCAGGGCCATTGCGAGTGCTATGAATAGGCAAGGCATCAGAATACTAGATGTCAAGGCCTTCCAGTTTCTTTTCGTGTGCCAGTACCTTTTCTTAACCAGGGATTTCAACTGACTGAATTTCAAAGCGGCGCCTTCAAGAAATTGTTCTTTCTCTGAGGATTTATCCTTTGCAGACATTTCAACAGAAAATGCTACGGAAATGTAAAGAGCGAAAAAGTGATCAACTGAACTGATGATTATTACTAGTAATATAATAAGCAATAATATTGCACAACGTTTTTAAATTATAAAAGATTTCAATGTTAGAAAATTCTAAAACTACGTCATAAAGTGTTTTTTTGTGTGTGTGTGGGGGGGGAAGAAGGTAAGAGTAAGCGACGTATCTTTTTCTGTCACATTTTCTTTTTGTTAAATATAATTATAACAGTCTACCAATCGATATAGTGGTTAGTATCTCTGACTGTCGTGCCGAAGGGCCTGGGTTCGAATGGCATGGATGACGAGAAGGCATGGATATTTGTAAATGTATTGTGTCCGTGCGGCATGGGGACACTCTAAATATGCGGCGAGCCGAAAGTCCTCTCTGGAGTTTGTGGTAGGGAAAGAAGGTGGGAGACGCTCGGTCCTGTCCTCCCCCGGTAGGCTCTTCCTCAAAATTGGGGGCGGAACTGAGCTAAATTGCACTGTTACCTGTAAGGTACTCAAGCATATTGCCAGCGACAAGCGTATCTTGCGCTCCTTGCCACAAAGAATTCCGTGCGCTTGGGCTGACTATAGGTCAGACAAATGAGCATTAGTCAACAACAACAATAATTATAACATCAGATATTTTTTTCCGGTAAATCTATGATCAAAACATGCAAGAGTGAAAACATACTTTTCCTAATCCTGTAATGTATAAAATTCGAACTAGCTGTAGAATTTCTCGATAGAATTGAATAGCAAAGGAACACGACATAGAGACCTCTGAAATCATTAACAATGTAAAAACTTTGTTATACAAAGCTTATCTATGCCTTGTTTCGACTCTTGCGTGCAAGACTTGCTACCATTATTTCCGGGAAGTGAGATGACATCGATTTCCATTTTGCCACGGGATAATACTCGCGTTCTAAAACAGTAACATTTTCTTACAGGCTTCTAAACTCAGGCGGATTTGGTTTTCTGACCAGGCGGATAATTGACAAAGTGGTGCGGCATGATAAATTACCAAAATGAGTATTTATTATATTTAAATCGGTCAGTTTGTTAAGCTTTTATAACTAGAATAAATTTGGTAAAAAAAAAAATCAAACACCTCATATTTTTCCAAGCTATTTGCAAAGTCGTTTGATGTAGTGAAGAACTTATTATTATATATAAGATTATCCTATATTGAAGATTATGCGCGTAATGGCAATCAACTTTTCAAGTAGTACGAATGATAAATGGGAAGTAACGAAACTGCAATGTAACATAACGTAATAATCCAAAAATTTGAAAAGACTAGAAAATATCTTCGGAAAGATTTAGAAACAGTTTGTAAAGAGTACTTGGAGGTGGGACATCTCTAGTTAGAAACCTCTTTAGGAATCTTTTAAGATTAAATCCGAATCTTCGAACTTCTCGAATCCTTCATATAAGAATAACAATAAGAAGAAAAAAATAACAACAGATTTTAAGTAAAGCATAGTTTGAAAATGCTTTCAATGAAAAATAAGTTGAAGAATGCAGTTTTTTAAAAATGCAAATGTATTTTAGACACGAATAAAATTCAATAAATGAGGTTAATGATTAAATTTCTTGAATCGTGATATTCATTTTATCAATACAATTCGGTAAAAAATATTTGAATAGCAATTTAGTTTGTTATAGTTTACTCAGAATTTTTTAAACAATTGAAGCAAGTATAGAGAAGGAAAGATTTTTCGAGTTAATATAAATAAGCACTAAACAGGAACTCTAAATTCTCTCCAGATAATATAAAAATGTAACTCATGGCGGCCACAATATAATAAAGATGAGTCATTAAAAGTGCAACAATCATTTTCGTTTCTAATGAATAATTCTACTGGTTGTCAATAAAATAAATCTTTCAAATGTTTTGGTTAAAATGTTTAATGGTTTGGTTTTTGATTTTGAGGTCTGAATTCAAAAGACTCAAATGACGGGATGCTGGGGTGGCAGCGAAGATTCGAATGTCCCATGACTGTTTCTACTATCAACAATATATGAAAACTTACATGGAATTGCATAATATATATTTCAACAAATTGTATCAAGAATATAAACAGAAAATAAGCACACATATTTACATAAATGCCAACTATACTTACATGTGATACAATCTTTGTGGCATTCATCTTTGTTTAAACTGAAAGAAGGGATGTCATTTGGGTTCTTCAGGAAGAAAGGGCTGATGTCAGAGGCATAATCGGATTTGTGAGCTTCCTTTGCGTCTTCTAATCGGCAGAGAGTAAGAAAAACCTGCAAGAAGGTGATATCATATTTCTAGTACATTCATAGTTCTATCTGTACAATAATGACGTTACTCTAATATATTCCAAGCTCGTGCGCGGGTAATAACAAATGATATGTAAAACCGATGTTCTTGTAACATGTGTAAATGTGATAATTATTATGTCAATTGTAAAATGAATAAATAAAAGAAAACCAAAATATTCTGTACTGGGAATGTAATATAATGAGATAAAAGCATCCTTGTTAATTGCAAAAGGGCTGAAAATGTTCAAACAAATGATCAGTTTGGCCTATTAAAAATGAAATATATTTAAAAATTATAATTATAAATTTTATTAAAATATAAAGATATAAGTTATTAAGAATTGCATTTATTACTTTTAAATGTCTTCTTTGTTAAACAACTGTAAAGTAATTTAAGTTTAAATGACACGCCGAATAAAGATTATCGACTTCTCCAATAACTGTAAACTAGTAAACTAATTAAAATTGAAAGCTGAATTTAAGCTTTTTTGTCACATCGAGGCATAATAAGAAATTGGTATTAGAAGGACCGCGTGGAACGTGAATATTACACTTTCTTCAAGAACAGTATTTACCAAATTGCGTAAATAATAAATGCTTGGAAGCATAATATTGTTGTGTGCGTACGGGTTCGTTATGAAATGAATGCACAAGTCCGATGAAAAATGAACAAAAATTTATTATTATCACAACAGAAATGCTTAAATTTTCTCAAATTATCATGCAGTATCACAATATCTCACAGTAGTTATCTTTTAACTACTAAATGTACAATAGAACGTAATTCAAAACAGCTAAAGAACGCTAATCCGCGAATTCGCTATAATCAACAACGGCAGTTTTCTAAACAACAACAAACTAAGCAACTACTACAAACTGAAATCGAAATCGAAATCGAGTCAATGGCTAGGCGGCAATTAGTAGCCAACCGCTACTTTAACCGTCTCTGTTGGTAAATTGCCCTAAGGCGTTGGTACTTAAGTTTTTAATTAAGGCGATTTACGCCGCGCCAACTAGGCGAAACTTGTCAAATTTTGGGAAATGTAGGTGGAGTAAGGGAGATGATTGGCAGGAGCCTGTCACGTGGGTGGTCACCAGCTTACGCGTACAATGAGAAATATTGGAAATATTAATAATTATCAAGTTTTGAAACAGGTTATCTAGATTGGAATAATTAAACTAATATCGCGATCTAAATGAAGACAAATGGCACAACTAAGTGCAACAGATTAGCTAAACAAAATATTCAAATTCATCCTTTCTGTAAAACACAGATTGGACAGTGGTAGTCACGTGGGAGTCACCCTCCCGTGAACTGTCCACAGCCCAATGCATCTTGAAATAGTAGATATCACAATTCAGTGAAGTCTTGGTCTGAGAAATTAAACACTAAAGTTCTTGTACAACACTGAGGCACATGAGTTACTGAAACTATACACTATGTACATATAGGGACGGCGGTATTTGAGCGAAGTGGCAAATGGTGAAAAACATTTTACACTAGCAATAAATAATCAGAGCTTTGAAGATCCAGGTACACGGATCATGTCCATAAGTCCACAATATTACAAAGTCTCTGATATAACAATAAGAAGATTACGAAAATGACAAATATAAGATCAGTGCTTTGAAGATCCAGGTACACGGATCATGTCCATAAGTCTATAAAGTTTCAAAGACACTGGTAAAATGACACAATGAAGATAAAATAAAGATAATAGTACTATGTACAATATATACACATTTCACCATTTGCTGTTATGGAAGATGCCTCTTGGGCGCTTTGCTGCAATTTCTATAGTAGGATCATAATTTATCAGATTACGGATATGTTCGTATTGAGAAAGTTCTATTTTAGCATAGAAATTACTACAAACTGAGATGTTTTCCTCCTTTTATAAGATTTTAAAATCACGCGCTAGAATTTTCCAGTACTTTCTCGAAATCAAAAAGAGATATTTATTTATTTAACGCACGCGCTCTTGTATTTTTAATTTTTCCGGCTTAGCTTTCTTTTAATATTCGTCACGCGCTGCACTGCGCGAGAAATAAAACCATTTAATTTATAATTGAACTAACATTAGCTTTTTTAAATACCAAATTCGTAACACTGCCCCCTTCCCAAGGACTGCACGTCCCGGGCAGTACAATCCCTGGACAGGAAGCTAAACTTACAACTGTGGCATAAATGCAACTGAGGCATAAACATTACATTACAATATCAAACAATATAAACAATAAATGCAATAACTAACTTAAACAAATCAAATGCTATCAAATACTAAATACAAAAAAATACTAAATACAATCAAATACTAAATGCAAATCAACTTATTAAATCAAATCAAATACTAAATACATATTTATAAACAAAAAGGACCATGGTCTGATACTATTTACAATTATTTACATTACGTACTATGGCCATAGTAATGAGCTAACCTGTCGTAATGAACGACTTTAGGTTTAGAGTTCGAAGACTTACGAATCCGAACCACGACGTCATTCAGCCTTTTTAGGACTGTATACGGGCCATCCCAAGGTGACTGTAATTTCGGACAAAGTCCTTTCCGTCGAGTCGGATTCCACAACCACACCTTGTCTCCTTCGTGGAATTGATGTTCAGTAGCTCTTGTGTCGTATCGGGTCTTCATCTTCTCCGTCGCCAAGTTGACTCGCTCTCGTGCAAAGTTGTGCATCACTTCAAACCGGGCCTGGAGATCTTGAATATATTCCTCAGACGATGAAGGAGCATCCGGAGGGCGGCCAAACAATAGATCACAAGGCAGACGAAGGTCACGACCGAAGAGCATCTGTGATGGAGAATAGCCGGTAGTCTCGTGGACAGCACTGCGGTAAGCCAGTAAAAAGAGTGGTAATTTCTTGTCCCAGTCCTGTTGGTTTCTGGAAACCACTAATGAGAGGTTATTAAGGATGGTTCGATTGAACCTCTCTACCATGCCGTCCGACTGGGGATGCAATGGCGTCGTTTGAGTTTTGTCAATGCCGAGTAGTTTGCATAGTTCTTTGATTACTGCCGAGGCAAAATTCCTTCCCTGATCGGAATGTAACTGAAGAGGCACTCCGAACCTGGAAATCCAGTGCTGTATCATTACCTCAGCTACTGTGACAGCCTCTTGATCAGGAATAGGATAAGCTTCAGGCCACTTGGTGAAGTAATCAATGACAACGAGTATGTATTTGTTGCCATCAGCAGTTCGTGGCAGAGGTCCCAGGATGTCAAAGGCGATACGTTCAAAAGGCGCCCCTACGTTGTAACGTTGCAGCTTGCCTCGGCTGCGTCTCCTCGGTCCTTTCCGACCTGCACAGGCATCGCAAGATCGGCACCACTTTTGCACGTCATCCTTTGCATTATTCCAGTAAAAGCGCTCACGAACTCTCTGCAAGGTCTTCATTATTCCAAAGTGACCTCCAGTAGGGGTGCTATGTAACTCTTTAAGGACATCAGGAATGCGGGATCTTGGAAGTATAAGTTGCCATCGGAACGTCTTCCCATCATCCGATTCGAATTTCCGGTATAAGACGCCGTTTCGAATGTGAAGTGAATCCCAGAGTGCCCAATATTGTTTGGTTGTAGGACTACAGATAGAAATGTCCTGCCAGGTAGGTTTTCTGTTTGATGACTCCATTAAATCAATTATGGGTTTAATGTCGCGGTCTTCCAGCTGGTCTTTCCTGACTTCATCATCACTCCACGGTTCTCGATCAGCCGATGTTGATGTTGTAATTTGTCTTGCGACCGGAGTCAGCAGCTCGTATTTCGCTTCCTTCCACCCTGGAACAATATCGGCAGCTTTCTTGGCAAGGTCTTCTAGACAGGGCGTCGGCGTTTCCGTGTGATGATCCCTTACGATGACGGATAGTGATGTCATATTCTTGGAGTCTCTGTATCCACCTGGCTATTTGACCCTCAGGATTCTTGAAATTTAAAAGCCAGGTCAATGATGCATGATCGGTGCGGAGCAGGAATTTTCTGCCGTATAGATAGTGATGGAACTGTTCTACAGCTTTGACTATGGCGAGCAACTCTTTCCTGGTGACACAATAATTCCTCTCCGGTTTAGACAGGCACTTGCTCCAGTATGCCACTACACGTTCTTGGCCGTCTATTTCTTGGGACAAAACAGCACCAACACTTTCATTACTCGCGTCGGTGTCGAGAATAAATGGTCGGTCAAGCTGAGGATACGTCAGGATTGGAGCAGATGTTAAAGCCTCCTTTAAGTTGTTAAATGCATCCTCGCATTCTTTTGTCCACAAGAACTTTTGGTTGCTCTCTGTCAGCTTGTGAAGGGGTCTTGCGATGGAAGAAAAGTCCTTCACGAATCTCCTATAGTAGGTGCAAAGCCCTAGGAAGCTTCTCAGCTGATGGACATTTTCGGGACGTTTCCAGGATTTAACGGCTGATACCTTTTCAGGATCCGTGCGCACACCTTCTGCAGAGATGACATGTCCCAGGTAAGTCACTTCCTTTCGGAACAATTTGCATTTAGCGGGACTCAGCTTCAGATTGGCTTCTTTCAGTTTCTGAAGCACCTTCCTAAGATTTTCTAAATGTTCTTCAAAACTCTTTCCGACGATGATGATGTCGTCCAGGTATATCAGGCAGGCTTCGTAGGAAAGGCCTTTCAAAACAGTTTCCATAAGACGTTCGAATGTTGCCGGCGCATTACACAGTCCAAACGGCATCACCTTGAATTGCCAAAGCCCTTGTCCCGTAGTAAATGCCGTCTTTTTTCGGTCTTCAGGCTGTATTTCTACCTGCCAATACCCACTCTTTAAATCAAGTGTTGAGAACCACTTGCTTCCAGAAAGAGTGTCTAGAATGTCGTCAATTCTAGGAAGAGGGTAACTGTCTTTCTTCGTAACCTCATTCAACCGGCGATAGTCGACGCAAAATCTTGTTGAGCCGTCTTTCTTTCTGACTAGGACGATGGGAGATGCCCATGGACTTACTGAAGGCTCGATGACATCGCTTTCTTCCATATCTTTTAACAGTGTTCGCACCTCTTCCTGTTTAGCAAACGGTAGACGTCTTGGATGTTGCTTGATCGGGGGATGATCGCCGGTATCTATTCTATGTTGTGTCAAACTAGTTCGACCCACGTCAGAAGACGAGCGGGAGAAAACAACTTGAAGATCTTTAATGACGCGATCGGCAGCATTCCTCTCTTTATCGTTTAATTGCGCATTCTGCAATAACTCCGATGTAATTCTCTCTGAGGACACGGATTCTTGGATGTTACTCTTTCTTTCAACGGTGGTTACTGGAGTACATGCTGCAACCACTTCACCTTTCTTAATAATTCTCCCCTTCTCAGTTACATTGGCGACTCTCACCGGGATAACCGTTCTGGATAGGTCGACGAGTGTTGAGGCTACTAGTACTCCTTTTGGGCTATTACAGTTATTGGGATATTCTATGATGCCGTAGCGGAAATTTCTGTTTTCGGCTATGGATCCAGGAAGTAAAATTTCTGTTCTTGCCGGTATTGTGATATTGTCTTGTGCTATGATTTTATGGACAGATTTAACTTCATCATTGACTCCAAATAACGCTATGTCCTCAGATGTAGAATGCAATTCGTTATTTTTAAAGTCCAAGGAAAAATTGTATTTCCTTAGAAAGTCCAATCCGAGTATGCAAGAATCAGTGATCTCTGCTACATATGCCGTGTGATGGTAAGCGGCACTTCCAAACGTGATGTTAAGCATTTACTTTTCCATCGATGTTGATCTTCTCACCGGACACAGTCTGTAGGGTAACGCAGGGCGGCGTCCAGATAAGTTTGCTTCCCAGTTGTTGAGCCAAATCTTTTCGGATGATGGTAACGTTGGCTCCTGTATCTATCGTCATATTGCAGGGAACTCCATTAATATGTCCTATTATGAAAAGTCCATTACATTACTGCCGCCTCTCACTGCAGAAATCTGAAGCGCTTTAAACTGGGGCTTTTCATGATCTGGCAACCTCCGCCCCGCGAGATGGCCACTAATTAGTTTCCCTGCTGTTTGTTAGGAGCGGTCTTAGCATCCGTGCCCTGGGGTGTTCTGCAGTTTCGTCGTATGTGTCCTTCAGCACCGCAGTTCCAGCACTTTACGGTCGGTTTCTTGTCACCAATATTCTGTCTCAAGGCGTTCAGTTGTCTAGTTAAATCGTCTAGACGAGCAGTGACTTGATCCCCTGGCTCCTGGACTTGAGCAGCTCTGACTGGATGGCGGTCTCGACGGGTGGCTTGCTGGGCTGCCTCAAATTTCATGGCATACACTAAAGCGCTTTTCAGATCTTTAACATCCGCCATTCGCAGTGCTTTCTGTATTTCAGGGTCCCGGATGCCATCGATGAAATATTGCAGGGACAGGATTTCCCTTGTTTCTGTCGGGCACTCCGAAAAGGCGTGATGTGACAGCCTTTCAACATCCGTGGCGAGCTCCTGAAGCGTTTCGGTGAGCTTCTGTTGACGAGATTTTAATTGGAGCCTGCTGTAGTCTTTTAAACATTTCTCGCCGAAGCGCAGCTCCAAAGCGCCGGATAGAGCTTCGAAATCTAGCCTTTGATTTTCGGGAAGCGTCTGCAGGATAGCGTCTGCTCTCAGAGAAGCGGCGAGATGACAGGCCTTAGCTTGGGAATCCCATCCATTCGCATCCGCAACGATAGAAAATTGTGTCCTATACACCTGCCAGGAGGTCTTCCCATCATATGTAGATAGTTTCAGAACGGAACGAGCAGGCATCGATAAAAATTTGAAACCTTCAGAATTGTTTCCTGCCGTCGCTACGAATTTCTTTAGGCTGTCAACTTCTTTGGCGACGGCAGCAGAAACCCTATCATCAATTTGTTGTTCGACGGCAGAAACTCTCTCTTCTATATGTTCTTTTACAGAAGAAATTCTTTCTTCTACTTGTTCTTTTACCGAAGAAACTCTTTCTTCTATTTGTCCAACTTTAGTTTCAACCGCGTCTATTCTGCCTTCCATAGCCTCAAATTTATTTTCTATTACGCAGGTAATTTCTCTTTTCATTTCGTTCTGACCTGCTTTCATCTCATTTTTAAGAGATTTCATCTCTTCCTTAACGGATTCCTGGCCCAATTTCATTTCTTCCTTTAACGGATTCCTGGCCCAACTTCATTTTCCTGTGCCGCTTTCATTCTTCCTTGAGGGATTCCTGGCCCAATTTCATTTTTTCTTTAAATGAGGCAAAGGCTGATATTAAATGCCTTAATTGCCTTAATTGCTCTTCCATCGCTCTTGTTATTGGCATTCAAATCCCACTTCTGACACCAAAAATTGTTGCGTGCGTACGGGTTCGTTATGAAATGAATGCACAAGTCCGATGAAAAATGAACAAAAATTTATTATTATCACAACAAAAATGCTTAAATTTTCTCAAATTATCATGCAGTATTACAATATCTCACAGTAGTTATCTTTTAACTACTCAAATGTCCAATAGAACGTAATTCAAAACAGCTAAAGAACGCTAATCCGCGAATTCGCTACAATCAACAACAGCAGTTTTCTAAACAACAACAAACTAAGCAACTACTACAAACTGAGATGTTTTCCTCCTTTTATAAGATTTTAAAATCACGCGCTAGAATTTTCCAGTACTTTCTCGAAATCAAAAAGAGATATTTATTTATTTAACGCACGCGCTCTTGTATTTTTAATTTTTCCGGCTTAGCTTTCTTTTAATATTCGTCACGCGCTGCACTGCGCGAGAAATAAAACCATTTAATTTATAATTGAACTAACATTAGCTTTTTTTAAATACCAAATTCGTAACAATATAAATTAAAGAAAAATTCAACAGTTTGGACGTGGACCATGGAACATGAATATTGCACTTCCCTTTCAGTAACAAAATTTACAAAACTGCGTAAATGGTGAATGCTTGGCATCATAATGTAAAGAAAACCAAATTGAACAAAAGCAGAACATATTTCTGTCATATATTTTCATTATTTCCGAGGAGAAAAATAGACATTTACCTCTTCCAACGTTGCACTGGACAAGGAAGAATTTTGAAATCCCCATAAGTGAAGACATTTCTCCAGGTGAGCAAAGAATTCTGACAGAGGTTTCCTATTCAATGGCTCAACAGGAAGGCTTACCACTAGATGGCTCTCGTCATTTTCTAGAAGAGTGGCATCTGGCACATAAGACTGGATAAATTCCATCACACCGTCGCAATCCACTACAGACAAGAAAGTATATGTTGTATTATATGTTACATTTTGCTCTGGTATTTACATTATCCGAAGATGAATGAAAATGCAGTGGAATCTTGATCTACCGTTTTAAAAGTGTAATCGATGAATGCATAAAAACGATTAAAGCGAGGAAATTTTACACAATTTAAAGAAATAGCACTTTCAACTTCAATTTACTGCATTAAAAATACTTTTTTAACAAAAATATTTTATGTTTGGCTTTACTTAATGGTACACTTTGCCTCGTATGAAAATGCGATTTTTCGCGATTTAAACATTTTTAGGTCTTCATCGCTTCTATTTTACTCAGAGAAAAAAGCTTAATAACTACGCTTCTTAAGTTTCGATTAAATGAGACTACTCCTTCTTAATTGTCTTCTTCCTTACTACTTATAATTTAAAATTTTAAGTAATAAACTTATAAGGTATTTCTCCCACCGTCTTAGCGAGCCTTCGTGGTGTAGTGTTCTGCACGCTCAGCGCGTTTGAGAGGTTCGCGGTTTGATTCCCGTCGAAGGCGTTGCATATTTTTCATCTTGCCTGCTTCCAAAAAAATACCTAATGTCTCTACAATGGCGCCCGAACTAAAAGGGCGTTGGATGATGATTCTCCTCATCCAGGATTTGGCGATCGAGACTCCTAAAAGCCCCAATTGCCCTTTAAAAGGCGGAGTATATAAGGTATTTCTCCCGCCTTTTTAGCGAGCTTTCGTGTTGTAGTGGTCTGCACGCTCAGCGCGTTTGAGAGGTCAGCGGTTCGATTCCCGGGGAAGGCATTGCAAATTTTTCCTCTTGCCCGTTTCCAAAAATACCCAATGTGTCTACAAACTTATTGCTGCAAAATAACATGTGAAATGGGGCTAATTCAGTAAACTCTTGTATGACAAGCAACAGTTTTAAAGAACTTCAATTTCATAAACGAGGGATGTCTTTCTGTATAAGTAATACATGTATGCTTTGTCGACTGAATGTCACGAGTAGATTATTGGGAATCGTCTCCCACGCTCGATCTTAATTAACGTGCCTCACTAGTAAATTCAGCATAATACTTTGACCACGTTTTACAAGTAACCCTTTTCCATCTTTCAAATGTTTACAATTGTAGTAATTGTTCTTTAGTAACTATGCGAAAACAATGGTCTCTGGGGGGAGTTGAAAGTGAAAGCGATACGATTACAGTTATCATCGTTTATGGGTAGAACTTCAAATAATTTCCAGAAGTATTGAATATGTACATTTCATAAATGAACGTTTGCTTAATAATTCCAGATAATCAAATATTAATGATATTTTTTCCTAGTTAAAATCTCGTGAAAGTAAATTTCTGTATGTTTATAGTTATAGTAACATTAAATTACTTAAATTCACTTGATATTTTTCTCTTCGCTTAATGTTATCAAAATAGTCATGGCAAACGCGATCACATCAAACGGCACCGAGGCGGCATCAAGGCTACGTCCTTGAATCAACGTCATACAGAAAGATATGAAGCAAGTAAAATAAACTGCTAATACGGTACCGATCAGCAATAGCCTTACCATTAATAGGTTCCTCAAATTCAGTGATGGAAGAAGCGCGTCCAGAGTCTCTGTCTTCTCTTTCGGTTTTCTCGGCACCTACCAACAGGCTGAGACGATAACCGCTGCCAAAACGACTTTTCAGCTGTAGAGGGGATCCGTAGCATAACACACGACCCTGGATAAAAGATAAAATTTTCCTTGACTATATCAGAGACATTTCATTATAACACATAATTAACAGAAAAGAAAATTTCGTAAGATAAATTTTCTTTTCAGTCGCAGTGTTGGGTTAAAAAATAGTTTCTTGCAAAATTTTTGGACTGTTTAGCTACCGTGAATTAATAGTTTATATTAATTAATACGTGACTTAGCAAGTATCGCCACTCTATATACGAATAAAATATCGAATTTATCTTTCAAATCTAAACGATCTGTAATTATTTAATAAAGAAAGCAGTTTAAAATCTTAAACTTCTTAATAATTTAAGTCTTCATTTATTTACCTAAGAATGTATCTAATTAATGTAATTTAAAATGTATTTAATTTGCATTACAACCAATTACTCCTGCATTTATGTTTTAAAATAGTAACTGCTTATTATATATCTCTATTAACTGCGTCATTTTAAAATTAATCCATATGATAAGATTCTTGTACAGCACTAACGACGCAGATACTTACAGAACGCTTCAGTTAATAACGATTTAAAATTGGGGACCGAAACTTAATATTAAGCAATATGGATAAATCTAATCTGCCTAAATCATTCTGATCTAAACTTTCGTTTTAGACATGCAGCATTCTTTCTCTATAGCTTTACTATCGCCAGTATACTAACTCTTGCTACTGCTCCTGCCTTCGGATATATTTCAAAAATCTAAAATGTGAAAACGTAGTTTTTAAAGAATAGGCGCGCCTTTTGTGCTACGTTATTTGTGTTTGCGTATGTCAACAGTAAAATAAATGTTCAACTAATCATAATTACAGGTATGTCAGTCTTTTCTTCTAAATTATTGTGTGTATATGTATGTTACACCAATGAATATAGTATAAGCCATTAGGAAAATATTTTATTAATTAGAATAATGCTGCATGTGATCTAAGAATTGTCAGTTAAACGTATTATAAATTAAGTGTATTTAAAATTACGCCATTTAGACAAATGATTGAATTAAAATTAAAGCCAGCTGCCCAATCAATTCATTGGTCATATGCAATCTACGAGTTGGCACCCATCGGTGGTCGTAAATGGGCAATGCAATAATCTGTGCACTCATCAAGATGCGTGAATAATAAATACGTGGTATGGTGATGTAATATAACCTAACGTAACGTAAATTGTTTTTCAAAAATGCTCTCGAAGGATGTTTTTAATATCAGAAGCAAAACACAACTCAATACAAACAACTAACATTCAATGTTTAAGTAAAATTATAATAACATGAAAGCAGTTGCTCACTTTGTGTAATATTGCTACTCGATCACTCAGGATATCTGCTTCATCCAGATGGTGCGTCGTCAACAGGATAGTTCGGCCTATAAGAAAAAGCTAACGACAATATAAAATTACTAAAACGTATTGAAAAGAAACAGAGCCTCTTGTACTCAATAAAGCCTAATAAGGTCTGATTACTGCCTAAGCCACAACCTCCAAATCTCGGAATCATCCTATAACATGTAGTAACCCAGATTGCCCCTCACGAAAACAAGGAAAATGACCCGTAGAAGCTCATGGAAGATCTCTATGCCTAGGACCCCAAACTGTGTCAGTCGAAACCTTGAGTCCAACATTTTTTAAATTCATGAAAGCCCACGAGAATGTGGTGACATGGTAAAAATTCATGTGAGTTAAATTTCAAGCCAACACCATGAAATATAACTCACATACATTTTTATTTAAAAAAAGAGTAGAATGTTGCAGTGCCATATGTTTCATTAGTACATTCCTCACTTGAACCTCTTAGTTTTTTAAACAGAAGCTGACAAATTCCTTCAGAGCCTCAAACAAACTCCTTTCTCCTCAGAAACTTACAAACTGCTTCATATGCTTCATTGAGTCTACATAATTCGAAAAGTAATAAAAGAATTCATTACCTATGAATGTTGGAAAATTGTACCTAGATATCAACGTAGAAACAAAGTAGGCGGGATTTTATAACTTTTTTCCAAGATTTTCAGATATTTCCAATAGCATGAATTTAAATTCAATTTATTTAATTAGATTGATTTAAAAATCCAATATCAACGTGATTTAAAAGTTTTGGTGTACTGAATGAAAAATATTAAAACTTCTGTTTTAAAAAATTGACCACTGTCTGTAGTTGCACTAGCCTCTACTTCTCATCTATGCGATGGTGCAAAAAACTGAAATTCTGATTATTTGGTCAAGGCTGATATTGATCGTTAAAGAAGGATCGATGAGAAAATTTCAATACTAAGTTAAAATTCCCTACGTCAAAATTTTGAAGCAATACTATGGAACATTGTATCTAAAGCAAACATAAGTTAAAATTTCAAACGTAGAGTCGAAGATTAATTGCAAATTTTAGTTCAAAGAAACAAAGAGGGAAATTAAGCTAAATAAAACTGTGTAAAAGTACCTTTCTTATATTTGAGAATCAGGTCCCATATGCTGCGGCGAGCAACGGGATCCACACTGCTGGTTGGCTCGTCAAGAATAATCACTTTGGAATCGCCGATGAAAGCGATGCCCACGCACAGTCGTCTTCGCTGGCCACCGGATAGGACTTCTGCTGGTTGATGCTGCTTTTCCTCTAAATTCAGACTTTGCAGCATTCTAAGGAAAAAACGAAAGAATTTAAGCCAGCGATATTTCTACAATATTTTACCAAAATTAAATTATATTGGGAAAATCTAAATTATTGTTTTCCTAAACTAAGCATGTCCTACCCTCAGTACTTATTGATGCAGTTCGTGTCACAGAACCGAACACAGAAGGAAGGAATTTGGAAAGGAGAGTTGCTTAAAGTGGTTTTTGCTGGATATAAATGGTTACTTCATTAAACCTGACACGCTCTTTTTCCAATCCAAGACAAAAACTAACTAATAAATGACGTTTGAAAAATTATGTTGTAGGAATTTATATTTAATTTTAATAACCAGTTAAATTTAAGTTTACTTTCATTCCTATAAGCCTTCATTGTCAATGCCAGAATATTTAAATTTGGTAGCGCGTGTGAAGTAATGCAAATTCTACTTTGAGGAGAAAAGTTTCAATACCGAGTTCTAGAAGGGAAAGTTAGAGAGTTTGGGCAAGCGCCTGTAGCTGTGTAGCGTGAGCTTCTTTTCTGCAGTTATTGCTGGTAAACGTGGAGTAATAGCTATTACTTTGCTGCCATTAGATTTTCGACGCGGTTTTAGATAACAGGATTATCTGAGCCCTGTAATTCTACTACTTGTTAAAATCTTCAAATTCTTAGTTTAGTTCTTGTTATTTGAGTTAGCTCCCGAGTCAGGCGTAGTGTATTAGCGTCAAATCGACGCATTGTGAATTTTAAAGAGTTAATAAAGGGATATTTTTACCCTTCTCCTGTGTGGTTTCTACACATACTGCAGCTATCACATCAGAAGATAAACGAGTAGATCTTACAATGTATTTGAAATTAATTTGATAGTGAAGAATTCTTGTATTAAATGCAACAACTTAACCCTTTGCACTCGAGAGTTGACTCTCAGTTACCACTTAATTTGATGCGGTAACTCGAGAGGTGACTCTCGACCACCCCTCGGTTTGATGCAATAATTCAAGTAGTACCGATGTTTGCTTGGGTTTTGTCGGGCAGTATAGCTTCATTGGGTATTCAACAATATGTGCGTATAAAGCAACGGCCAATATTTAATCGTAAATACGTTTTCACTTCTTTGTATGAAGTAAAAAGGAAGTATTGTAATCGCGAAAAGTTTCAGGCAGCATATTTGAACGAAAACATAAATTTTGACGGCTATCGAATGCAATTTAACGATGATTTTGCGTGGCATCTGTACGTAAGGACAGAATAAGACTCTTTTCCTTCAAAAAATTATTTAAAAAACTGCTTTAAAATGAATTCTGAAGAGAATTTTCGTGACGTCTGTGCGTACGTACGTATCTCGCATAACTCAAAAACGAGTAGCTCAGAACGTTGAAATTTGTATATAGGACTGCTATAACATGTAGATGTGCACCTCGTATTTTGGTTGCAATCGGCCGCACCAAACGTATATATATATATATATATCCACTCTGTTACCCGGCTCAGTGATCTCAGTTTTTTACTCTTATATGTTTGTAAATTGTACATTTTTTGCTTTAAAAATGATTGAATTATGTTGTTTTATCTTCCGGTTAAGGGTTTTATGCCTTTAGTAAATCTGCTGCAATATTTGTAGAATTATCAACAATTTTAAAAGCTGTTTAAGTGCGGTTAAGCCATAATTTTTAAATAACATGGCGGCCATTGTTTGTTTACATTTGAAAGCAGAACTAATAGATTTGTTGCCAATCTAGAGAAGACTTAAGCTTCGCAACAACAAAGATAACGCCTTCATTTATTATTGCGAATTAAATCATGCTTAATCCTTTCTGGAATTTTTCGAGGAAATAAGTGTTTAAAATGTACTTCGTAATTTTTAATATAGATATTTTGAGTTTCTATGTATTTTTGCCTTCTCGCGAAGTGAGAACTGAATTAATTGAGTGAGAAATACTCAATCGTATGTGAAAAACTGTTTCTTTTTTGTTTTGTTTGCTTAATTTCTTTTATACATCGTTCTAGCTTTATTATAGTATTTGAATAGAACATGTGGCAACGATTAGATAATTCTTCAAATGATATAAATTTTGTGCATTCTGAGTTATAATGTGAATGAAATATAACGTTGTTAAGTGAACCTAGCGCCAGAGTGTCGCTATGGTAAAAATATATAGTGAATTTTAAAGAGTGCATTTATTCTATTGTGGTTTATGCACTATCGACGAAGTATATTTAATTCAATGCAATAAGTTTAAATGATTTGCACGAAACAATGCGTACAATTTAATATTCCGTACAAGGAAGTCGTATGGCGTACACATAAGATTTTTTAGTTTTATTGTCATATATGTGTCCTCCACGTTAATTCGAACTCGATAATTGTGGCACTAAGAATATCACTTTCCAAGTTACGTAGCGCAATAAGCAAAAATACGCTCAAGGAATCAGTTCAAGTAAATGTGAATTCCAGTTTTTGTTGATGAAGAACGAAATTACGTCTATTCCTAGACTGCTTGAAGATAGTCAGGAGGAAAGCAATGATGAAGACTGTGATGAGAAGCATTAGATTTCTTTAAATTTTGTGTGAAATCATTTTAAGTCAGTTGTAAGAAATTTACCAAATATGCGAAGAATCATTTCCATTTGATAGTTCGCCGGAACGAAAAAGGCTGCGAATGCAGAGGGTTAATATACTGAAATTATCTAAAAACGTTATGTAAACAGCGAATCATATATAGCACTGACTACCATTTTAGAGCAGTTAGAATAGATTTCGAGTTTTGAAATTTCAGAAAACACTAGTTGTATACCAGTAGATTTGCTATTTATTTCTCTATTGACATCAAACTTATCTGCGAACTTGAAATAGCATGCATAGAATTGCAGTGGAATATATAAAAGTTGTTTAAGCGGACTGTCTACCTAAAGAAACAGTCTACCTAAAGAAAAGGTTTCGCCAACATTTCCAATTCAGGATGCCTCTTTTAGAAAAGATGAATACACTGACTACCAATAAGTATTTGGACACCTGTGATAGAAAAGAAAAACTAACTTTATTCAAAATCAATAGTTGGTAGAGCCTCCACGAGAGGTAATTACAGCGTGGACCCTCCGGGGCATACTTTCCACAAGTCTTTGTATGACAGCTAGTGGTATTTTCTTCCACTCGGCTTGGAGAAGACATAGAAGTTCCTTCACCGATTTTTTACAGATAGTGCAACCCCTGAATTCGGCGATGCAACTCGTCCCAGAGGTTTCGATAGGGTTCAGGTCTGGACTCTGGGCAGCCAGTCCATTCGATGAACTCCATTGGACACATACCAAGCCTTGGTTAACGTCGAAACATGACAACTGGCATTGTCGTCCTGAAAGTAACAGGGGTCCAACCCGTAAACTGCCACAACGTAGGAAGCATTGTCATCCAAATAGTGCAGTAGGCATCGAGTTGAGCTTACCATGAATGGGGACCAAGGGTCCCAGCCCATACCAGGAGAAAACCCCAGACCATAATTCCACCTCCGCCAAAACTTGAGTGTTGGCACAATGCTTCTGCAGGAGACGTTCTCCAGGTAGATGCCAGACCCAGACCCTGCCATCCGAACGGTAAAGGGTGAACCTTGATTCGTCACTCCAAAGAACCCGTTTCCAATGATCTACGGTCCAATTTCGATATTCTTTGCACCACATTAACCGAGCAGCGCGGTTGAACTTTATGATCAAAAGCTTATGGGCAGCAGCACGACCATGAAAACCAAGCAGATGTGCTTTCTTACGAATGGTATTCAGTGAAACAATACTCCCGGATGCCTGTTTAAACTCCTCGCGGATGAGGGCCATCGGTTGGGTGCGGTTCTTCCGAATTTCTCTGGACAGCACTCGTCGGTCTCTATCTCCCAGTTTCGTTGGTCTGCCGACTCGGGGCACATTCCGACAATCACCGCTCACCTTCCACTCTTAATCACATAGGCCCTGTCGATTTTGGGTACTTCAGATCGCTAGATATGTCCCTTAAGAATCGGCCACATTTGTGATACCCGATAATTATAACCTTTCTCGAAATCAGAGAGCTCCGAACTGCGAGGCATCTTGCATGCGACTAAGCCGATTGTTTCCTACACGATATATACCGGCGGATTCCGTGGCGTACCTTGGGACCCGCAGATATCGTCATTTGCATAGGTGTCCAAATACTTATTGGTAGTCAGTGTAGAAGCGAGCACATTTTTTCACCAAAAACGAAAAGAGCAACAATAATTTCATATGAACATACTGTTTTCTTAGTAATAGCAACTAGTTTTTCAAACTAGATATATAGTGCTTGAAGAAAATATGCATTTCAACAATAAACAAACCAAGAGGTTCACCTATAAAATTAACATGCATAAACGAGAAACAGCCTCTGATTGAAATTTTGTTGAAACTCAGTCCAATTTTGTGACAGCTTCACTGTTACCTGAACGCAGCGGAAGTTGTAGTACTTCATATGGAAATCAGAGGACGTGGGGTTTGGGTTTTCCAACAACTACTCAATTTTTCTCGTTAATTAACACATTCATTCCAATAACCGACAGGAATGGAATAAATGTGTTATTAAAAAGATTGCTATAAAGGAGAATTTCGGAAACTTTAAAACAGCCAGTTTCTTAAGCATCTTAATAAACATCTAAATTATCATTACGGTCGACTGTGGTGTTACTTCGCCAGTAAAACATAATGGTTGAAAGCATTATTTGCAGAACCGCGGTCTCTCAATGCGCTGTACGTTTTTCAAGAAATAGAAACGGAAATACGATTTGCAAACAGTCTTTGGGAAAAAACCTTGGTCGGTTCAACCCATGCAGGTAAGGGACTATGAGTAATCCTTTGCTGTACGATTAGTTAAAGTCTCCCTACAGGTAAGTTCTGCCTCACTTGTTTTTATCGCCCAGTCATATACACTCGTGTGCAAAAGTAAGAGAATTTACACATTATGTCGAATATTTGAAAAACTAATGGACGGACCTTTTATGAAATTTGATATGAATGTGCATTTATAACAGACAACGAAATGTGCCATTCGGAAGTCATTTTTGTGCGCATGATTATCAGAAAAGCTTTAAAATACAAGCTATGATATCAAACTGAAAATGAGTTTAATATGGGGTATGGTCCCTTCTCACAGCCAGACAGGTCACGTTGTCTGGCGGCATAGTGGACTGGAAGAAGTGGAGGAGTCCTTGGGGCGTCGATTCCTTTCCTGCAACAAGGGAATTTTCAACTCCGGAATGGTTCTCGAAGGGGGATGTCGAGATCAAATTGCCTTCCAAAACCGTCCCAGACATGCTGTACAAGGTCAAGGTCAGGAGATCATTCATATGCGGCTGATATCTTGTTTCACTTTCCAGGTAATCGTCGACTAGCTGAGCTCTATGTGGACGAGCGTTGTCGTTCATTAACAAGAACCCAGGACCAACTGCGCCCCTGAAAAATCGCACATAGGGTTCTAAGATCTCCTCTCTGTATCTCATAGCAGTCCGGGAACCTTTGTCAAATACGTTCAAGGGTGTGCGACTGTCCAACATAATGCCTGACCAAACCATTACACCTCCACCACTGTAATGACCCTTTTCCCTGATAAGAGGAGAGGTATCGTGTTCGAGGCTCTCTCCAGCTACAGGTATGCCAAGGATCAGTGTCGAAGATGAATCTCGACTCATCTGTAAAAAAAGGCACGGTGCTTCACGGAAGTCTGGTACAATATGCATGTTTTCTACACCATGATAAATGTGCTGGCTTTTGTGCTTCAGTAAGCTGGACACAAACAACGGGTCTTCTGGCATACATCCCTATCTCTTGAAGCCTTTCGGCAACTGTAGACCGTGAAACTCGAATTCCAGTGGCAGCACTGTATTAGTCCTGTGTCGCCGCCCTGAAAGTGCCAAATAACAATCTCATTCGTCGTTGTGGATCTTGTTGACCTTGTCCAGATCTTCTCTATAATGGATCCAGTGTCTTGAAACAGTTTTCATAAACTGCAGACGACACTAGGCGTTACATTAAGCTCTATAGCCACCTGCGCTTATAACTGGCTTGCCTGCAATCTACCGACAATTCTTCATCTCATTCTGTGATCCATATGCTCGTTGTTACTCATTTTACCTAATACTTTATAAAATTAACTCAACAGATACGACGAATGTCGTGAGGGAGTACAAGCCGGAAAATCATTCATGCGCTTATATCCTGCCCAAAATCAAAGCTCCGCAGACACACACATGTAGGCTTACGTATTCGGCTGTGTATAACTGAATAACTTTATCAAGAAAAAATAATTGAAGAAAATAGTAGATTGATTTCTGAGAATAAAATTTTTAAAATTATATTCTGCATTTAATGAAAAATACATAATAAATTACTTAACGACATATGATGAACAGAACTGATTTATAACTGAATTATAATAAAGAACATTAAGCAAAAAGGGCAAACAGATTTTTATATCAATAAGTCGAATTTTCTGCATGTAAAATACTTACTTTTCAACATCTTCATCGATGCTAGCGCTATCCAGAAGTCCTTTCAACTGAGCAAAGAGGTATAAATGTTCTCGAACAGTCAGCCTAAGAACATAGAAGTATATATAAAAAAATCGAATATACCGAAGAAAATGCTTTTAGCCAAATTCAAGCAAATACACTCTGTTAAAAATGTAATATTGTTCTATCTATGTAGGCACAGACAGGTATCCCGATAGATTTTAATACTTGGTGAAAATCTCAAAATTTCGTCCTCTAAATATCTTTATTTTTTTCTTACTTGTACTGTGAACCCACTTAGTCTTTTCACAGTTCCTCATATCAATGTTCAGTTTCCTTAACAAGCTGTCTTGACAAAACTTTTTTATCTTTTTATTAATATTTTGTGTATTTACTTTATTAAATATTATGTTCTTGGTGCTTACGCTACATAAAATTTGATTCAACAGCAAAATTTCAAAATATTTAAAAACTCCATATCTTTAGAAATTCCGATAGACAGCTCGCGCGCTGGTTATAAAAATGTTTTTTATTTTATTTATTTATTTTTCGTGTTGCCATTGCAGTCATTGAAATCTTTGAGTTTCTTAATCAAAAATTCCTTAAAGTTTTACAAAATATGAAATAAATAACAAAACACGTACGAAATTTGAAATTTCAGGCTTTCAGGTACCTATGTTCGGGTGAAAGACTACGTTATTCAGAATTTGATGGCTCTTTTTACCTTTGGGTTTTCACAATAAGGGAAACAAGCATGAATTCATGCATATTCTTCATCATTTAATTTCTTTAAATATATTTATATATATTTGAAGGCATTTGCTAATATTTGGAGGCAACAACACGGAAAGTGATACGCCGTTTATACTGATTCAACGTAAAATGCCGTCTTGAGACTAATATCCCATTCGGCTAAAAACAGAAAAACGTATGCCAACACTAAACGCTGCATCGGGTATTCTGAACGTATGTTGCTTTTGAAAATTTTATATTATTGATGTTAAATTGTGTACTGCATAAGTGGGAAGAAACTTACGCTTGATAATACAGTTAAAAGAGGAAAAGAAAAGGTAGGAGTGTGTGTCAGTAGACTGGTAAACTGTGAGCTAAGCGAGAGCGTGAAAAAAACTTAACAAACCCTTTTGGGCAACCGTTAAAAATGAAACCTTTCAGACGTTATGGTTGATTTTCTTCTGTTTACTTTGTCTTGTTTTCTTCTCGCTTACGCCCCATTGTTCAGCAAAAAATCACAAAATTTTTTATAGTATTTTAGCTGCATATTAGCATATAGTTAGAATTTCCGATGCGGTGTTAAATGTTGGCATACATTTTTATATTTTTCAGGGATTTCACAGTTCATCGAATCAATATTCAGTTTTTTTAGTAAGGTTGGCTAACAAAATATTTTTTTTTAACAAAATATTTTTATGATTAAGTTTTGATGCGTTAACTTTATTTATTATATATCACGTTCTTCGCATTTACGTTACTTAAAACTCAATTCAACAGGGAAATCATAAAATATTTTAAAGTAGCGTAACTTTAGAATTCCCGATAGAGTGTTCGAGGTTGCTATGCATATTTTCATATTCGGTATATTATTTCTTTAAAAACTAGCCTCTAAAATAGATATTTAAAAAAAGAAAAAGTATATAATGATTTTAATTAGTCGGTATCGCAGCTAGCGGTCGCAGCAGTTCGGACCTTTGGAGAGGTTTAATCCTGGAGCCCTGTTTTAAATCATATTTTCTTCTCAGTGCTGGACACGAGAACAACAACAACGAATAAAGCTAGTGTAATTTCATAAAAATATTAAATATTTTTATTTGTATATCTAATGATTTTACTACATGTTTATTCAAACCTTAAAAAGTAGAAGAAAAATATTCTTAGGAACTTTGTTTATTGCTTTTACATCGCTTAGTTTATTACTCAGTATTCTTCCAGATTAAATATGAAACTATCTTAGGCTTTACTGAATGGCAACACACCGGCTCGTGGTAGATAAAATTATTCTGTTTCTGGCAGCGGCAAAACATTGCTTTCATCAAGCCAAGTTTGTCAATTAAATTCTTTGTAAATTAAAGATAAATTTCTTATATTTTCCCAAATGGGAAAGGTCTCGTGCGCTGGAGATAAAAATGTTTTATTCCGAATAGCGTTGCCACTACTCTTTTACAAATCGTTGAGTTTGTTAATCAAAAATTCATTAAAATTTTACAAATATGAAATAAATAATAAACAAATACGCAATTCAAAATTCAGGCTTCCATGTGCACATTTTCGGGTGCAGGACTATGTTATTCAAAATTTGGTGGTACAGTCGAATGTTCACAGTGCGAAGAGCATACAAACATTCAACAATTTGAAGAACGATACGCCGCTCATAGTGAATTAACGAAAATCCCATTTCGAGACTCAATACAATAGCTCCTTTGGGGCTTAAAAAAGTAAAAAAATCAAATTAGATTGTGTGACTGAATTTATATTATTGAATTTATATATTGTGTGACTGAATTATATATATATAAAACCCTGCAACTGTTCTTGTCCCAAAGGAAATGGTTCATTTGAGAACTTACTTGGCATACAGAGTATTGTTCTGTGGGCAGAATCCTATGAGCTTTCTCGCTTCCGCAATTTTCTCAGGGATAGGCAATCCATATACCGTCACGGATCCAGCTGTTGGGCTCATTCGACCAGTTAAAATCTTTCTGAAAAAGTAAAAAGATTTTAGTAAGAGACATAAAATTAGAAAGGTTATTTAAATACCTTTGACGAGCTTTCTTCTTTAAACTTTAGTTTTTACCTTTTATAGTAAACATTCGCTTGCTAAATGCGAAATATTGTATTGGTGGCAACAACTATATAACCATGGGCAGTCCATATTGTATAAACATATACTATTTATGGATGGCCCATAGGACGGGGTCCATCTGCAGTGTGAATAAAATAGTTTTACTAATCCATGTTAGCCGCTGATACGTAAACTTCTGTAAGACAATATGATGCTTAGAAGAAATGATTAGTTAATCAATACAAATCTCTGGTCTGAGTTACATTAGTGGGCTGTATAGTATGGTGAAAACATCTATGTTGATCCATGGTATTAAGACATGGTTTAAATATGAGCATTTATGGTTTATGCTATAGAGAAAGGACCCAGTTTTGTTGATTCAAGCTACCCGTCGACTAAGACATCAATACTTTTAAGAAAGTATGATAGTTGTTGTTCAAATGGTTAGACACTTGCAACTTAATGCATTCATCGAAAATAGCTGATACCCATCGGTGATTTTAGATTCACCGATAACATTGCTCAAGGTGCAACACAAAGTGCGGTCGATATTACACCCGGAGGGAGAAGGTCACACCTGTCTCAGTTTTAATGGAGTGCATAGCCCAGGAACAGATTCGGTGGTCACTCATCCGAGGGAACTTTTGATTCTCCAGTATTTTGACACACAGTCATTGTACATTTAACAAACATTCAAACCTTCCCCAGGATACGAGCCATGGAAAAAGCTAAAGAAGCAACAGTCAGCAGCGCTAACCACTAAACCGATTCAGAGCGGCAAAGTTATTATAATTAAGCCCCCAAAATGCTTAATACAATGCTGTAAAATAACTAACATTCTGCATAGCATTTATTTTGTTATGAAACTAGCATTTTATTGATGGAGAAGTTTATATGTGCTGTGAGGTTTATCAAAACATTTCTGATATGCAAATATTTGAAACAAATAAGAAAGAGCCTACAATGTATTTTTCTTAGGGATTTTTAAAGAAAACCAAAATTATTGTACTTTTTTGACATTACTTTTAACTCATGTAAAAGGAAGCAGATTTTTAATTGACATTTATTTTTTCAATTGTAATTTTAAAACATTAGATGATTTTATATTTACATTTTCGAGCATTTTAGTTATTACTAAGCAAAGCTTTTGTAAGTTGATTTTAGAACGTGTTCTGCCTACTTGATGTTATGTTGTTAATTTGACTTAATTTCAGTTTCATTCTGCAGCGTTGAGTGCTTTTAGCCGGCTTTTCTACAAACCAGAGCCTTTCCTGCGCGTTATTCTATCCTGTGAGCCTTTAGGCTAATCTAACTAAAATCAAAATGTAGTAAGCATTTTGATTTAAGCACAACATTACGTATTTAAGTTAAGCCAGAAGTGGTGGCTTGTGTAATCCCAAGTTAGGTCATTCTTACTTCTTCGTGTTCAAATAAAAGGGTCTCATATACTCTTCTTATTTTGTTTTCTTGTAATCACAAGATAATTCTTCTACAGTCTTTTAAAGTCGGTAGTTTATGCTTCCTAAGACTACCAGACTTTATAGTTGATTTAGTTATATATTTGTTTATTGTATTCTTGTTACGCACTGTGAAATCTCTTCATTTTCTTCTTTGGCTATATTAGAGTAATATCGGTAGTCGGGAAAATTTTCGAGTAAACAGCAATGTGTGGTATTTTAACGATATTTCACCTTTTATCCTGCGACTGCTCAGCGAATTTTAGGCTTTTTTCCAGCGATTAAATTGCTAACTTATGTATGTTATATTGTACTCACATAGTGGTTGTCTTCCCAGCACCATTGTGACCTAGAAGAGCAGTGATGTGATCTTCGCAGAGGTCCAAGTTCAGCCCACACAGCGCTTTCCATTCGTTAGAGCCTCGTTTCGTGTACAAACCATGCACGTTTTTGACACTAATTCCAACAATTTTCTTGACATTCTGTTCCCTCTGGCTGCTGCTGTCCCCTATCATTCAGAAATACAAGATCAAAATGCTTACAATCTGTAAGATTAAACATGGGAATAAACTTAGACTACCGTAGATTTTATATACAGCTGTATCGATTCCCAGGGCGACTCGCACAAGTCCCTTTTCTTCATCTGCAAAAAATATTTCGATAACGAAAAGGGACTTCAGGAGCAAAAAAATACTTTGGGTGAAACTATTTTTGTTCCTGAAATAAGAAACGTGTTAGTCTCCCTCAAATTCACGAAAACTTTTATGAAATGTATTCTAAGTGTTATGCTATTTTTTTGCTCTTCAAGAAGACAGAATTGTGTAAGTCGCCCTCGAAATCGCTAAAACGATATATGCGGTACGATATGAATCTCAGTGTTTTGGGTGCCTATACTGAATACTAGTCTTAGATATATTCTTTTAAAATAATACTTTTCTTTTACTAAATGAATACTTTCTAAACGTAGCTCATAATAAAATGTCGCCGTATTTCATCAAGTATTTATTCCAAATAATTTTATGCACTGTTATTATTTTTCGAATTCACATTTTTAATAACATATCAAAATATAAATGAAGTTGTTTGTGATTTAAGGTGATCAGAGAATCAACTCCCATACACAATGTTACCTTCGTTTTTTCCTTTACTTTCAAAGCCATCACTATGATAAGCAGAATTTTTCTCTGGATACTTCTGTCCACTCATAAAAAAATACCATGTCAGTGGCTTCCTTTCTTTACTTCCTGGAAGAAAAAAACTCAAATAATACATAACAAAGCTTTTTATATTCAAATCATATTATATAAGTTTGAAAACAAAAACATAATTCATTATCTATGGTAAATGTATCCAAAGCTGTGATCAATATATGTCACGATGCAGAAATTTGCATTAACAGCAATCGACATTTACTTATGCTATCAAAAATACAAATGAACTTCTGAGATGGTCGTTTAAGGAAAGTAGGCCACCAGAAGTTTTACTATACTGTATATTTAATATTTATAATTCTCACAATCATCATGAACAGCAAAATATTACATATTTAAATATTTAAATTTTACTGAGCAAAGTTTTCGTAAGCTTTACTGACTTTCGAAGTTACTTCCGGTTTTCTGTTCTTAGCAAGAGAAAATCGATTTTTAAAAATACAATATTTAACATAGAAAGTGCTAGAACGAAAAGAATGTACTGTGAAACTCTGAGAATTGCAGAATACGTTTAGAGAAGAGAGCAAACATATGTTAAGAAAGCGAGAGCAGAAGATGAGAAATATAGATAAAGAACATTTTTTATTTGTATTTTTGGTTAAATGCATCGGAGAGCAGAAAATAATTATCACAATATATATGATTAAAAATAAAATCAGAGGCTTTTAAAAATTTGGATTTCAAACCCAAACTGAAGAGATATTTAAATGATCTGAATGTAAATTATTATTATAAGTGTTATTTCTATGCTACCATTTCAATTATTCTCGTATATTGCTTATGTACGCTGCACGCTTTTGGTTTTACCCACAGATAATCAACAGTATTGTGATAACTAAAAAACATTTTTATTGCATTTAAGCATAACAAGGTAATAACTTGAAAACTTTGTTTTAAATTTATATTTTATTTTATACCTTTTTTGTCCGTGAAAGGGAACAAATAATAAATTTTAAAAATCAGTTTCTCGATATATTTTATTTTATATCTTTTTTGTCCATGGAAGGGAACAAATAATAAATATTAAAAATCAGTGTCTCGATATATTTTATTTCATACCTTTTTTGTCCATGAAAGGGAACAAATAATATTGAAAATCAGTGTCTCGATATGTAAGAAAATTGCTCCTTTTAACCAGCATAGCAATAAGGTTCATAACATACCTTTATTTGGGGATCCACTGATCTATACAATGATGCAAAATTACATTCAATTGATTTGAATTTAATTTAATTTTTTATTTAAATACTCATCACTATTAACAGCTTCACATACAAGATTTCACGTTCCGTCTTTCGAATTTGGAAAAATCGCTAAAAATGGATAAGCTAAAGTTAGGGACTCCCCAAACCTTTATTCAAAAAATCATGCTCCGATAAAACTGAAGGTTTTAATATTAAAATTCAGCAATGATTTGTTTTATCGTCAAGCAAGGATATTTACCAAAAATTCACAAAGTAATTGTTTCAACATTAAATAAAAAATTATGTTGTTGTTGCAAAATGTTATATTAACATCGCAAATCTGTAACTGTAGAAATTCCAACCAAATCGGATCGACAGATGTGCGTCAATAATTGATTCCAACATTTGACCCCCACAGGAAACAAGCAAACCAACCTAAATAAAAAACTGGTAAAAACCATTATGGCTGCGTCAGAGGTCTCCATTGCTACATAAGTGCTTCTTTCTTACTCTTTGCTGCACCTAAATAAATTTTAGAGAAAAGTGCATTTATGCCGTTTGATATTAATGATCTCTACATATGCCCTAATTTCGGCACCACAGCCCTAATTTCTTGTAAAGGCCATGACTGTATTATGCAAATTAAGACAAAGCATTCGATGTCTATTTGCTTAACAGAAGCTAACCACCCCATATACTCAACGAGGTTTCGGAATCTGAACTTAGATTGAACTAAGAGACTTCGCGGATGTTTGCTGTCCAGCTCTTGTGAATCGAAAAGGCCAAGAAAAGATATGTTTCATTGAATATAATTCCAAAATTATCATGCAGTTTGTACTCGGCTTCTTGCTATTTCCTAAAGAGTTAAACGATATAATTTCTTTCCCATGTGAATCTTAATAGTTTATGTTTTGAAACGGACTACATCATACTTCAGTAGTTCGGCAATTAAAATTGCCAAAAGCTAGATTTTATATGATAAAAATAAAGTTTATGAAGTGTAAAAAATAGCTATTGATGTACATGATGCTTAATTTATATTATGAATTCTGTATATTTTAATTATATATATTCCTCTAAAGGTTGTGGGAGTCAAATTACTTATAAAAGATGGCTTTACAATTCGTTACATTCTAAAATTTCGGCCAGCTCTTGACAAGTCTGCTTTTGGGCTGGATGTACATTGGGAGCTGGATGTAAATTGGAAGTAAAGGATTCAAGGCACAAAATTACGGCGTTATTTTGGAATTATAATCAAGAAAATGTCACTTATTTATGGAATCTTAAAGATCTTTAGGATTTAAGGATGCTTTGAGGGATACATGTATAACAAATATATGAAGACAATTCCTGTTCAATGTAGTATATGAGTTAATTTTCTTCCGATATATTGCAGTGGTGTGCTGTCAATAGAATTGAGAAGATAAGAATTGAATAGAATAAAATTGAGTCAATAGAATTGATATCCGAACATTTAAAATAAAAACACTGATAAATAAACTTTCATCTAGCATTTTAAAACATTAAAAGAAACATCATTTTACTTCTTTTGAGAACATATGCCGAATCTACGCAATCGTATCGAATCCCAATCGCCAAGAATCGCAACCGCATCGAATACGCAATCGAATCTTTTCTCTATGTACTTGGGTTGCTTCGGCTGTATGCGAATAAGAACAAAATAGTTTTCACCTGTTCTACAAGTATATTCATCTGTTCACCTTAGACATGCTATTAATTACTTCCAACAGACTGTAGCATTTAATTTTCGCACGCTTTTTACACGCTAAATTAATTTAAATTTTAGTGCTATAGATTAATTAGTGTTTATGAATTTATTCTTGTGGCACATAACAGAATTAAGAGTACATTGCTATTTTGAGTTTAAAATTTGTAGCCGGGGATAGAACAAAGAATTAGTCCCCACACAAGAGATCATCAAGGAGCTTGCGCAATGAAGTTATGAACCTACTTTATTGGCAAGACATAGATCAGCTCTCAGTATCATAACCTTGTGGTCTCGATCGCCTGTGCGACATTCAGTTTGGAATATTATACCAAAGAAACGAGATATAATCATAAAAGTTAGATATAATCCATGTGTTCATGAAACATTATACCCGTCATTTCAAAGTGAAATGTTCTACAGTTTCGAAATGATTTAATGATATATAAGCTGAGAAGTAGTCTGTTTTTTTTGGCTTTGTGTTCCTTTGAGACAAAAAATAAATTACTTTTTTATGATATTCATCAGATTCAGAAAATATTATTCATTGGGCAGATCACTTCAGATTTCGCTTCCTCATCTGATTTTCACAAATTTACCTTAGCACATTATGCATTATTGTACTCATTATTTTCATATACAAAATGCAGCAAACCTTTTATGTTAATCTTCTGCCTAACACGACCATATGCGAAGGTGCCCAACAATTTTGAGAATGAAAAAAAGAAAAAAAATTTGGTACTGAACCTCACTTTTTCTTTAAACCTACTATCTCCACAGATAATTAGAATCATCAGTAAACGCTGGTAGTCATCTGGTCATCTTGGAGAGGAACACAAGTTTTTTTATACTTAGTCTTTTTCGTTTTAATCACGGTACGTCACTGATATACTGTCGTAATGGTTTCTATACATTTTAAGATGCATATATGTGTGCATACTTAGTATAGAGTATTAGGATAGATATTGATGAATATGGCCGGGCATAAATTTAAGTGAAGCAGATGCGTTTACCAAAGGTTTTGTTCTAAATCTATATGAAAGCGTTTCCATTTGTCAGAGCTATAGCATCTAATACACAAAGTAATACAGCAGCTATAGGTTGAATTTAGAGGCGAAAAGAACTACGTACGAAAAACAAGGAATTTAAAACAAGGAACCGATAGAAATTTAAATAGAAATAATTTTAAAATATGCACTCAGCGATACTAACCTGCCCATATTCTTGTGAAATACCACGATATTAAGAAATAACCCAGAGAGCACAGAACCATGGCCATAAGAGTGGTACCAAAATTCATGCGATCATCAGCCACGGGGCTGTGCCATAAGTTGGACCACTGCACACCTTGTCCCTGGTCTTCGTACCTGTTCAGATAGAGGCAACCAAAGCAGAAGGAGGTGGAAACTAGTGCGCACTGTTAAAGAAAATCAGTTTGTCAAACATTTAACAATAATCATGAACATTAAATTTCATAAATTGCTCTAAATCTTACAAAATCTCAGAGTTGTATATACTTACAGATAATAGCTTCTGCCAATACAGGAAATCTAACTCCCAGGTGACAAATAATAGAAAAGGGAAGAAAGACAAAACGTACAACAGCACGGACATCAAAGCAGCCGTTGTAGCTCTAGTGAAGAACGCACTCATCAATTGACTGAAAAATAAACAAACACAGGTTATTCACAAAATTTTGCGTTGGAAACTTCTTTAGCGAAAACGTTTCAAAACTTCCGGGCCGTTTCATTACTTTAAACTACCATGCATTTATCAATTACGCTAGTGGAAAGTTTGAAATGTAATATCTTTAATTTATCATCCTCCTGGTCCTGAAAATTAATACTTTCCAGAATACTCGAATTTGATGTGACATAAGATGTTTAATTTCTGCTTCAGATTGCAACTGCTTAAGAAATCGATTGATTTAGTCACGATCTAACGTCTTAAATTACATATCTAACTCATATTACAAAAAAAAAACACGTTAATTGATTAGCTTTACTGTAATTAATAAGAGATGCTTAATAACGGAATACATTAAGTACTTTGATGAGGAATAATTTGTTATTTAACGCACTCTGTATTCTTTATCACGGTTAAGTAAAATTAAATTTGTCATTATTTTTAGAATATTTGTATTTAATAAAAAATTCTACTTGAATATGTTAATGTCTGAAATCGTATTGCAAAGTCTGACAAAATTTTAATTATGGCAATTAAGGGCCAAAAGATTATTTTGCCAAAAAAATATTTCATCTTACATTATTAACTCGAATAGCTCTTAAGACAATGTGAGACAAAAATTTAAGCATAATTTCAGAACTCTTAATTTCACGTATAATTAAGAAATTGTTTCTTTCAAGTTGGATCATATTCTGTTTTATTATAGTAAACTTTAATGCTTAATCGCTAACTGGCGGTTTCTTGGGAAACTGCTAGTTAATTAAAACATTTCTGACTGCCACATATTTCTCTTTTATTCACTGGCCTTATAAGAAATATCTAAAAATATTTATTCTGATGAGAAGAAGCCAAATTTTCTTTTAAACTGGCATAAGCAGTAGTTATATAATTTGATAAACCATTCCGCTGCAAAAAACATTGGACTACTTAGCTAATTTTCTGGTTACTAGATTGAAATCGTCCGTTTTCTAACGCTTGCTTTCACATACTAAACAAACTATCTGCAAATTGATAAATCTGATATGAGAGCGAGCTTCTTTTGTGTCTGAATTCAACTCAGTGTGATTTATATTTAACTACAATATGTTTAAAATAAAGAGGAATTAAAGAGTTCAAGGTTATCCTTCCAAAGGGAAGAGGATATTCTTCTGTATTGTGCGTCATATTAACGTACTACTCTGGTGCCAATTCAATGAAATTATAATTACATCCCAAATTTTAAGTACCTAGAAACATATAGGTTAAATTAACACACTTAACGATTAAGCAAACAGAGAGAATGCATAAGAGACAATGTTATTGAGCGTTTTTATGGCTACGGGTGTCTGCATTTCGACATATATGTATATCGTTACATTTCCGTGCTTTTCCAGATCTCTTCTATCGCTTTGCGAGCCCTAGTCAGAAAATGGGTTCGAAGGGTTAGACAAGCGAAGAGATCTGATAAATCGTAGTTGCATAATTTACCGCATTTTCTTGAACATAACTGTGTTAATTTGTTTTTCTATAACCAAATCTGTATAGGTGTGGCGGAGGGGGGGGCAGTGCTTCGACTGCAGCTGAATTAGTTGACGATTCTTGGATTTAAGCTAAACGGTGAGTTTTTAGGAAATACTCGTGTGTGGCAGTATTCCCTAGACCAGGATATTTCCGTTCTTCTTTCTTTCTTTACCCCCCTTCCGGAAGTTGAAATTTGAAGGCTGTTTGCGAAGATATATTTGATGGCCTCAAGTATAGCTTAGGGTTAGTATGATGTTGTAAAGTTTAGTCCATAGATACCTCAAAGACTGAAGCCTAGTTGTACTTGATAACTTTAATACGTTCCTGAAGTATAACTTGTTGAAGCTGGAGCTTAGTTTGTTGCATTTTTAGCAGCAGCTTTGTTGATTTTTTTTGTCAAAAAGGGAAATCAACTTGTAGGTATCTAACTAAATAGTTAGAATTGCCCAGGTCTCTTTCACAAAGCGACACCTTCAAGTTTTTTATTTTCAATTAATATTTTAAAATTCAACAAGATGTGTTTCAGATACATTCTTAGTTTAGTGGTATAGTTGTGTAATAAGTTCTTTATTCTTGTATAAGCGATAAATTGCTATTAAAACATTGCATGCCTCACCATAAAAATTATGTAAGCTTACCAGTAGGCTATCAGAAGTATTGCAAAATCGAGAACGAAAAGAAACAGGATGATGGGGTCTGAGTTTGGCGTGATTCCTCCCCATTTAAGGACCAAGACGATACCAATCACAGAAACCAGGAGCACGCAGACGCCCGTCACAAACCAGGCTAACCAACTAGCGCTACCCTTCAAGCCCATGACTCGAAGGGTCTGAAAAGAAAAGAAATTAAAACAAAGTAAAATAAACGCGCACAAGGAGAGAAATACAAAATACATAATTATGCAAAAGAATAAGGCTTAGATAGACATAGATTTTATATTAGATTTCTAAAGCAATTGACATAGGTTTCTCTTGAAGGGAAAGTACCTTTTGTTATTTTTATCATGCTATCAAAGTTTTTTCTTAATGATTTTTCTTACTCAAGGACTGAGTTTTTTAATGTTATTACTATTGGCAGAGACTTTCGTTACTCAGTTGTTGATAAAACCTTTAAAAAATCCTCTTCTTCCATCCCTAAAGACACTCCCTTGTTAGAAACAACCACATGAACCTTGTTCCAGCTAATTTCTTTTTTAGTCCAAAAGGGCTTTATCTCTGAAGGACTATTGTTTTCGTTTTCCGATTTTGCGTTAGTTCACTATAAATATCCGTTTCACTTTTCAAACTGTTGCCACCAAATGTTAGAGTCCTGCATTATATTTGAAGAAATTAAATAATGAAAAATCTGCATAAATGTATGTATATTTCTAGCATTGTGATAAAACAAGGGTACATAGAACCTTCGAGTTTTGAATGACGTAATCCTAACGGAAGCCCAAATTTGAAATTTGTTTTATTATCAATTTCATATTTTGTAAAACTTTGATTAACAAACTCAAGGATTTCAAAGTGAGCAATGGCAACGTCGTAGAGAAAAAAAATTTTTTTATCTCCAGTGCGCGAGACTCTAGCGGAAATTCTAAAGATATGCTCAATTTAACTTTATTTTGCTATATTGCTCTTGAACTGAATTTTATGGTTTAAGTGTGAAGAACATGATATTTAATAAATAAGAGTAACAGACAAAATGTAAAAAAAAAAAAAAAAAAAAAAAAAAATCTGAAATGTTTCAGATTTTAAATTACGTCCAAAGGGGCGTTTTTTTAACGTTTTGAGTGTTACCTTTATTTATTAAATATTATGTTCTTTGCACTTAAACCATAAAATTCAGTTCAAGAGCAATATCGCAAAATAATGTTAAATTAAGCATATCTTTAGAATTTCCGATATACACAGTCTCACGAGCTGGAGATAAAATTATTTTTTTTTCTATATAACGTTGCCATTTCTCGCTTTTAAAGCATTGAGTTTGTAAATCAAAAATTCGTTAAAGTTTTACAAAATATAAAATCTATAATAAAACAAATTCCAAATTTGGGATTTCAGATGCCCATATTCGCAGTAGGATTTCGTCATTCAAAATTCGATGGCTCTATGTACCATTGTTTTATCACAATGCGAGAAATAGACAATCATTTATGCAGATTTTTCATTATTTAATTTCTTCAAATATAATGCAGGACTCTAACATTTTGTGGCAACAGTTTGAAAAGTGAACCGACGTTTATGAGTCCGACGCAAAATCGCAAAATGAAAACAATAGTCCTTCAGGGACAAAGCCCCTTTGGACTAAAAAAAAAAAAAAAAAAACGACCATTTTGACGTAATTTAAAGTTATTTTATTTAAAGTTATTTTTAATTTTTTTTTTCTTTTCAGTTACAAGATTACTTATATTCTTAATAAATTCAACTTTCAGATTATTTTCTTACCTATTCATAAAGTTCGTTAAGTTCATTTTTTGGTCCCTAAAGACTTTTTTACTGAATTTTACTCTTAGGGAATTTATAGTATCCGTTTTCACTGTAACTTGACAATATAGCAGCCAAACTAAGAAAGTCTGAAAGTTTTAAAATTTTGCACTAAACAACAAAAATCTCGCAATTAAATTTTTTTCCAATAGCTAATCATAACCGATCCTTTAATAACAATTTTGACTTCCTTTCCTTTTATTATTGCAAGGTAATTTTCCCCTTCCTTACCCCATGCTTTTAGCAGTTGGGAGGTTCGGAGTTCTAATTCCGAGGAGGATATCGCTGATTTTTCCTGTTTCTTGTTTCGAAATAAATCTTAGCTTTACAAAGATTGGCGCACGAACGTGGTGAACGATAATAGTCCCTGCTTGGATTGGGTAATTAAGTCACCTCCTCCACAGTCGCCTTTTAAGTGGAAGAGTAAGGAATTTTATTCTTATAATATTTAGAAGCACTTGTGGCTAGCAGTCGGGAAGTCCGGAGGTCAAATCCCGGCAAAGGGCATCGCAGATTTTTCTATTTCCGATCTGAAATAAACCTGATGACTTTACAATATTACCCATCAAACTTCGAGTATTGCGAGCTGAGAAAAGTTGGTGAATTAAGATTTCTTTGAAGTTTTAAACATTATCAAAAACCTTCCTGTCTGAAATTAATGACATTAGTTCGAATGCGTTTTTCTCATATTTTCCAAAATTTTAATGTCTTAACTTTTATTTTTCCGTTTTATTTTTAAATTATGAATGGTCCTATGTTCATTTCTTCTTTGGCCTCTCCTATTCATTTGGGCTATTTATAGGATTCTTTACTCTGTCTCCACAACATTGTTTTCCTCTTCTGGAGAAGAGGGATTTATGTTAGCCGTTCTCGAAATAAGTAAAGTTTTATATAAAATCCCCGCCAATACAATTTTTTTTTGCGAAGTTTTACAGAATAAAATAATTATTAACAAATACATTTCAAAGGTTTTTCTTCTCAGTTGTAAATTAGTTTTTCTAATTAGATCCATGTTTACACGAATGCACACATGTACAGTAATAGGCTGATTAAGAATTTTGCTATTCCAGAATAAAACTCTTAAAGTGTAAACACCTCTTATTCGGATAGGAAGTTCCACTTAAAACATTTTGCCACCTAAGAACTTTAATTACATGGAGCGAAGAATGTGCACTTTTAGGAAATTCTGCCTATTTGGTAAGATTTTAATGATCGTATACAAAAATTTCATTTAAAACATTTTAATATTTTCTTCGATGAGGGAAAATTATATTAATTCTGAATAGGTTGAGAACAGTTCCTTTTGATGTCTAACTATCAACTATTGATATACATGAAAATAGTCTCTAACTCAAGTGACCTGAAGATGAAATGTTTGGATGATTTCGGGCGAAATTTCAATCAATATAGCCTGAACATTTAAGTGTTACTTATGCTACTTAATTAGCAGCTAAAAATCAGTCCATAAGCATTTGCTACTTTGTTTACACATCTGCTGCCTACTGATTCCAAAATCCAGGAGCCTCCTACTACAATGAGTTAGTTCTACCCAAAAGAAAACGACTGCCTGAATTAGCTTATGTTTGTAAACGTTCATAATTTTTCTTTTTGACGCTATTTCGAGGGGTGAGGGTAAGCTGTTCATTACCTATCCAATTTTTTTAATAACATTTTCCTTCTAATAAATCTTCCCACTTAAAATAGGAACCTTGAGCTTCTTAAAAACCTTCTTAACAGCATTTTGCTGCTAATCAAATTTACGCATTAATAAAGTGCACACTATAAGGTATTTCTTCCTTCCTTCCAGGACGCATTCACGGTATAACGGCAGCACACTCGTCGCATATTCGAGAGATCCAGGTTCGAGTCCCGGCAAAGGCATTGCATATTTTACACGTCTCTCGCTTCAGAAAACCTCATGACTCTATAGTGGCGCCCAAACTAAAGGGTAGCGAAAGTCGGCGCGTATTCGAGAGATCGAGGTTCGAGTCCCGGCGAGGACATTGCACAGTTTTCGCGTCTTCACCATTAAAAAGCTAATGATCCTACAGTGGCGCCCGAAATAAAAAGGTGATGAATGTTCCCCCCTTTTTAGTTCGTCACTATCAGGATTTGGCAACTGAGTCCTCTAATTTCCAGAATCATACCAATCCATGGGCTGTTAATATTTCTAAAGCAATTTATAGAATATCCGATGCGAAGTTTTTTTCTTAAGGAGTCCATTTTAATTTCCTTAAGGCATTTCTTTCTTTATCTTGTAATGTCTTTAGGTTATGTCTCTTGGTGTTAAATTTACAAACCTCATCATATTTCGTCTCAATTTTGAATCTGAACCTTGAATTAAAATCTATAATAATACATAAAAAAACGAGATCTACTGAATTTTTACTGAGATGCCTGACTTTATTAAAATTCATTCCATTCCGGGAACCCACTACACTACACAGGAATGTTTCAACTGGCCACTGGTGTCAAATACAACGAGAAGTTTCGGGCAGCTCTCCTTGTACTAGCCCAACGATGCTTATGAAAAATGTGATATTTAGTTATAAATGAGAAACTAAACCGTAGCTTGAAAGCATCGTTGACATTTGACTATGACCAAACATTTGATCCAAACCGAATATTTTGATGTACGGACACATTATCCACCATTTAGATACCTATGCACATGCATTGGTAGAATGAACATTTTATAACTGGACCAGAAATCGATAACTTACCTCATCTAATTCCAACTCTCTATCGAGCACCCTTTCACGCACCAGCAAAGCCACGATGAACACCCAAGAAATAGTCATGACAGCTGGCATAGAACCTTTCAGCAATGTACCAAACCTAAAAGAGAAAAAAACTTACTAAGGCAGCTGAAAATGTATCTTTTCAAGTACAGTTGTGGCCGCGTATCCACTCATTTGGTATACGCAATATATAGAGGAGCATCCTTTCCAGTCAACATTAATACTAAAATGCATTCTGAAGATTCTTCAGATTACATTCTAACACCTCAAAAAAATTTAGGATTAAAATTCTTAAAAATTTAAAAAATAGTTAAACATTTAAAAAAGGTAATAAAATGATACAAAAAAGAAATAAATCAGCTAACTTTTAATACCTGAAATAATTCTTAATTATGAGTCCCCAGAAACTCAAGATAAAAAACATAAAAATCATCCATTTAAAACGGCTGTTTTTGCTATGAAATTATGTCATCCTAAATGAATGCTACATGAAAATTTTTAACTAACGTAACAGAGGAAATAACTGCTAAAACGTAATTATGCATTTCCTTTTCTGGATCATATGCGTATGAAGTTTTGACCAATACCATTAATAAATAATGTGGCAACAGGTTCCATTTTGCCCAGGTGGAAAATTTGCGAAGTGAAAATAATAACACATTCTTCGAAGCTTTATTGTTTTCATCAGCTCTGAAATAATACATGTAACTTGATAATGGACCACAGTACATTGAATTACATAGCCAGTAGTAATAACGTTTACAGCTATCTTGAAAAATATTTCTCCTCAGACGCTATCATTCGTGTCAGTTTGTATTTATATTGTTACGAATTTGGTATTTAAAAAGCTAATGTTATTTCAATTATAAATTAAATGGTTTTATTTCTCGCGCAGTGCAGCGCGTGACGAATATTAAAAGAAAGCTAAGCCGGAAAATTGAAAATACAAGAGCGAGTGCATTAAATAAAGAAATATCTATTTTTGATTTCGAGAAAGTACTAGAAAATTCTAGCGCGTGATTTTTAAAATCTTATAAAAGGAGGAAAACATCTCAGTTCGTGGTAGTTGCATAGTTTGTTGTTGTTTAGAAAACTGCTCTTGTTGATTGTAGCGAATTCGCGGATTAGCTTTCTTTAGCTGTTTTGAATTACGTTCTATTGGACATTTGAGTAGTTAAAAAATAACTGCTGTGAGATATTGCAATACTGCATGATAATTTGAGAAAATTTAAGCATTTTTGTTGTGATAATAATAAATTTTTGTTCATTTTTAATCGGTCTTGTGCATTCATTTCATAACGAACCCGTACGAACGCAACAATTTTTTGGAGGCACCGACGACTTTCAAGAAGAGCAGTTTTCTAAACAAAAATCAACAAGAGAAGTTTTCTAAACAACAACAAACTAAACAACTACCATGAACTGGGATGTTTTCCTCCTTTTATAAGATTTTATAAATCACGCTCTAGAATTTTCTAGTACTTTCTCTAAATCAAAAAGAGATATTTATTTATTTAATGCACGCGCTCTTGTATTTTCAATTTTCCGGCTTAGCTTTCTTTTAATATTCGTCACGCGCTGCACTGCGCGAGAAATAAAACCATTTAATTTATAATCGAACTTACATTAGCTTTTTAAATAACAAATTCGTAACAATATAGTTTATACGGCTATTGTTATATGGTTTCAGATATAACTGTAGCGATAATGTAAAAACCACTTAATTAACACCCAGAATACCGTTATCATACTGCTGTTATTATACTGGTAAAATAAATTAAGAGAATTTGAATATTTTATAGAATTGCATGAAAAGAACTGAACTGAAGGAAAAACCATTGCTTCTAGATAAAATGCAAATCTTGTACCGCAAGTACGTAAGCGTACACGTGTGTGTAGGCTGAACCGTAGAAAAGCAGGCTTTATAAGCGCGTGGAGGGTAAGACGAATTGCGTTCGCTAACACACGTTTGCGAACTTCTTGGTGTTATCTTGCAGCAATCGATTAAATCCACATCGGAACAGTAAAAATGAGTAACCACCAATGTTTAGAAGATGGAATGAGGTAGCGAATTGTGGGGAGGCTAGAGGCAGGCTAATCGCAAGTCCAGATATGCAGAGAGTTTAATTTAACGCCCAGCGTCGTGTGTAACTTATGGAAACAGTTCCAGGATACTGGATCCATCGAGAGAAAGTCTGGGCAAAGTCGTCCAAGACCCATGACGGCCAGACAAGATTGTTATTTGTCCATTTTAGCGAGACGTAACAGAGGGGCTACAGCTTCTCAGCTCTCTCGGGACCTGTATGCAGCCACAGGAACCTGTGTAACAAGGGTGCCTGTTTCCAAAAGACTGAATGAGAGAGGGTTGTTTGCCAGAAGAGCGGCTATTTTGATCACGCTCACGTCTGCGGACAAGAGAGTCAGACTAGGATGGAGCAGGCAGCATAGAGATTGAAGCACGGAGCAATAGGCGACTGTTCTGTGCACCGACGAGTTCATCGACAACGGCAGTCACAATACTGGCGGGACCTTTGCCATTACATATTAGAGCAGCACAAGAAGCAGCAGTAACGACTGTTCTCCAATTACATCTCTGAACTACTTTTGGACCGTTATGCTATGATCCAGAGGAGTATGAAACAAAACGTCTCATAAATGCAACCCATCCTTCACACCATGGAAAAGGGGTTGTAGCACACACCACCTCTCAGCACAGCCTCCATTAAAAAATAAGGTCAGTAAATGTCATCCATTCGTCTAACTACGGAAAAGGAGTCGGCCCACACATCGTGGAAAGATGACTCTGACATAAAGGATCAATATTATGTTTATACGGATGGTTCAAAAGTTGACGGAGAAGTAGGCTGTGGCCTTATAGTAACTAGGAACAAGGAAACGCTGATAACATGGAAAGGTCATATGGGACAGGATAATTCAGTTTACCAGGCTGAAGCAATTGCGATTCGCAAAGCTATCGAGTTAACATGCCCCCAGTAGGATCCACTATTAATATTCTTACAGACAGCCTCTCGGTCATATATGCCTTGCGAAATCCCAGACATCCTTCTCCTATCATAGCGGAAATTCAGGACACGCTGAAGGAGCGTTCGTCGACAATGAATATCCTCATATCTTGGATAAAGGCACATTCAAGGTAATGAGGAAGCCGACAGGGTAGCAAAAGAAGCAGCTCACAATATCGATGCACAATGCGTAATTACCAAACTCCCGTGGTCTCACCTTAAAAAAGTGACAAGGACAGCAGCTCAGCACCAGTGGCAATGGGAATGGGGGACTCTACCACCGACAAAGCAGGAAGACCTATGAATATTACCATAAAGTTTCGCTCGATCGTCTCGAGTCATCCCACAAATAACGAGATTTGTGACGGGGCACGGGCCTTTCCCCTCCTATTACTATGAGAGAGGAATTGCAAATACCGAAAGTTGTGTCTGTGGAGGCATTGGTAAACCAGACCATTACTTGACCCAATGCCCTCTAACCGCACAGTGGCATGTGCAGCTTCCAGAACAGGCAACTTCTCATAAGCGTTATCTGATCAAACAGCCAGCATTTCGCATCAAAATATGCAAGATAATGCAGAAACTTGAGGAATTGGGAACAGATTTTGCAGTGTGGAGTAGTTCCCTGTCAATCTCTCTTCTATCTCTTCTCTCTTTCTATCTTTTTTTTTTTTTTTTTTTTTTTTTTTTTTTTTTTTTACATTTTTATTGTATATATTATGAAACATGTATGTATTACGGCCCACTGTATATATTATGAAACATGTATGTACTATGGCCAATGAAAATTATTATGAACTATGTCTGAATTATGTAACAGGCTCAATATATTATGAAACATGTATGTACTATGGCCAATGAAAATTATTATGAACTATGTATCTATTATGTAACAGGCTCAATATATTATGAAACATGTATGTACTATGGCCAATGAAAATTATTATGAACTATGTATGTATTATGTAACAGGCTCAATATATTATGAACTATGTAAGCAAGTATGAACTATGTAAGCAACTATCCACTATGTAAGCATGTATATGTATGAACTATGTAAGCAAGTATTATGAAAGATCTATGTATTATGAACTTCTTGTATATAAGCATGTACTATGAACTATGTAACTATGTAAGCATATATTATGAACTATGTAACTATAAGCATATGTTATGAACTATGTAAGCATGTATACAGGACCAATGTATGCCCTTATACGCCCCATGAGGTGTTGCCCCGGATAGTTGCGGAACCTGGACTAGACTCGAATAGTCTTAGTAAGCCGCACGGGTGTCCAGATTCTGCACTCAACTCAACTCACCGACGAGTCCCGTTTTAGCCTAAACACCGATTCTCGCTGTACGTTCATATGGAGAGAGCCAGGGACACGCTACCTACTCTCCAATGTCCACGAAATCAACAATTATGACGTTGGCGGTGTAATGGTCTGGGCAGGCATCATGTTGGATGGCCGCACACCTCTCCACGTCTTTAACAGAGGCTCTGTGTCCTGGTTATGAGGTATAGGGATGAGGTCTTGGAGCCCTATGTTCGCCTTTTCCGGGGTGCAGTGGGCCCCGAGTTCATCTTACAGGACGATAAAGCGAGGCCACATAGAGCTCTTCTGGTGGTCGAATTTCTCGAGAGTAAGAATATTCGCCGGATGGATTGGCCAGCCAGGTCTCCAGACCTCAACGCTATACAGCATGTCTGAGACGCTCTGGGGAGGGCAATTGCAACTCGCAACCCCCTCCAAGAACTATTCAAGAACTGAAAACAGCGTTGTTGAATGAGTGGGACCAATTGCCACAGGCACTGATAAACTACCTTATTTCTAGTATGACATCACGCTGCGAGGCCTGTATGGATGTAAGAGGGGACCCTACCCCCTATTAACCCTTTTCTTTTGTGTCTTCTGCAACCGCTGCTTTAGACTTTCAGACTCCCATGAGTGTTACACACGAACATGTGTGTCTATTATAACTGTTGAATGTTTATTTTGTTTTTATTATATCAAACTATGTTCACACAAAATTTTATTAAAATCTCTCAAGTAGTTCTAGAGATCGTAGATCATATATGAAAATTCTTTAAATTTATTTTCAGAATGTATATGATAGGCCATTTTACACAGTCGTGATCATCTCGGAAAATATAACAAGCAATTACTGTAGCACAATTGTATTGTAAGGCATAGATTATAATTTGTTCTCATACTAGTGGCTAAGGCTGTTTCATTGAACATACTGAAAGAACCAAAGCCGCGCAAAGAGATAATGCAGAAACAATCAACTTACTTGTCCCTCTGGTGACAAGGATAGGGAAATTGCTGCAAATATTTCTTCACATTTTGAGGACCATCCGAGTTCGTCTGTAATTGCATGATAGCAGTATCTACAGTGTCTTGCAACTGGAGAAAACCTCGGAAATAACGTAGGTCTTCAAAAAAGTCGTCGTAAGGATACGGTCGCCACCACCTAAAAGGAGTTACGTTTTTATTTATCTGATGTGGAGGTATGTTTAATATTTTATGGATACCGTTTGAAATGTTTTGGAAAAAATAACTGATTTAACGAATAAAATTCTTTATTTAGCACGTTAAACGAATGCAACAAACATTTGGAATAATTACATTATTCAATATCCTTCAGACCCTGCTACACTGAGAAGCGAATCCGTCTGAATTAATGTGACAAAGTCCCATGAGAAGGTTAAAGTAAACAGTTTACTAGTCCAAAGGGGCTTTGCCCCTGAAGGACTATTGTTTTCGTTTTGCGATTTTGCGTTGAATCGCTATAAATGTCCGTTTCACTTTTCAAACTGTGGCCACCAAATGTTAGAGTCTTGCATTATATTTGAAGAAATTAAATAATGAAAAATCTGCATAAATGTATGTTTATTTCTCGCACTGTGATAGAAGAACGGTACATAGAGCTAGGGAATTTTGAATGACGCAATCTTCCTACGAATATGGGCATGTGGAAGACCAAATTTGAAATTTGGAATTTGGTTTATTATCGATTTCATATTTTGTAAAACTTTAACGAATTTTTGAGTAACAAACTCAACGATTTAAAAGCGAGCAATGGCAACACTCTGCGGCGGGGGTGGGGGGAATCTTTTTATTTCCAGCGGGCGCGGAACTGTGTATCGGAAATTCTAAAGATAGGCTCATTTTAAAATTATTTTGCGACATTGCTACTGAACTGAATTTTTCGGTTTAAGTGCAAAGAACATGATCTTTAATAAATAAAAGTAACACACAAAACGTTAAAAAAAGCCCCTTTGGACGTAATTTAAAATCTGAAACCTTTCAGGTTTTTAAATCTTCAAATTAAACAGAAGGGACTACTAGTACGTATAAGTAACCTTTACCACTTTTATAAACTGAAAATAACAAAGTTGAAATTCAGAGTCAAGAATTTGCTTCCAGATTCATAAATTGGCTCATTTGAGCTGGCTCAGTATTTTTTATTGGCTAGCAAAATGGCTAAAGCTGAAATAATGTCTGGTAAAGCTGGAAATAGAACATAACCTGCAAACCAAGGTTTCGAATCATAATAATTGGTTAATTAACATAAAATACTTTTAAGAGTTTATTCCCCAGAAGTAAGAGATATAGAACATATACTGTAAATGAGCTATTTAAAATGACAGAGTGAAATCGAAGGCACAAGAATTGCTGGAATATTATTTTATCGCAAACAAAATAACGCAATATGGAGATCTGTTCATTATTTAATTTTAAAAAAAGGCATCGTCCTGCGCTTGCAAATTCCCATAAAGAAGCAATGCTTTAAATTTTGTTAGGACGCAAAATTCTCGTTGAAAATAATAAGAGATTTCGTTCGAAATGTTTAATTTAAATCATTCTACACTAGCTACTTAAGATGCGACGTTAGAAACATCTTTCATTATAGACAATAAAGTTGCAAATATTTATAAAAATTATCTGTTGGGCATATATTATAAATTAAATGTACGTTAAGCAGTTAGTAACATTATTTAAAAAATAAATATATATTTAAGTTATTAAGAAGTATTTTATTACTTTTAAATTAGATTACGATTGAATAATTCATCTTAAGGATTGCACTTCTTTCTCTCATTGGACAAATTCCAGCATGAACTTACAAGTAATCTACGTAATTATGACCTTACTGAAAATTACATATACAAAGACTAAGGACAATCTTTTACAGTGAGGGCATGGTCAGCACACAATTTTAAACAACGTGTCTGCCTTTCAGTAACCTTTAAGCATTTTTCTCTATATAAAATGAATAGGACGAACAATTAAAGGCAGTCTCGTCAGCGCAAGAGCTTAAACATTTCTCGTGACCACTGGCTTATGAATCTATAACAGAGCAATTAAATTTAAAATATAAGTTAAATGTCTCATGTTTTCCTAAATGACTATACTCTGAGATCTGGTTATGCGACATGGGTGTGGTAAATAAATTTAAAATCTTTTAAATTTTGCACGATGGCATCGATTGCTCCAGATTCTTCTCATTCTCCGTTCGTTCTTTTCTAGTTTCTTTCATAATTAATTCTATTAGTTTTATTTTGACAGGACTGAGTTCCTACAGTAACTGAAAATTGTACAGTTTCTTTGAATAGTAAAAAAAATGCTTAAATAGTAGTCGACATTTTATCTTCTCACGATCGTTAGCTGGTTACCGATTATAATGTTTCGAAGGACTTCGAAACTTTGTTTTATGTACGTATCAACATCAAATAAAAATTTTCTTAACATGCCCTCCGTGATTGAAATATAGCTCAAATTTTTTTAGCAGTGAGCTTTCTCATTCCATTCTTCAGTTTTAGATTTCAAATGAGAACAGAAAGTATAAGTAAAAATATTTTCTTTTCTTTTAATGGGAACGGTCATCGTACTTACATACAGTTTTTACTGAAATTACGACAAAAAGATAATTGCATTGCTTTATTGAAATCTCCTGCAAGTTTAACATATTATACAATAAAAGGCAATAGTTTCTAAAATTAATTTTGGGATCAAAAAGGATAGCGTTTCTTTACATTTTACTGAAAAATGCCGAATTTCTAATATTTGGGTCTTGCACGGTGTTTTCTCAATGCAACATTTGCCTCTTTTATATATTGCTCTGTTACCTGAAAATTGGCCACAAAAAACTTCTCGCAGCATAAAAAAGCACGTGTTAAATCAATTAATTGCGTAAAGGGGGAAGACGTATCAATTGACTTTCAAATCTGAAACTAAATCGATGAATCGTATTAAATTATTATTATGCATATCGAATTAAAAATTAATATCTTTTAAATTTTCGAAATTTTCAGCTAATTAAATCGAAATTTTCAGCTGCTTGAAATTAGTTCCAAAGCATTATTTATAAGATCTACAAGATCTACACAAATATAATATGAAGTAAAACAATTAACGTTCCTTTCAAACAATTTCAAAGCATGCTGTTTGACCTATAAAATAAGCATTCTACTTAAGAGTGTTACTTTTTCTGTACTGAACATACACATAGTGGTCTCTTACATCTCAAAAATTCCTCTAGATAAGACAGTTAATTTTAAGGAAACTGTTCATGCAACAAAATATAAAATATGGATTTTAAATTGTTCTGTAATTGAGTCACTACAAGAATTTGAAAGAAATTTTTGAACGGTTTGTTATTAGAAAGAATACTTAAATGTTTTAGATTTGACTAATCGATAAATGACAATCGTAAAAACTATAGGAAAGTTTAAATATATTGTAATTTAGTTCGTGCAGCTTTGTTTTCGCCGATGCTACCATATTTTCTCGAAGAGAAATTGGGTAACACTGCTAGCAATATGTTGTAAGCATACCTGTACTTGATGTATTCGGTTGTTGGCACATTATCAATGTCCATACGGATCTTGTACAAAATGTCTTTGGGCATATCACTTCTGTATGGCTTGTCTGTCCATCTTTTCTTCAATTTAAACTCCCTTTCGTTCTGAAACACAATCGCTGGAAAGATATTTGTCTATTAGATGTTTAAAGTTTTCAATAATTACATTGATAAAAATGAAATACATTAAATATATGTTTTAAGATACATGTATTAGTTAAGTGTATTTTAAAAGGTAATTTTTTTATCACGACGTTCTTTGCCACCTTTGATAGAAAATAAAATCGTTGGATTGTTAACAGCCACAGACTTAAGAAAAAAATCTCATAAAATGATGTAGATGAATATAATGTGACCATTGGTATAAATGTTATTTCTATGCTATCACTTTTAACGGTTTCTTAAAATTCTTGAAGTATCGCAAAACGAAGTATGCAGAGGCTTCCTGTGATTACATATATGTTTCATATTTTTGAAGTTGGTTTTTATGACTTTTTCTAAGATTCAGTAGATATTTCTATATTTAACGTTGAAGTAATATTTTATGCACTTTTCGCACATATTCTTGCTTATTAGTCAAAAGAGAATCTAGACTTTAATCTAGACAGATAAAAAATGCTTTCAAAAGAAGTTTAGTCGTTATCTCTAATCTAATTTACAAATTTAAGATGATATTTGTAAAATCAGTCGATGATTTGTTAACAGCAGTGATTGGTAACAATGACAGATTTTTAAATCGAATTTAAATAAAATAAAATAATTAATTGCATGCTATCCTACTTAAGAGAAAATACAATTAATTGATTGTAATTAATTGTGTGTTCTCTTACGTAGGATAGATTGGAAAATTTTGATAGAAATATGACATCACGAGCGTCGTTGCTACTCTAACTGGCCACAAATTTTCTTACATTCAAAGGCCAAGATTTTTCTAATTCGTAGCTACTTGTTTAGAATAATGGTAATAGGAAGATTCTCATTAACACATATCGGGAGTTTGCGGGAGGTTTTGGCGCTGCGTGTCGCCACCATTTTGATTTTTTCATTTAATTTGCTTTATAACGTATGATCCAAGCTCAACTCTTTATAATATAATTCTGGCGTAAAATATACTAACATTTAGTAACGCAGTCTAAAACTTATGCCTTTCGTCAATTTCATTTTGTAATTTTCTAACCCTTTTATACCTGAAAATCACGAATAGGGAAGGAAAGCTTAAATTTATGAAAGTATTTATGAAAGTTTCGGGGGGAGGGAGAAACTTTAAATTTGAAGTTTCGTATTAAATGCGCTAAAACGTAAAAATTAACCTTTTTCGCTAACATGACATTCTTGGTTTTATGTGATTGCAAATAAAAACGTCTGGATACCATGATAGTAATTTATTGCGATATTAATGCAATGGAGGTAATGACATAGAAAGGACATGTATAAGAGTAATTACATTTAATTTATATCAGTCTTGTTTGCTTGTTTAAAATCGATAACTGTTGAAAACTTCACAATTTTATTTTTAATCACATATGATTAAGAATACTGTAAAAGGTTAAAAAATATTTATTTAAAAAAAATTGTAAATTTTTTGATATTTTAGAGCGCATTCAACTAAAAACGTCCAACTTCGAAATTCTTAGATATACAGAATTTTTAATTTTAAAAAAAAAATTCTATGTTAGTTTCAAAAGTTGATAAAATGCTTTGAGTTTCCAGTTTTGCATGCTTTCCTGAACAAAATATTACAAAATTCGTTCAAATTATTAGTAATGAATATTTTTGCTATATACATATTTTGCTCATAATTCGCAAGAGATTAACATACCCGCTATGAATTCTCTCCGATCGTGCAGGGTAGCAGCAGCAGCCTCCAGTTCCTCCTCTGTATCGAAACCAAGAAATCTGTTGAGGCTTATACACTGAGTCACGTTGCCTACTAATTCCACCAGATGCAATAAAGAGCGGCCGGTAGACTTTGGGGCCTCTAGCCAGGAGAGTGCAGCTCCCCAACTGGGAGATCCTAGAAGTTTTGATACTGGTTTGGAAGCTAGGAATTTCTGTGAAAAGGAAACAAAATTACTCACACAAGTAAACGCATTTTCAGAAGCTAACATTACAGAAAAGTTTGGCAAAGTTTCTTTGTTTTCAACTTTAATTGATTTTATAGTATTTTATAGTATTGTAACTTGGCATTCTTCGACAGGTCTTAGTATTGTTATATCGCACACACTGATCTAATTTTGTGTCTAATCTATAAAATGGATTATAATACAATCCAAAACTTTTAAATTTTAATGTTTAAGATTTTTATATCAACAAGAACAACACATTAGATTTTGGCTAAAATTGATAAAAAAGAAATGATATTTTTCTTAAAGTTCTGAACAGATTTTCGAGAAAAAATATTTTCTGATATAAACCAAAACTTCTCAGATTTAGTATTTAAAATTCGTATATGCATATATGATGCATCAATCATGATTTAGAAAACAGCGTATTAGATTCTGACTGTATATGATAAACCGAAAGTGTGCTTTATTTGGATTACTTAACAGATTTTCGCGGAAAAATATAGAATCACTATAATAAAAGTTTAGTCTAATTTAATGCAGCACATAATAAGGCTATTTCTATTAAGTTTAGACATGATATCTATATATATCAAGCCAAAAAAGACAATAATTTTTATAACAGCGTTTCATTAAGAAGAACCTTAAAGCTCGTGTAATGCAAACATGCTATCATAAAACGCACTTATTTATCTCTTGCATTGTTGATGATAATGTGGCACAAGAGCGAAGAGCAAATTCGATACCACCTACTACTTTACTTCTCACTGATCCTGAGACTACTGTAGTCACCGTTCATCTGAAATTCAGAAAATTAACTATCATTGTTTTCTGATACATAAATATCGCGACAATATACGTATCATGATTGACTGAGACAAACTGTTATTAATTCGCTGTTCTTTTAGTCGAGAGAGCCATCAACGTGATGTGATGATTGAATTTAAAAGAATCCGACAAGAAGAAAATTTAATTAAGCTTTACTGTATTACCTGTAATGAAATCAGCGTTTCATTCTTTCGCTGCAGATAGTGCAAACCCGTGGAACCCTCCGCTGCAGCTTTAACGAATCTCATCTGATCTTCGAGCAATTTCAGAGTTTCATTCACCTAAAAATTTTTATGAAAATAAAGAACTGAAAGCAATACTGTATCAAGTTAAAGAAAAAGTATTTTAGTCAATCAACATCGTGGCTTTCGGTTAATTTGATAGCTTATCAAAAATGCGTATCACATGTTTAATAATAATTTGAAAACATGTAATATTTCTCTATGGCTGAATGTTAATGCTCTCTAAGCATGTTGAACATACCAAGAACGTTGTCCTTGGTGCAGTACAAGAAGTGACTAGAATATCACCCGCACCCTTGGGGGTGGGGCGACGGAGACAAGCCTTCCGCACTTTTAGCCTCTCATGGCAGTCAGTTTTTGATAAGCACTCTAGGGAGATGCGTAGAAAAATTAACAAGATTAATAGGCATAAGTAGAGGACCAAGCGATCCAGATAGTTAGAATTCTAATATTGCTGTCAGCGTTTTTTCTTAGAAAAAAGGAACTGTTTCTCATAGCGTCTACTTTCTATTTGTAATAGCTAATAAAATATATGAAAAGCTAGAAGCAAAAGGAATATGTTTCTTCTTTTTTTTTCCTTTCCCCGACGCAAAAATGTTAATTTGTGTTTCACTCACTTTTTTTTTTAAATCGGTGCTACCAAATCCATAATTTTATTTTACCTCAAAAGAAAACTAATATTTTTTTTTGCGAAGAAAAACAACTTTGTGTTATGATACTCTTACTTATGTACAATCATTTTCGTGTGACATTTTGAAAAATATTATGTTTCTAACAGCTATATTTCTCAATGCAGAGCCTTCTGTGTTTATATTGTTCACCGCTTGATTTTACATTTCGAAATTTACTAATTAAAGTTTTAAAACAATAAACAATTTTTGTCCTGTTCCAGATACATCCATGTTTGAAAAAGAAGTGAAACCGCAGGAGTACATAAAACGTATTTTTGAAGGCTGAAAAAATGAACATGCATGGAACGGATTTTCCGCGCTCCCAGTGACAATAGAGAAGTAAATTACATATTTTAATAAAAGTAACAGACTAGAGTTACCTTAGAAATGATGGTAATCGCTGGAGGAAAATTCTTTGGAGAATACAATATTTTGCCTCTGAAAAGAGGTTTCAAAAAGCCCCACAAGATGGCACCTCCCCTCATCTTCATAATTTCTTTGTACCCATGGCGGCAAAATTCAGCTATTATTTTAAAAGAAAAGAAAAGATACCATTAATAAAAACCTTCCATGTTCCCCCAATAATTTCCTTATATTCAAATTTTTCACATGAGTCTGACTAGTAAAGATGCCCAAAAGGAATGGGAATACAATGCAAATTAAAAAAAAAAAAAAAACATACTTGGCAGTCTTAGCACTTCCTTCTCTTCGATTTTATTCTCAGTATCCTCAGGAGCCAACAAGGAAAATTTTCGACTCAGAGACGTCAGTGGTTTTCCACACAGAATTTGTCCTCCAATGGATAAAGCTTCAGGAGCTGAAAAAACACAAATTAATCTACTTAAAATAAAATACATTTGTATTAAAGTTTACCTTAGAGAAAATAAATTTATCCTTTTTCATATTTATAATTTGTGTGCTGCATTTGTTTAAGCAAAATGTCCATTAGTAAATACAGCTCAAAATTAAAATTTCCAACATCTATTATAAACCCTAATGCTGACGATTTATTGTTTTTGATTTGCTTCTAATCAGAAGAATTTCAGCGGCTATTCGCATGTGTCGTGGTCACACGGTCACACGACACAGCTAGTGGTCGCTATTCGCATGTGTCGTGTGCTACATTTCGTGCACTTCAAAATTTGTGAAGAAGAATGGATGATAAACGTATGGTAGCATAACGAAATATAATGCAGCGCTCCAAAAGTTTGGAAAAACTGCTTAAGGAAGTTTCTATCGTCACAGACAGAAACTTGAGTAGACTGGAAGAAATGCAACTAGTACAAATTATTTCAAATAGGATGATTTTTAATACAAAATGCTGACAATGTAAATAAGTCAAATTATTTTCGTGGCTAAAGGGAAATTCTACTCACTTGCCAACCAGTCGGTTCCTTCATCCAACTTCTGGAATAGTTCTCTCACTTCAGGATGCATCATCGTTGTAACAGTTTCCAAATGATTAGTTAGCTTATTAACCACTTCTGGTGCACTGGAGAGAACTTCTAGTGTCCTTTCAGCTTCTACAGAATTGACATCAGCCTCGCGAAGAACACCTTCCACTCCTAGGGATCCAAACTTTTCGGAAAAACAATATATTTATAGAATCATATCAGGAGTTTATTTAATAAAACAGAAAAGTGGTATATAAAATAAAAAGTGGTATATAAAAAGTGGTATATAAATACGTATATAAAATCCCCATTAAAAACACTTGATGGGGATTTTATATACGTAATATTTAATGCACTTGAGTAAACAGATACTGTTTCTGGCTTTAAGCAAATGATTAATCAACTAACACGATTTCTTTTTTTTAACTTTACACGAAATTTGTACTACTTATCCGCAAGAATAGTTTCTTGTAAATCTGGTAATCATTTTTGGGTAGTTTAGGAAAGAAAGAAAAGAAATTTGTAACAGGTATGTAATAAATAACGTTAGGAACATCTTTTTGTTAACAAACATGCTCATAAAAATTATCATTTGGACACACTGTAACAAAATGTATTTAAAATTTTATTAGTTAGTTAGATAACTAAAATGCAATTGAAAGGAAAGTGACCTGTCATCTGTGATCACCAGTGAACCTAATGCTTGACATTTATTGGAATGGGATGGTGCAATATAATTTTAAAATAATATTAAATAGAACGATATTGATTTTGCTCGTGCAAGTAGCCGACGATGGATAGCCCATGGTTGATAACAACATTAATGGTCAACCGTGTGAAGCAATGCAGTAAATTTAAAATGTATTTTTAAAGCAAAATTAAATTGATGAACACAGGTAAGTAGCAAAGCATTTGTCATCGATGATATGTAGGTTGACAGACACTGGCAATCAACCCACTAGTTACTGTTATAAGGTAGATCAATAAATTTGCAGTTCTTAAAACAGACATTAAAACAAAACACACTAGTGACCGTAAAATCCAAAGGCCACTGATGACCCGTGGCTTACTAAAAATTAATCCAAAGTTCAGCACTAGAGAAATTATCATTTGTTTTTGACGGTTTTGTTCAGTTGTGAATATTCTCAATTTTCTTAAGATAGTATCGAAAACATTGGACAATTGGGAATAATTTAGGAATAAGAAATCTGTGTATTAACTTCTGAAATTTATACAAACTCTGAAGATTGAGATCATAGAAATTTATGGCATGGCCAATTTTATTAATTAACGCGAAGTAATAAAATGTTTGAAAACAAATAATAAACAAGGTATTAAATTGAACAACTATAAATCTTTGAGTATTATGCGACTCAACCTTTAAATGTACTACAAAAGAAAGTTTGAAATATCACTTGGACTACCGAAATTGTGACAAATGACACCGACTCAAAAGAACTGGAAAATATTTTCGACTTTTCGAATTTTACTTAACATCTGTAGTAAATAGTATTTAATTGGTAATAAGGCAAAGAAATATTTGTTATTAAAATAAATACCTTATATTTTTGTTTTATAGAGCAGCAATGTATAGAGGAACTGATTTGTATGTATCTTTCGCATATATGTCTGCCGCCAGTACATTGAAAAATGCTTCAGTAAAGGATTTTCAGCCCAAAACCCCTTTAATTTTGGCAAAAGGAGATAACTGATGGAGGCAAGATCAGATGTTCTCACACCTTTTACTGTCACTGAAAGCGCTTTTCAATCAAGTAGAATAGAGGGATATTTACGAAAAAAAAAATTTTTTTTTTGTTCTAATGGCGGGCTCTAGCAGTTTATAGGTACTAGCCACTACTAAGGCCTTTATTGTGGCCACCGTTGTTTCCTATATTATGATATTATTATATCATTATATTGAGGTTGCTTCCTGTAAAGGGACGGACAAATTACATCCATGCCTTCTTCAGGATACGAACCTGTGTAATTCGGGGATAATATTCCCCACTAAAAGATTGATCATCCTTCGCGATAACACATAGTTGCACGTAGCTGCAACTACAAAACAGCTGTTTTAGATATCTCGATGGAAAGCTTGGGACTTCAGACGAGGCTTATATCTAATGATTACCATAATTTTTACAAAGTTAATAGAGTTTTTGATGAAAGGTAATTTACTGGAAATAAAGAATTCTAGGAAGAAGTAAATGCGTTTGTTTACGAAATTGTGGAAAAAGTATATGACAAGCATATGCAGGAAAGATAAGGGAGTGCCTCAATGTCATGGGTGTCTATATGGAATAATAACCACATTAATATAATTTCAAAACAACAAGATTTTATCCAACTAACTTATTTTTTTTCCTTCTTATTTCTTCAAGTGTCTAGATGGGCCTTGTAAACAAGCACAATATCTACGAAATGCAATAAAAACATGGTATGTCTTTACTGTTATTGTATGTATGCTTATGTTTCATCGTAGTGAAAATAAGAACACGTTTAGTTTCTCAGATCCTAGCAAAAAATTGAAACGTTTTAATAATGCAAATTTATTTGCCACAAACAGTCAGATGAATAAAATTAGTGGCTTACCGAAAACAGGAATCTCTGCAGTACCAAATCCTGTAAATATTCAACTGAAACAGAAGCTTGTCGGTAAGAGGACAGAACGCATGGAATACTCTGGTCAAGACTGTCTCTACAAAAGGTAACCAAGCTGGAATTCTTTTCGATCTTAGCCTGAAATAAGAATTAAATGTAGTTTTAATATGGGATACTTTTTTTGAAGTCAAAATGCAATAAAATATTTTACAGGCACAATGTATGTTAACTTACTTATAGGGCCCAGTTCAACCTAGTTTTTTACGTTAAAGAGTTTTGAAACAAAGCAAAACTAATTGCTAGCTGTGAACAAGCGATTATTCTGTATCGAAGTATATATTACATAACGTTTGAAATACTTTTTATGAATAGTAGAAATTCTGCAAATGTCATAAACATAAGCTGGATATACTGTAAATTAAATATATTTTAAATCAAGCCAATTAGATACATGATCAAAAAATAAAATAAAGATTTATATTACTAAAAAATTTATTTATCGCTTTTAAATATCTCAGTTTTTAAGAAGTTACACTTTGAAAGGTAAATTAAAGCTCTTGATCTTATGTCAAAACAAATTCTGGAAACTGGATAGCTTACAGCTAGCATAAAAGAAAAAACTAAAGATCTTATGTTTCGAGCAAAGGCAACATTTGTTAAGCTGCATGCTTGATAAATGCATGGTAGCCTAACAGAGCGTAATATAAAGATATCACATTCATGAAGTGCGGGCTTGCTATGGGTCTGATCATACCATTTTTTATTACAGAACCTGTTTCGCTAGATGTCACAAAAGTTTAATGTGCCAAACTGTAACTGATTATATTCTGTATCCGTATCAATATGAATGATTTTGATTCAAATAAACAAGTATTTTTTCAGGATCTAAAGTATAAGCATAAGATGAAAATTAAACAAATGTTACACTACTGCAGGGATATCGAAACAAATTTGTCCATATATAAAGAGCATGCCATTGTTAAAAAGATAGTTCAAAAAATAATTTAGCAGGTTTTATGAGGAGAAAATTGCCTCTCGCTTTGAACCTCATCGTTCTTTATAAGAGACGATTTAAAAATCTGATCCACCTTGAACCACGTCACATCATTTTCGAACTGGCCAAGGAAACGGCACTGATCAAGCAAGAGTCGCACGACATCTCGCACATATGAAAAGAGGTTTAAAAACTATTCGATGGCATTCATGCCCTCGAAAATTTTCTTTTAGCTTGTTTCCAAGTGCTGTTCTTTTTAATTCTCAGTTATTAGGAATTCTGTTAGTAACATCTGCCTTTTATTCTCACGCATTATTACAGGAGAGGAGAAATGGTATAACAACAATTTCAAACAGCGTATACAACAATGTATGTAACAAGACAACTTGTAGGGTTTATATTTATTTTAACTAACATTTATTTTAAGTTTAAACTATCTTTCCTGTCAAGCCTTACTTTTCCCTGGAACTGCCAATGCCAGAGTATGTAAATTTTAGTAGAACGCGCAAGGATTCAAATTATCAGCGGAAGTGTTCTGAGATAAATAGAAAGGAAACGAGTTCGAGGTGTGCTGTTCTTACTTCACGAGCGCGGAGGTAGTTAGCCAGAAATTGAAGAACCCCGCGTTTCGGCCTGTGTGCTTGCCTAGAAGAATTGTTAATCGTTCAAGTGATCTTCAAGTTTGCTGAATTAGCAGCGGTATTGTAAAACGCGGTGAGGTTAGTTACTTTTAGAGAGCCTCGTAGTTAGAGTCTTGTCTTTAGTCTTTTCAGGTTATTATTTTTATTTGACCGCCGAGTTGGCGCAGTTTGTGAGCGTCAAGAGCACGCACTTGTAATTTATTACGTTGAATAAAAAGAGACTTAAACCCTTAACAAGACTCTGTCATTTATCCAGTTTCAACAGTCACCTCTTGGTTGCGTGCAAGTTGGAGGCGCGCAACGTTACAAACTATACAACAATTTTAAACAGAGGGATAAATGGTAAACATCATAAGAAGGGAATGTCATGTCTCAAACAGGATTTGCATCCTCAGAATATTCCCCGTGAAATGACGTCGAAAAATCGGTGCGTCACTCTTGCTCTGTATTGTAAGCAACTCCGCCGTGTTCGTGCAACGATTAAGAGAAAAGGCTAAATAAACAACATGATATAATCATCCACATTTATATCATGTTCACAGCAGATTACATATGGCAAACATAATTAAGTTACCATATAAAAACTTAACTAGAAGGTTCCTCCCTATCCGGCGTATTTCCCAGATGCGGCTCCTACAGATTTCCAACTTTTCCGAATATAGTGCTAAAAATTGCTACGATATTAATTTCTCCTAAACGAATGCACCAAGGATATTTTGATATTTATTTAATAAAGGAAATATTAATCAGGAAGGAACATTTCCTTTTTCACTAGGTTGCTTGCGCACGAGGCTTTCAAAAATATGTCACGCAAGCGAAGTGGCAAAATGTCTATTTTGCTAATATTAAAGGTTTATATAAGGAAATTATTGGGGTATTAGAAAGCAGGTAACATTTTAAAATGTTATCAAAGGATAATCAGACTCCAACTCTTTTATTTTGGGTTTATCATATTTGAAACTTCCAAAATAATAAAGGCGAATTTCAAACTGACAAATGCATGAAATGATAATAATGTGTCTGTCTAACCTGCTTAAGATCTACTTCGGATTCCATTAGCGATGAAACGGAACGAGGATCCATACGAAACCTCCTCGTCAGAATATCTCGAGCACCTTCTCCAAAGATGTCTTTCAAGGAATCTGTAAACAAGAATGATAATTAGTATGCTGTAAAAACAATCAAGAGATATAAAAGAACAACCATTTTATAGCAGAATACATTAATATAAAATTAGATATGCTTTTTGTGGACTACACTAAAGATGCAGTTCACAAAAGATTCCAAAGTAAAAGCGAAACTTTAGATTTCAGTTGAACACCTTAAAAATTTACCATTAACGCTTAAAAATTAAAAAAATATATTTATTTAAAAAATTAAAAAATGCAGAGTTCGTAAAATTGAAAACAAAAATCTAGTTAGATCTTGGTATGCAAATATAACATCTAAAAGACCTGTATAACACCTAAAAGGATTTTTAAATTTAGCAGTTACAACTGGTCTATCAATTTAAGATGCAATCCCCTTGATATTAAAAAGAGAGAACATGAAATTGTATATTTAAAATGAAGTGTTGAAAATAACAAAGTCAAATGGCAAAAATATACTTTGCTATCATTTCACTGCAAATTACCACTGTGGAAAGATTGTACATTTAATCATCAATGCAAAGACTTAATTGTTCAAGACGTGACTGTGGATTTATTTCATTGGATCACATTCGCATGAGGCTTGCAGCACATATTTTCTTCTTTACACCAGGATGCTTAATCCACGCACAGAAAACAATAAATGCATTTCAAAAGTTCCCTTCGAGGTGTTAAAAAACACCGTGTATTTATGAAAGACTAAAGCACTTTTGAAATTAATTTTAGAAATGTTAAAAATAATATTATACATAAATACTGGGAAGTTCAAAGTTTAATGAGAAATAACCAAAATGCCCATCATTGTAATAAATACATAAATTGAAAACATTAGATGTGCTCTTTAGAAATCATTCCTTTCTAGGTGAACAATAAATAGTGTTATAAACATTTTACATTGCTTAAAATGATGCTGCAGATGATCAATAAAACCTTTCACTGAATATTCCATTAATTAAGTGTATTTTAAGTTATATCAATAAAATAAATTATCGAAAAATAAAATAAAGATTTATAATTATCAAGAAATGCATCTGTTGCTTTTAAATCACTCATTTTATTAAGCAGTTATAGAATAGTTATTTCAGAGATAAATTAAAAATTTATATTAAACCAACGGCAATTGTATAAAAACTTACATGTGAAGCTGAAATTGGCGACTTGAGCCAAAGACACAAATGACTTCAAGCCATCCATCACTTGCTCCAGAGTGTCCAGTAAAGCACTTCCTGTGAAGACAGGATCTAACACTTCAATCAGCTTGCCGAAACTGAAACAACAGACTTGAAGATGTAATTGCAAAAGATTTAAAACAACATTTAAAATCTGAAGAAATATGAGATGATATAGTGTGTCCCATAAGTCAAGCCTCACAAAGAGTTTCACAATATCAGTCCAAAGCACACGAGAAAGTGAATGCTATGCTATGTAACCACGCCTTTTGAAGCTTGCTGTTTTCAAAACAATCTTTTAAATATAAAAAATTAAAATTTACCTTGCATCAAATATACAGGAGGAAATATTTAATATAAACGCAATACAAAAGCTGTTTAAAACACAGTTGTCTAACCTTCTTCAAGACCACATGGCCCAAAACTTGATATTTATGAAAGATCTCATTGTAACTTACTAACAGCACACGATGAAATCGCTGTAACTACACATGCTGTAAAAAACAAAACAAAAATGGAAATACTTGTGGAATACTGTCGAGTTCTCTTCAGGTAGATAACACATAGAACAGTTCATTTAAATAAATTTACTTTGCGCTGTGTGTACCTGACTGCAGTTCTACATATTATATTTGCAAATTTGCGGTTAAGTTCGATTGTAATTAAGAAAGCATTTATACTGCAATGCAGCAAATGTCTTCGCAAAATCTGAAATCAAAGCTTAATCTTGATATATTACAATTTTCTGAGCGAATGACCAATGCCACATATTTTTTGTTATTTATTACCTCACTCAAAGACGAATCAGCTAATTCACTAATTGTTTCATTTTAATTTTGAATGCTATTGTTCTATAGAATAGATAATAAATTTATTGTTACTTTGAGGCTATCACTGTTTATGGACGTATGCTTAGTTCATTTAAATAAACACTCATATCCTCTAAAATTTATCTAACTAATTCTAATTTTTAAATTCTCATGCGCTTACTGTTTGTTTTTAATTTTATGTTTTTCCGGCAGAAGGACTTTTAATGCCACTGTTGGACGCAGCTAATTCAAAGCATCATAAACATATATACTTGGGTGAAGAATATTTGCCCTGAATAGCAACCAAAATATGTAATCTAAACAATCGACCGGAAATGAGTTCTAAATACCGTAGCCCTAAGCGATTAATAAATGGCATCAAGACGAAACTCGTTAAAAAGTGAGGGAAAAGCTAAGTTTTTGGTTAAATATCAGATTTTAAGTTCAAAGATTTTAAAAATCCTTTGGGCTTTGTCAATCAAAATAATATGTAAGTACTTTTACTATAATTAGGTTAAATAGTATATTCTGTCAAAAAATTTTTCAGATACAAATGAAAGCATTTTTTATATTAAAATAATTTCTCCTTACCTCTCGGTTATACCTTGGACAACGTCTTGTTTTGTGAAAAGATGAAAAATGTCATAAATATTCAAAATATGAATTTCCTTTAGAGATGCTCCCAGATGTTCTACAACATGAACTAAGACATCTGATGAACCTATTAAGTGCTGAAGCCAACGACCGGAGAAAAACTCTTGTTCTTGAGCTTTAAGAATCTGCAAAATATCAAATTCAGTAATTGAAAATAACATCGAAATCTAAAAGTAAACTATAACCAGCAGTAACTGTAATTTTTCGAAAATTTTGCATCCTCAAGATTCGGTAAGCCCTGAGCTATTAATGAATTTATTTCTCAAGAATATGTTTCGAAAATTCTCAAAAATCTCGTCGAAAACATTTATTTAAAATCAAGAGCTATTTTGAAAATGGGAAAAAGATTTTGTACCAAGTACGTAACGACATAGCGTTAGAAATTCATTTTGTCAATTAAAATAATGCTAAAACATTGATAAAATTATAAGTTATACATACTGTAAATTAAATGTATCTGAAATTATGTCAGTGACATAGATTGTTAAAATAAATCTCATTTGAAGTTAACCGTCAAGCCTTTGGTCAATGGTGACCAAACGGGTTGTTGGCAACCAATACCGTAAAGCAAAATAAAGTATCGACATAAACTATATTTACTGCTTTCTGAAGTATTTTAAGCAATTTCGGACTGATTAATTTTGAAGAATTTATCAAGGAACTGATGCTGTGTCAAACGTCAACATTTTGAGAAGTGACTACTTTTGTGTTCACGTGGAAGATAAATTAAATAATGAATGCGAATAAATAACCGTATACAAAATTAATAGCGAAATTATTGAACCTGTACTTTTTTATGCATTTATGACCCACATCTTTGTTGTAAACGTAAAAATTTATGCGCCACTCAACCTCGTACATTATAAATAAAGTTACAAATAAAATTTCTCTCTTGTTAAAGTATTCTGTGCTTAACATTATTGTCTCTATAAGTTTGCAACGTAGAGCATACATGTAACAAATAAAAACACTCACTTTAGTTTTCATTATTTCTTGATCGATGTGGTCCATAATGTATTCTAAGGTACCATTCCGGCAAAGGAATTCCTCTGTTGCTGTTCGAATGGCGAGCGAAGTTCGGGGCGGGTAACGAAATACACTTCTGACGGAACTGCGAGCTCTGGGACCACAAAGCTTCTCTCTCAGAGCAGATGATGAAAATCCGTGGTAACGAAGCTGCGACAAATTTAAAATAATGAGAGTAATATTTAACAGTGTCTCGCAAAAGTGACTATACTTAAGCTCCTGAAAAGTTTTTCAGAAATTAAAAATTCCTTCGTTGAAATGAAATTCTATCTACTATATATATACTTTATGTCTTAATCTTTTCGAGACAGCGTTTTTGGTTAAGACGTTCCCTCGTGAGGGATGGGAGTTTTCCCATAGGCCGGAGATTTTGCGTCCGCTAAGCCTAACTTTAGAAAAATAAAACACAGGAAAAAGTTTACGTCCATAATTTTTGGTACTATTTTAGACTATTACTTAAGCTATCATATATATTAAAATTAGCTTTAATATTCTCTTTTACTTTACATGAAAATATATAAAAATATTTGCTTACTTTGAGAAATAATTTAAATGAACTTTTAATTGATAAAATACATTAATAACGTTTCATATTAAAAAAATAAAACAAAGACTGTTCAGAAGAAGTAACAAAATCTTTCACGGGAACTGGAAGGCAGACTCAGTGAGCTCAGGCTCTGACAAAATGTCCATATGCGAATCACTAGAAATATCGCTCTCTAACTCTTTAGAAAATGAATAAGCATACTCACTCATATCACTAATTGGCTGATTTATCATTTATGTGATAAATAAAGCTTGCTCGCCATAATAAACTGCAGTCAAGGCTTTTCGAAATAAAAGCAACGCAAAGCGTAATAGAACCTCACGTAGTAACCCTAAAGGACCTTACATAGTAGCAAAAGAAGAACCGAAACAAAAGTTTCGAAGCGATATAGAAACGCGAATGTTTATATCACGTTGCGAGTTAAAGAGACGAGCTCCATCTGTTTACATTAGACCTCCCGCAGCAGCTGACATCAAGGTTACACAGAATGTGATCAAATTGAAAGTTAAGATCCTAAAACTATATTCAATTGAATGGCAACGGACACAGGACGCCATCTAGTGGCCTTTATAACGTTTCAGGACACTAGCACAAATGTGTGACGTCCGGGGATGATCAAGAAATGGCTCTGGCACGCCAGCGTGCCGGCCTGGAAATGAATGCGTTTCTTGCTGGCAGGTATGCGAGATAATCGGTACGAAAGGGTTAAATCTATTTTCGAGAAGTAAGCTTATATGCGTAATTGAAAAATAAATTAATTGATCACAAAATTTTTCGAATACCATTGTAGCTGTAAACAAAGCCATTTGCAATGAATATACATACAGTGTCTCACAAAAGAGACAGAATACTTTTAAGTTTCAAAAGAAAAAATTTCAATTTGTAGGAGCATTATAATTGCAACTACAGAACTTTCACTAACTCTTAAACTAAATATCAACTCCCCGAAAAAAAAATGCTGAATTTTTAATTTAACATCTTTTCTTCAAACGAGAAAAATCATATCACAAAAGTTTACCGACTGCACTGAAATTTCAAGAAAATTCATTTGCAATGAATACGGTATACCAGTTCTTGGCATTATGTTGCAGAGAAACAACAAGCAGCCATATTCATTAAAGTGTCCTTGAAATTTGTGAGGGATTCCTACGCATTGTTACCACAGCTGTTTAAAGGAACCATATGCGATAAAAAGTTCATCAGTTAGCTCTTAATCTGCATATAAAAAAAGAAATTTATGAGAAAAATTGCTGAACTAGTTCATTTAAAGCATTTAATATTCTCACTTGCAAGATTCATTCTCACTTGGAATATGGTTATAAAGTCGGACCTTTTTTGGGAGCATAAACTAGTCCTAAGCTCTTAACGGACATAGAGCAAGTTATCGCTGTGACAACTGCAGAACAAACTCGAAACAAACTGCAGAATCTGAACAACTGGTTTTAGAATAACCTATTTATTAAAACAGAACTTGAACATAAACGTACTTTTTGTGCTTGACAAGATGAGCCAGCATTTGTGGTGATGTAACTGAAAGTTATAGTCAAATTCAAAATTAAAAAGCAGGCTATTAGTCAGCACCCACAATTAACTTTAATGTGTGTTAAATAAGTTATTAAATAAGCGTGTTAAATAAGTTGGCTCAGAACCTCTCATCGGCATAATAATCTAAGCGACTTCAGCTGTAATGCAAATTCGAATAAAATAGATCTTATCAGAGCTGGCAAAACTAAACAACGTGGTCTCGAGAGGCAGAAACACGCTCTGTCTTGCAATTCAAAAACTCAGTTTAATACTCTCTAACTCATTTACATTTCTGGTGAGGAAACGGAAAGCAGAAGGTATAGTAAAGCCTGGAATTATTAATAACTGGTTAATTTAAATAATAACATTCTAAGGTGATATTTACTGTCGAGACACAATATGACAAACTTAGGGAGGATTGTGAACTTTTAATTTAAAGAAAACTTGAAAAGAATTTCTAGAATCAAAATAAGTTGCAACAGTAGTACAAAAAGTTAATGACATGAAGAGAAGTTAATGACATGAAGGTACATGCCGCTCTTTCAAATTGGAATTTTTAACTTATTGGTGACTTAATGGATCAGTACAAACTTACCGATATTTTAAAATGAAATCTGAAGTCATTCACACAGAATTTAAACTAGAAAATAATTTCAAATTTTGGGAAGAAAAATACCCTAAACGTGCTGTAAACGCTGAACGTGTAAATGCAAATCTTTCGTTGCATTTAAGTTGTCTTGAAAGAATTAAAATTCATTCCCAGCGTCCAGATCAACTCTTTTTGGCAAGAAATGGAATGTAAAATAAAATAGTAAAATTGGTTACTCTTTCAAAACAAAACTTTAAAGCCACAACAAATTCAAAACAACAATTGAAAGTAATAATAAAAGATGAGTGCAGAGCGAAAGTAGGACAGAATCCACTAAAGTTCTAATTCGAAGTATACCAATGATAGTAACACCTAATACTTTTGTTTATATTTAACAAAATAATAATCATCTGATTACTTTCGTAAGCTACTTAAATTGAATTTGTATAGCATTGAATTCATATTTTAGTTTCCAATTTGAATTTAGAAAATGAAAAATTCTCTTAAAAATTTATAATATAAATATAAGTTGAATCTAAAGTTAAGTTAGTCCAAATTTTATTTTAAATTTTTACTTATTGTATTCTCTGTTATAATTCCACAACATTATTATTGTGAAGTAATCAAAGGCTTCATTTGATTTACTATTAATTTTTATACATATAATTTGAACTTAAGCCGTGTTTATGATAAAACAAATATTACCAGCTTTGGCATATTCAGACTATTAAAATTTAATACACATGAACTTAATTGCTGAAATTTATTATATAATATCCGTTACTTAATATCTTATTGAAACTTATATAATATGTCGTTTTTTTAATTTTATAGTCACCATCAAGAGCCCATTAAATAACACTCATAGCTAAAACAATAATAAAAATGTATCTAAAATAATAATTCACAACTCCTATCTAAATCAAATTTGCAATGATAAAAAAATGCAAATGATATTGAAGAGATTTTAAATTAAGAGCTTATGAAAATAAATTACCCAGTTAAAATTCATGGAAGACCGCAGTACAATATCCACTAATCGTTCGTCGTCAGTTTCAAGGTTTGGGAACAATAATAAAGTAACATTTTGAATGACTTCAGAAATTTCGAAGAAAGCTGTGAAGTAACAGAAGAAAAAAAAATTATTAGTTGTTTTTAATGGCATAAACTTCACTAAAAAAAAGAAAGAAGAATATAATAGTAAACTTTAAAAAGTTACAGGTAACAAACAGACTACAGATAATTGTTAAAGATTTGATGTATTTTTACCAGTTTAATGCATTGCAGTTTCAAATGCAAAATAATAGCAATAAAAAAGAAAGAAAAAATGAGATTAAATACCAACTATGTATTACATGGCGTTTAAAAATATTTCATTTATTGAAGTAACGCTACGTTTTTTCATACATACACAAATTCGATTAACTGATTACATTAATGACATGAAGAGAAGTTAATGATTACATTATAAGTTACATGCATTTTAAATTGGATGGGTTAGATACATTGTTATAAACGTAAACGGCTTTGTAATTAGTTGCGCATTATTTGGCGTTAAAAACATCATGAACTAATTAAAATTATGCTCCAAGTATTCATAAAAATTATCAGTTGGACAAATGATAAATTAAATGTATTTTGAATTATGTCACTTGGATATGTTAAACAAAAAGTAAAACAAAGATTTTAAATTCTTAAGAAGTACGGTTCTTGTTTTTAACTCTTTCAATTTGTTAACCGGTTACAGACTGGTTATGTCTGAAAGTTAAATCCAAGATATTATCTTTGCCGAATGATATACTCAGAGTTGGATACCTGTGAGAACAAGCTGAAGGTAAATTTTAGATACTTTTTTCTTATGTACTTGCCTCAGATTTTGGAACCTCTGAAAGAAAGACCGAATAATACATGCCGAGACGCAATGGTAGCACCATCTGGAGGCTATAATGTGTGTTCGTGTGTAAACTAGAATAATTAAACACACACATATTATTGCAATAGTACTGCCAAAATGCGTTGCAGTCGCGTAACGATACCACAATTAAAAACATTTGAGGTGGCTAACGTATCAACTCTTGCCAATTCCATGTTTTAGAAAGCAACAAGCTTTAATTGTCACTTCTAACCGATCGTTTGTGAGCTTCCAGCTGAGACAAATGCTTACTCTGATGACTCTCGCACATCTTCATTTGTCGAACATTTTATGCCAATTGCCAAGATAATTTATCTAGATTAATTTAAATACTTCTGAAAGCTCTCTCTAATAATGTGTACTTTCGCTATAGCTCTCTAACGTATTGTTCTTTTATATCACACTACTTTATAACAAAGCCTTCTTTATGAACGGAATAACTTGGATACCACTTATTCCAAAATTGGATTTAAAACAGTATATCGGCCACCTTTTTAAATTTAGAAGTAGCTGCAATGGTTAGTTATGCCACTTAGCTCGTTTCAACCGTATCTGAATAGTAGAAATGTCTTTAGAGCATATGTTTTTTGTATTGTTACATTAAGCTACAATACCATGACCACTTATTTGTTTTCATGTGATATGGCAGCCACTGCATTTGCCCAAGATGTAAGATCTTTATTTTCGAGTGGCCGGGGAAATGGACAGTTAGGCATTCGGCTTAACAAAGGTTCTCTGACTTATGTTTAAAATTAAAACTATATTGCTTAAAACCCTTTGTTGCTCAGTGTTCCACTGCACGGAACACTCAACTTGAATCGCTTCTGAAACCGTTAAATTCAACCGTAAATGGATAAAAATGCCTTTATAATATACTTCGAACTTCTCTTTTTAAATAGTAGATGGCAGCATATTACAAGGAGACCCAGAATTTGCATTTATGATGTGTTATTAAAATTCACTTATTTTCTAGTAATTTCCTATATATTGTTTTTTGTTTGAAAAAAAAAATTCCGTATAATTTTGATGGCTGTACTTTATATTATTTGTTATATATTTTTTTTACAAATTTTTGTTAGTAGTTTTCAGGCGAGAATTTTATCAGTAGCTCGAGTCATCTTTACTTAGGGGAGCTGGGCGAATTTTTTTGCTGTCGGTTTTTAGTCTCATCCCCATTTATTTACAATAATTGTGTAGATATTTTTTGTGTATGTATATCTTATAGCTTATTTTCTTTATTGTTAATAATCTTAATCGCAGTTAAATTTTATTATTAATTTTTCATAAATGGCACGGAGAGGTCTAACGTTTTCCGAAGCGCTAAAAGTGCTTCATGAATTACCTTCTGATTCTGAATCAGAGCATGAAAATAGCAGCGATACTGAGATATACGTTTCTGAACCACTTGTGTAATCCGATGATGATATATCGAATGAAACTCATTTATTTGATGAGAAGGTTGATAATACATCTCACCCAGGCCCCTCTACGCAGCCTAAAGATTTTAATTGGAATTCTAAACATATTGTTGCACGGAACAGAAGCCGCACAAAACAAGTTTTGTGTTCAAAACCTGCAAAGTTTATTTGCACTTCTATCAAAAAGATGTGATATGCTTTAAAAATTTCACGAAACTATAAAATCGAAAAATGTTTTTCATATTTTTGTATATAGGACTTCTGCATATACATATATCTATCTCATTTATCCATACATATTCAAGAAAGTTGTGTATATCCAGAAAAACATGTATACAGCTATAATACAGTGTTTTTTCATTACTATACATAAACTTCTACTCATTTCCGTGCTTCATCTGCTATCATGGGTCATTCGTAATATTGTTGCAGTAATCCCGTCAGATGTGTAAAGTACGGGCAATAACATCAAAGTAACCAATGCAACATGAAGCCAGAAGACAAGCCTAAATGTATGTATTTTCTGCGGACTCTGCCACGTCAGCAGCGAATATAAGAAACGATTCGAAAAGGAAAGCAGCTCTCCGCAGCCTAAAGCTCATGAATTCTCCAAAGAAAACTTCCCTAGCTCCAAGACTGCAGAAATCCCGGCGCAGAAAAACCCCAATCAAGCTACCTGCAGCGAGAAACTAAAAGATAAAATTACTCCACCCCCTAAAGATCTCAGCAACGCAATAAAATGGATTCAAGATGAAAGATTAACTCGTTCTTAACTTCTATCATCTCATATATTGGCAAAATCAGATCAGCAAAGAATTCTGCAGAAACCAACAGGCTTCCAAGCGGCTATGTTACTCATCAATTTCGCGGAATCCAAAGATTTAGCACTCCCTCTATGACGGACCAATAACAAAGCAGGAAATTCACATAACTATTTTTTGGACTTTATCTCTTCTACGTCTTATGCAGTCTACGTTCTTCTCCGAAGGTCTTATATGCAAGGCTCTTATCGTCGCAACATCTTTTGAGAATTCTTTTTAATTTATAATTCTCTGACAATACTTACTAATGTTATGGTAGGAAAGCTATGTCACTTCGCCATGCGTTATATACAGGATGAGGCTTTCAGCCTAGGCACTTCTCAATGTGCTTCGCACCTAAGACTTCCATGTTTCACTGCGATGTTCGCTTAGTCGCACTTTTAAGAGCTCTGGCGGCGCAGTGTTCCACCTCATGGAACTCCCACAGAATTGAAACGGTAGGTGCAATTTTTACAAAATTTTACCTGTATACTCCTTTAGGCCTAGATAGACTGCATACAATCATGTTGAAATACCGACTTTAAAGTATAGTGCACCACAAAGGGTTAAAGAACAATGATTAAAAAGTGTTAAATTAAAATTCCTTAACATTCTATGAATACGCTAATAAAATGTGTTTTTTTTAATGGACACTCAACACTTTTATTTTTAGTCACACATGACCAAAAATATTGTGCCGGGTAAAGAAACTATTTTTTTACTTGTCGGTACTTTTGAAAAAACACAGTAAGTTAAGAAGCTTTGTATTTTTTATTTTTATTTAGAAACAGAAATTAGTATAAAAATGAAACAAAATTGCTACTTTAACGCAGAATAGTTTATCCTTCTAATCAACACGACAACGAAATACATGACGTTACTTTTTTTTCAGTTTTTTCATCTATCTAATGGTAAGAGATTACGTAAATTATTTTTATGTCTTTTTGAAAATTTTGATTTTAGTAATTTATAATTGCTAGCAACCTCGTGATCCCTGGTAGAAGCTCATTCATCTGTTTCCTGAAATCTCTTGAACACTCACTAAAACGTATAATATAGGCAGCAGTCCCTTTCGTAGAATTTGTATCTAAGTTACACTACGACTATTCAGCGATCTTATTCTCTTAGATACTATTACAAATCCATGCAAAATAATAGACATGACTTACCAGGTAAATTTTGAGATATTTCTTGAATGATTTGTTCTTTCACATCCCTCCACTGCTTCGCAGGCGAAGACAAAGTAGACAAGAATTTTGCAGCTTGTTTCAAAAGACTGGAATGACTGAAATAAAAGTTGATGCAAATTGTTGTTAGGAATTCCAGGTAAAATCTCTCTTTAAATGATTAACTTACGCTTCATTGACAAAAACGTTCATAACATTGAAGATCAAAGTACATTTTTGTCTGCCTTCGAATGGCAGCAACATGTATTAATTTAAAATGTGATGTCACGCAAATTACAAATAATAACCCCCTTAAAAATTCTTTTTAAGGAAAACACCTTAGTATATAATAAGTAAACTTACGTTTTCAAGCTTACTACCAAAGGAGACTGGTTGATGTTCTCCAGGCATTTGTTCACTCGAGACAGAACTTCTTCTGACACATTACTGGAAATTTTGTTGTACAAAACTTCTGTATTGTCGATGACTTTAATAAGCCATGTGACAGAATGTGTGCAGTTCTCGCCTTCTTCAATTGCCTTTGCTATCTGCAAAATGTTAAGAAAGAAAATTGCTGTTAAAATACATAAAAGCCAACGATAATCTCTTACTATTTACTTACAGTTACTTCAAGGAATTCCAGATCGGTATACTTCTAATTACAAGAACTTATCATTAAAATTTAAAATTAAAAAATAATTTAAAATTATTAAGAAACTAAAAAATGAAAAAAGTCATAAAAATAAGAAACTAATTTAAATTAGTAAACTAGAAACATCTTCAAACTGCAATCCAGCAGCTCAAACAGTTTTAAAATAAGCAATTACGATAGGTTAGATCTAGTTTAAAAATAAATACCTGGAAATAGCTAGCATATAAAATTATATATTTTAAAATTAGTATTCAATGGAGCAGAGCTATATGGTGGAAAGCTACGGTATTATTACAACATAAACTACCAACACATGGAAGCTTTCGCACTCATTACAATTCAATACAATGTTGCTCATTTTATTTTCACTGGTCGCTTGCAACGAATATTTCTCGCAGGTAGAATGACGAAAATTTTTAATTTGTTACAATATGAAATTCAAATAAAAATAATAACATCTAATTTCAGGTGTTATAAGGTGTACATACCTTCTGGAAAGCGTCCTTCAGTCTGGATGATTTTGACATCCAAGAGTAAAAAGCGCTGATATTTTTGTTTAGTAAATGACACGTGATAAATTCAAGATCTAGTAAATGAAATAAATAGAAATACAGCCAATTAGTTAAAATCATAAGCGCTGCTGAATATTACATAATATGCTAAACGGAGTTTAAACACTTAGAGTGGTAATTTGTAATTTTCGCAAAAGTCTAATAATTTAATAACGAAAAAATAAAAAAAAAATTTATGTTTTCTGTTTAAATATAAAATTATAACTAGTTACGTTTTACGATAAACATATGATGAATACATACATAGACAGGGTACTCGTAAAAAGGAGCTACAGGCTATTCATATCGATCCTATGTGTGTGATTTCAGTTATAACGCTTTTCTATACGAGACACAGTGATTGATGGAGGCGAGGATAGAAATGATTTAAGATAAAAAATGCAAATTTTGATACAGCCTCTCTGCATAAAGCAAGACTTCATATCCATTATGCTTTATGAAGTTTTATTATGTATTATTAGCATCATACCTCGTACGTGCTATCGTGGTGTAAGTGGTGGAATGTCCCCTAGAATCTCGATGAGGGTATACATGATTTATCCCGTTTCCTGCTACGAAAGATCTAATGCATAGGCAAGACACGTTGCTTATTTTTATTTAAAAAATTTTTGATGTTTGAAAAGTGATCAAAGAAGGAAAAAGATATTAAAATTTGCTAATTTGATCGTTTTTCAAACTCATCTTTTTGAAAGGGTAAATACTTCATAAAGTTATATCTTATTCAGCAGCAATTAAATGAATGGAAATAATGAAAGAAACTCTGTAAGGTTGAACAACCATAGTTGTTAACGTATCCTTTTTGAAAGGGTTTAAATACTTCATAAAGTTATATCTTATTCAGCAGCAATTAAATGAATGGAAATAATGAAAGAAACTCTGTAAGGTTGAACAACCATAGTTGTTAACGTATCCTCAGCTAGACCTTTCGCTTTCCAAAACTATATGGTAGCTTGATTTTAGTCATCTACCTTTGGCCATTATGGCAGTAACACCTTTTTGGTTAGAATAACTGAAATTCTTTTCTTTATCTGACGTATGTATTATATTTTATAGTGTTTGTATGAAAATTACAGTAATATGTTCTAACTGGTCTAAAACAACAGCTTTCTCTTCAGTCGGAATGCATTTGCTGCTCAAAAACGCTGTTTTTATATAAAAAGTAATTTTAAAGAGTAGCAGGTAATATAACTACACTGGTGTGCAAAAATTAAGGACGAAGTCGAAAAATTAGCATATCAGCTGAACGAAGAGGCAGAGCGGATAGAAAGACCAATCAGGAGATTAAGTAAGGTGAGTACGGTAGCACATGCGCAGATATGCAGATAGACGTAATGGGGGAGTGTCTGAGTAGTATAAAGCATGTTTGTCGGTGTAAGATCAGTATTTCTGGCAAAGAGATTGCACGCCGTATAGCAGTTAAAATCACACCGAGTTGCTGCCTCAGCGAGAAATGGCGGATAATCAATCTGTTAGACGACATCTGGATGCTTTTACCCGAGGTCGAATCATTGGGAAGTTGGAGGAAGGCCGCAGTGTGACAAGTGTGGCTGCAGAGTTCGGAATTGCTCACAGCATCGTTTCACGACTTTGGAGACAATTTAAAACTACAGGAACAGCTATCCGGGGGTTTAGTAGTGGTCGTTCACGAGGAATCACACCCGCAGATGACCGGTATATTGCCTTACAGGCCAGAAGAAACAGGCGGCAGACAGTGGGAGAAATCACTAGACACACGACACAAGCGGCTAGACGATCGATATCGCGTTTTACCGTGGCCAGAAGACTGCACGGTGGTGGTCTGTTTGCACGACGCCCTGTACGGTGTGTACCTCTAACGCCTGCCCATCGGAGAAGGCGTTCTCTGTGGTGCCGGGAACACCGGAATTGGAGAGACAATGAATGGGGACGAGCACTCTTTACAGATGAGAGCAGATTGAGTCTGAGTAGCGATTCTCATCGCATACTCATCTGCAGAGAGCGGGGAAGCCGCAATCATTCCTCGAACATCATTGAAAGAGACAGGTATGGAGGTGGCGGTGTTCTCGTTTGGGGAGGCATCATGCTTGGTAGTCGTACAGACCTTTACATCTTCGACAAAGGTTCAGTCAACGGGACCCGTTATTGTAACGAGATTCTTCTTCCATATGTGCGTCTTTTTAGAGGCGCTATGGGTCCGCAGTTCCTTTTCATGGACGACAATGCACCACAGTCATCGCACAGTAGCTGCCGAACAGCTCTTAGAAAGTGAGGATATTGAACGTATGGATTGGTCGGCAGGATCTCCGGATCTCAATCCCATCGAGCATGTATGGGATTTTCTAGGCAGACGCTTGGCAGCTCGTACCTTACTACCAGTAACAATTCCGGAGCTTCGATTGGCGCTGCAAGACGAATGGGCAGCAATGTCTCAACAACTCATTGACACCCTCATTCTCAGCATGGGCAGACGCTGTGAAACCTGCCTAGCAGTCAGGGGAGATCATATCCCTTATTAAAGACCAGATGTTTCTTGCTGGACACCCATCACAGGGATGTTTCGGCCTTCAGTCGCATTGCGCTCCATGCTACTTTTTCAAAAAAGCTTCTTTTTATCCCTCCGATTTATCTTTTAGTAAGTGTTGCTTACATTACTCATGTCCTTACGTATTGGGAATCTTAAGGTATTAAATGTGTTGATTTGGAAAGCTTTTGTACAAAGTTATATTGAAGAAACCGTCTAGTCCTTAATTTTTGCACACCAGTGTATACGAAGTCACTCTTTTAAAATAAATAAGATTTAAATTATAGAAAATACTCATTAATTATATAGGAATTATTTAACTTACATCTTTAATATTAAGTTTCTAACAAACAGTGATCGCAGTTCTTGAGACACAAACAATACTTCAGAAGTGCAGGTATTTGTATAACATTAAGCTCTTTACAAAAGATATTTCAAAGAATGAAATTCAATAAATATGCGTGACATATGATCAATCGAAGAGGGAACTTGCACAATTAAATATAAAAATAAAAGACGTGTCATAAAAGATAAAGCACAAATAATTCGAATGAATATAACGCATCTCACCTGGTATGGAACGAAACAACCGACGCGTTGATTCCTGAATAGCTACTTCTGCGCTTTTTGTAACACAGCCTATCTTCAGACTGAAAAAATATTTTTATTATTAGAAAACTATCTTACATATAAATACACGAAACCAATCAACCTCCAACCAAAAAGCTTACAGCCTAACCCATCGAACATGAAGTTAATTCATCATTTACCTCTCACAATTTACAATATACGTATAAATCCAAAAATAAGAAATATTGCGTAAGTAGTTTTGCTACTCCGTTTAAATTTAAAAAATGCTTACTGTTATGTCGAAAAATTAAACCTTTAACGTTAAATAAAACTAAAATTCAATTTAACTGGAAAAAACTCTGGTGTTTCTTTCTGCAAACGCTTTTAATATTAAACGGTATAAACAGAAAAATATCAAAATATCAACAAAAATGTATTATAGAACCTAAAACGTATCGTGGAACCTAAAAAGAATAAGAATAAACCTAAAATTTAACCATAGAAAAGCGTTCCATACAGCGACAAAATTCGCAAGGTTGTAAAGGACAATCGAATAACAAAGCAACAACAGGATATGTTTTGTTTGATAATATTCTTTAACTTTCTGAACAACAATACTACCTGAAGTTATTAGTATAAATATTGCAAAAATATCTATGATTTAAGAGAATTTTCTTTAAATTTCTTATAGAAAATAAACTGTACTTTTATGATTCTCAGATGTAACCTTAAATTTCAGTATCACTAGGGGGGAAAGGCAAAATATTAAAATAAATGAAATAAATGCTAAATTGCATCTATTGTTTTGTAATGATAAATTTTAGTTTTTTTATCAACAACACTAAATCTGCTCAAATTTATAAAAATAAATTCTTTCATAATTAGCAATTAGGAGAACAATTGTGATTCTACCATCCATCGATTCTAGAATGGGCACCTTTTTTGCGACGTTTATAGAAAGATACGTCTTAAAGTATACTTTTCGCTGAGGGAAATCAAATTGAGTCTGAATTGGTTGAGTTTATATTGAGGAAAATAAACGTTGTGAAAATATATATGCGAAAATAAAGTAGCAAAAATAAATGCAAAAATAAAGTAGCAAAAATAAAGTAGCAAAAGGAAAAATCAAATTTTTCATTTATATAACTAGACAACTAGATATTCGCATTCAGTAACATTTATTTCAACGTACATGTTCGGCAGTCTTTCTGGCACTGTTTGAAGAATGTCTTCAAGATTTTTGACCAAAGCTCTCATCAGCGAAAAATGGAAAGATGAGGTCTGAATGCTGGACCAGTCAGAAATGTCGACACCTGATTCCAAGGTTTCATTGATGGAATGGAGCAGCTCACTCTTCCTTTTTGCGAAATATAGCTCTCTAGTCTTATTTCTCACTTCATCGTTAAGAAATCCATCGATCTATCAAGAAATGTAAGTGATAACAAAAATTAAAGCAGAAGCAATAATCAAGAAATTTGCAATTTGATAATCACCTATGGGATATGAAACTACAGTTTATTATCCTAAAGAAGAGTCTACATTAAAACTATTTTAAAATATAAAAACTCATATATAAATTTCGCTTATCATCCTCATAAAAATAATATCCATAGTTGGCAAAATAAAAGCTAAAATTTTTACTTTTACATAAAGCTGAAATTCATCTTAAAAATCAATTTCAAGTGTGAATAATGCTTGTTTCTGTATTTCTGCTTTGAATCTAAGTTGTTATGAATGAAAAATATTAAAAAAAATTTACCGCTATTTCTGTATTTCTGCTTTGAATCTAAGTTGTTATGAATGAAAAATATTAAAAAAAATTTACCGCTATTTCTGTATTTCGGCTTTGAATCTAAGTTGTTATGAATGAAAAATATTAAAAAAAATTTACCGCTATTATTAGCAGTTTGAACGAAACTTAAAAACGAAGTATATAGAAAAATGTTTTCTTTGTGTTATTTCAAACCATTATCAGTATTGTTTGATTTTGGTGTGGACGCTGACTTGAATATATAAAATGTAGGGAAATTTTGCTATCAACTTGTTGTAGAGTTTTAGAAATGTCTTGTATATATTACACATTTAAAGCATAAAATTACACTTGTTAGAAAACGTTATAAAGAAGCACAGAAAAAATGGAATTTTAAACGGTTTTTTTCCCTTATTCTAATGAGTAACATACTTGTACAGTATCGATGATAAATAATTATCTAGTTTAATATTTTACATCTAGTCGCTTGTGAAAACAGAATTGTGCCTTTGATCGCTATTTTAGTAGATAAAATTTTACTAGTAACTGAAATCAGTTACGCTTCTTTGAGGTATTAAAAAATACGAGAGAACTCCAGATATTCGGATCTTGGATAACAGTCAATCCGCATTACTAGAAGTGTCGCATAACTGAGTTGGTTGACTTTTTCCCCTCAGCGAAAAGTGTATTTATTCTAAAGCAAGCGAAATAATTTTGTCTTTCTGTGTTTAGTATATTATCCCAACAAATATTTCAGACAAAACACATTAGAAGAATTTAAACTATAAACAGTATTTTAATTTCTGTGAAACAAATATAAAACATACTGAATAAAATTAACGAAATTATTTTTTATTGAGTAAAATTAACGAAATTATTTTTTATTTAAGTAAGTATGCAATCCATTAAAATAACAACTAAGTTAAATTAAAAAATTTGCTATCGTTACATTTGTATACTAAATTAAAGAAGAAATCGTACATTATTTAGTAAAACAAAAAGTAAATTCTATTTATAATCAACTAAAAACTACATTTCCTTCCCGACATAAAGTCACGATCTCCTGACAGATAACGTAACCTGATACAAAATATTAACAAATATACTTTAAGTCAGCAGAAAAAATCTAAATAAATTAAAATTTTAATTATTAAAATTAAATAAATAATCTAAATAAATTAAAAAGATGACTTTTATTCGGTTAGAGAAATCAGCAAATGCTTCGCATAACTGAAGTTCTGGAAAATTCGAACCTCGATAAATGGAGTAATATTACATTATGTCAAAAGAAAATTCTTAATTCTTATAAATATAATTTCGCTCAAAGTTTAGACTGAATAACGTGGTCTTTCAGAATACATAATTTCAAAAATATAAATTATTTTTTGGTTGCAACAGCCTTTAGAGAAATTTCTCAAAAATACTTTTAATCGTTACGGGACATTATGCTAGCGAGTTTTTTAAAACATATCATTGCATCATACGCCTTATGAAAATATTTACTAGTATTTTAGATGGTACAGTCAGTATTTTAGACGGTAGAAATTTGGTAGTAAACGTTTTGGAACAACCAGAGCTTTATAATGTTGCAAAATTACAGAAGTTCATCATAGCAACCGTTGCGTTTCAATGACGGGCGTTGAGGTGGTAAATTTTTGTTGGGTGAATCAGGCAATTAGAGGTATAAGTTCGAAGTATTTAAACCCGCCTTTGTGAAAACGTTCGCCGGAGTGAAAGATAGGGCCAAAGAAGAAGCGGAATGTTTCTGGTAGATATCAAATTAAGTCTGAAGAATTGACTGAGTTTGTATTGATAAAAATATACGTTGTGAACTTATTGCATGGGAAAAAACTCGATGCGGAAGTTATCCAAATAGGCATAGCCCAGGTTTGTTGCCTCAGATTCAGGATTTTGTTGAGTTACTAAACCAGGGTATGCTAGAACAGTCATTCTAGTTAGCGGTGAAGTTCGAAAATAGGCGCGTGTCTATTAATACAAGCGCAGCGAAATGTTAGCAGGGGTCCAGCAGATATTTTTGTAGATCTGTTGTGTAAGGAAGCTGAAAGTTTGACGGCAGTAGACGTTTTGTAAACTAGAAAAAAGTTTCATCCGTTTATGGCGATCGCAAAAGAGGAAACTGGGGAAACATAATAAGCCTTTAAACTAGGCAGGGTTACTGACATACAAAGGATAATTACCCCGCAAGGAAGAAAATCCCTCTCATGTTCAATTAAATACAACGTTAATAAAAAATTTGTGCCTCCATTTCATTCACATTCTGATAAATAGTGTACTAGCAGTTTCATACTGGGGGGGGGAGTAAAGTAGTTTTATGGCAGAAAGAAAATTTTTTCAAGAAAATTTTAAACGGTATTGAGTGTTTGGTGTTGCGGGAACAAGCTAAATAGCCATCCAAGACGAACAGTGCAGAAGCGTAGGAAAGAAATCTTAAATGTATAAATGAAAAATGAACTCTACAAGGTGTTTTTTTAGAGAGAAATCTATAGGCTAATGTAATTTTGGGGACTGATTTTGTAAAGGCTGTGGGGGACGAAAATTAATTATCAGGAAGCTACTCTACAGTACATAGTGAACAAGCAGGTGGCTAAAGAAGTAAAGCTGCCAGCTTTGGACTTGAAGGAATTGAACACGGACGAGAGTGCAAAGCTGGAGCATTTGGTAAGACAATTTTTAGATTTATTTGATGATGCTCCATGGTTGACTCTGGAAAGTCACAAAATATAAAATACAAATCCCCAGGTTGAACAAAATTCTACGCTGTGATAAGTTTAAGGAAGAAATAATTGAACAACATACTGCCGAAATGCTAAAGAATAAAATTATAATCCCTATAAGTAACCCTTACCCGCTAGCCTTGTAGTATTGCGCCGAAAGGAAAATAATCTTACATTCACTGGTTTTAAAAGATCGCGTTTTGCTATTGACCACAAAAAATGACACAGCATAACAAAATATCCAGTACATTCCTTACCAATAGTTCAAGAAATAATTAAAAAATCAAGTCCTCAAGATACTTGATGACCTCACATCTGGATACTTTCAGATATGTATGAAACTAGAAGATGTGCCAGAAAACGCATTTATAACTAAATTAGGAGTTTATGCGATTCTTAGAATGCCATTTGACTCATGCAGAGCATCCATCATATTTCAAAGAACTGCGGATATTAAACTAAGACCTGTCCTCGGAAAAATCTACGCTTAGACGATATAATATTCACTAGCGATACACTTGATAAACATATTTGCGATTTACACGAAGTGTTTTCATTTCTAAATGAAGCTGGCGTAAAGCGGAATACGGTTAAATGTAAATTTGCCGTTACCTGGACTATAAGATATCTCAATGCGGAATTGAAACGGAAGACTCTTAAAATTTTAGCTATAAAAATTATACCGCCTAATATGGCAAAGCAGTTGGCCTCGTTTTGGAGCTTGTGCTCCTATTATATGGCTTTTATGAAAAAGTTTGCTCATATATCAAAGACACTTTTAAATTTAAAAAGAAAAAAAAATAGGTTCACTTTGTCGGCAGAAGCAAACACAGTGTTTGAACAGACTTAAAGCGACATTAAACCAAGCTTCCCCTTTGAAAGTTTTTGATACGGACGGCAAATTAGAATTTCTGGAGATGCATCGGATTTTGTGGTAGGGGCCCTGCTTATGCAAAATGGACAGCCGGCTGCATATTTTAGAAAAACACTTAACTAACAGAATTATACTGCTATCGAGAGGAAACATTAGCAGTCCTTTTGGTGGCACAGAAATTTCGAATTTATTTTGGGAAATACCTGTTACCATATACATTGCGGCTGTCGTTCGTTCGTATTCCGGCAAGAATTTAGCAACCAAACTCATACGATGGGTTCTTAAGTCTCAAGAATACAATTTAATATTTAATCCTGGAAAAGAAAATAGATTTTGTGTCAAGAATTAAACTAGATTAGGAGGGGAAATAAATTAACTATGTTAATGTTAACTTCAAACATTTTATATTCACGAGAAACAGGTATCTCAGTACTACAAGCAGACACTGAATTAAAACAAATTATGCGCATTTGAAAGATTCCGACCTCTCTGAGCATCAAGATATGAAAGATAAGCCCTCAATACTTTTATACTCAATAACCATTGAGATACATTAAGATGTTCCAACAAATTAGATAATACCCTAATCTGTATGTTTATGCAGTTCTTCAAAACAAATACGGACAAGAAAATAAAGTATATTTTGTAAAGTTTAAGTTCCGAACTCATTGTTTTGTAATGCTATTAGAAAATCCAATGGTTTAAATAACAAAACAATTAAATAAATAAAACATATAACTGCTATTTTAATAGGAATCATTGCTGATTATTGACCTGAGCCGATAATAAATTAAGGGAATCATTATACTTGTTTCTCCTTTGTATATTTTCAGAATTTAATGCGTATATGATAACTTACAGTTTTGTTGATCCAAAAATCGAAAGTATAAAAAATGCAATACCGCAAATTATAATGGTTTGTCAATATATTTTTATTCATATAAATCCGTGAGTTTTAACACCAGCGTCGTTAAACTGTATAATAACTTTCCTTTTGAAGAAATATTAAGAGCTAGGAATATCTTAAAGAAAATTATGAACTTCTATG